AAAGTCGTGTGGCTATGTCTTGATCATTGATTTTTACATTCATTATGCTTTTTGTCGTAGATGGTGATACATATATATACAATAATTGTGGTAAGACCTTTAGATAAGAAAAATATAAATTTTTTTCGAAACACTTTTCTGATTTTCGAAATCATGATCAATGCTAGGAGTGAAAATATGCCATAACGCACCTCTAAAGACATATTTGACACAAAAAAATGAAAACAAGTTTCAAGAATTTTTTCGAAAAATAGGAGTTGTAATTAAACGAGGCAAAAACATCGAAAAACGGAGACAATTTTTGTAAAGAACTTGAAACCACAGATAAACTTGAATAAGAAAATAGAGTACAAAAAAATCTGGAAGATTTACCAAAAATTAATTTCTCCTAAAAATGTACCCCTTTCAATTGAACAATTTCAATTCCGTCATCAAATTCAAAATGGAAAACCTGCAATTTTTCAAAGGAAAAAAATCGAAAATTCTGTATTCCTTTTACAAACTTGTTAAATAATAACAAAATCAAATTTGCTTTGCTTCAATAGTTCCACAGAAAAGTTATTCGCTTTTTTCCTCAGACTGAATAATCGGGAAAATATTTGAGTAATTGAAAAAATACCAATATTTCCATAGAATATTTAGGAAGCGATTTCATGCATCAAAAATCTACTCAACTTTTTATGGAGGATACATATATGGAAAGATACGGTATTTTAGAGACAAAATGTTTCGAGCTTTTAGACTGAAAACAAGTGAGATCAGATAAATTCAAGTTCTAACAAAAAACCGTAAACGATACAGTGTGTCGAATAATTTGAAAAACTCAAAAACTACTAGTAAAACCCCCAAACAAAATTTTATTCATTTGAAATTAGGTGATTTGAATTGCCATTTTTCAGTAAAGGTTGAAATGTACTTCTGATAAGAACGATCAATTAGAATTTTTTTTAACACGCTTTTATTAGCTTCACCTATATGTATGTATGTATGTTTGTTTGTTTGTTTGTAACACTCAAGCTCGGGATCTGTATTTGACAGAATTATCGACATTAGTGCTTGATCTATTCACGATCAGATGGCGATGTACGTAAGTTCCTTCATATATCGACATTATTGCTTGATCTATATAATATATATAGTTTAAAAAAAACTCAAAAACACGCTTTCATAAAATACGAAACTAAAAAATGAAAAATAAACATACTTTAAAAAACTAAAAAACACGCTTTTAAAGAACATCGAACTAAAAAGTTAAAATATTTTTTTTAATAAGCTTAAAACAATAACGAACGAAAAATAGGTACTAGTATTATTGTGAAAAAAGCGTGGGCACTTTGTGCCATATTTTTTGTATATCAAGCGCCCGTCACTTTTTCCACCATAATACTAGTATTTTTCGTTCGTTATTGATTTAAGCTTATTTTTTTTTAAATATTTTCAACTTTTTAGTTCGATATTGTTCAAAAGCGTGTTTTTTAAACTATATTTTTTATTTCATTAACAAGAGTCTTAGTTAACGCCACAACTATACAATTCAAAATGAAAAAGTAATTCCAGGCACGATAAACCTACACTTGATTCCAATGATTCACTAAGATAAATAATCCATTCGACCCACTCGAATAAATACAGATATGCATAATTAGGATAATTTATCTTCGAAGAATGCTAGAAATAACCTAAAGATGTTTTCGAACGAATGCCGTCTTTCACAATGAGGAGACAAACAGAAAAAACGTTTAGATGGATGTTAATTAAAATTCAATGAACCATTTGAAAACAAATACATTCTGCGACATCCTGTGTTTTATATGGCTTTCACTCGATTCTACGGACTCTAAAAGAACTTTTATGCATTCAATGATAAAACTGAGACTGTGGTTCTCGGTAAATGAAAAATTGCAGAATACGTAGGTAAAATTGTGGAACAAGATTTGAAAATAATTTTTTATAATCCATAATTGTGTACATATCAGTTTAAATGACATGCTGAATTTTATTTTAACTGTTTGAAAATTTATATCATCATTTATTTATTTATTGAAAGACATTACATTTTTTATGGGGCAGTCAATATTTTTTTGTTTTTTTATATTTATCTCAGTTTGGTTTTCAGAATGTGAAAGGATATATATAATTTTGTATCATCCACAAATAATTGAACTGATTATAATCAATGCTACCTTTGTTAGTGATACAAAGTGAAGTGAATGTAAAATTTCAAAAATAGACCAAAGGTATTCGTGGTACACCAAAAAATAATTTTCTCATGGGATGGTTTTTCATGTATGATCATCTAATATTTATACCAATATCATCAGTATCGATTTTCACTTTCTATCGTCCAACCCGTGTTAGGAATCACACGTTAAAAGGTAAGACCTCGTTTGTCTTTAGCTCGCACAAGTTTCGACTTTTGAGAGTTGTCGTTCATATTGGGGGGACAGCTGGTTAACGGAAAAACAGATTTTTAAACAAATTGAATTTAATGATCATAATTGCAAAGTCTGGGATGGGGCAATGTTCTACTAAGCTTCTTGAAGTATTTGAGATGACGGATGATGTCTTTTTGTCACACCCTTTATAGTTGTTTTCACAACTGATACTAATGTTCCGCGTCGTGTTCCATATACTGGAATATTTGAATGGCCCCTTATGGTGATTGGATTATGGAATAAAAATTGACCCAATATCATAAAATTGTATTATTTCTTTATGAATTTTATAAATAAAAGAAATCCTTCGTTGTTTCATTTTCATTACCTTTTATTGTTTTAGATGGATAAATTGATGAAGCATGTGAAAAGATTTATTGACCATATTATATACTGAATCATATCCCAATCTTACAAACCAGAAACATAGGAAGATCAAACTGATCTTCCTCTTGAAGATAACAGTTTGGTGTTGGCTGATATTCTCAAGAAATATTTTTATACGACCAAATCATTGAGAGAATTATATCAAAACTCCTAAAATTATTTAGCCAAGTAGTTAGTCTAAGTATACTTATTTCATAGTGCTTTGTAATATACAAGGCTATAAAATGTGCACAAAAACCTATTCAAGTACACTAGGAATTGGCTACAAATGCACTTATCTTCAACTTCCTGTAGACTAGAAATTAACAAAGTAGAAGACCTTGAGAGCATCATAGTGAAAAACGTTTATTGATGGGAACACGAAACGTGAGAAAAGCTATTAATTAGCCAGGCATACAATTTGCGTGTGACCCTGTTGAATTAGAATGAAATAATTCATTTCAAAGGGTAAATGAATATAATTCTATAAATTACAAGACTCTGAACGGATAAAATGATAGAAAAGAATGCATAAAAGAGAAAACTTTGAATAATATTGAAAATTATGGAAAATTGTTTGAAATACAGTAAAACTCCACCCCGATAATAACTGGGTAAATTCAAAGTATTTCACAAAGAAAAATGTTCTATTTATCAGTAACTTGCCGTTTACCTATCAAAAAAAGTGGCAAACAAACTATAAGTAGAAATATTTATGGTAACATTTTGCATACTAAAAAATCTAATGATACTTGCAGAACTTACTTTCTATCTTTCACTGTATTTTCAAACATTTCTCGACAAATGAAACCCCTTTGACATCGATCGAAGATGTTTCAAAATAAAGTCAACCAAAAAAAACTGCAACTATCGTTAGTTTCTTTCCAATTCTGAAGATGGAGGCAGATTTTAGCTTCCGAAACATTTCTTATAACTTTTTGAAAAATATTGAATACGGCACTGATAAATACAACATTTTATTTGAGATAAATTCAAGTTGGAGGCTACAAAAGACTACCAAATCATAAACTATTTTAAAAGGTAGCAAACATGGGGAAATGTACCGTTGTTCATCAGAAAACTAAACCAAAAAGTATATTATATATTCAAAATCTTTATTTTCAGAGACCTATAACTAAAACATACTTTGAATTGACAGTAATGCACATTTCTACCCTAACCTCAATTCACTTCCACAAACAAAAAAAATAGGTTATACCATAGTTATATCAAGTCTGTGTCTGCTAGTAATAACAAAATCACTAAAACTGGATCTACTTTCAAACAGAAAATAGTAATTTTGAAATAAAAAAGTAATTTTCCGAAAAGTCTCATTTTTACAAGTTATAAGTTCAAGTTCAGCTCCACATTCATTCATCACTGGAATACCTACAAGAAAGTGACTACTCCAATAGAGAATAACTCACAAATATAAAAATAAAATATACTGACCAATGTTCAGAAAAATTTACCTCTGATTCTAATCTTTATATCATTCTTTCTTTTCAGAAATTGCACATTGAGGGGGCCTTTACTTTATTTCTACCTCCTGAACGAAAAATTCCATTATTCCATTTCGCAAATTGTGACAAGCAAAATCAATTGTAATAAACTGCATGGGTTTCAACACTGGTATAACTGGTCCATATTAATAAATATAAATGATTGCTGGTATAAATAGACATTATGTCAAGCAATAATTTACTAAAGCAGCACACGTGTAGGCGACGATCCTAAAAAACACCCATTGCATTGGGCGTCGATTGAAAATTACCTTTGGATCGTACAGTCAGAAACAACCCATGAAGAGGTGAATAACAACGAAAATCCAGCTCATAGAGAATATTTGAAATGGCAGAAATAACGATATGGTTGAGCAGAATTGAGATGAGAATAAATTATAATTCAATGAGTCCAGTAATTACTGAAGTGCAAGTTGGTTGGGTAGCCTACATTCTTCGGATCTTTGGATGATATACTTCGCAAATAGCGGGGTATTCCATTCACCAACCAACAGCCACTTGTTATAATTTTGGCCAAGAGAGTTCATATACCAAATAAAATACTACCTGGCAACAGCTGATTTTTGGCTGAAAATTTCTGTTCGCCAGCGGGAAGGGATGATTCAACGTTTTACTAGTGGGAATATAAGAGTTGCAAATGATCAAAATAATCATAAGAGGATTTGAATCGACTTACCAGTTTGCTCACGAATGTATCATCCATGTCTGCAATCCGTCTTTCTCCGCGGTCCATTTCGCCCGACGTATTCTCGCCACTTTGCACGTTACTAATACTAGAGTTTTTCGTGAAAATCTTTGAAATTGCACTCCACATCCACGACAAGTTCGTTCACAAATAATACTTTACCCTTCGACAATATCATTGCCCAGCCTACGCAAGATACTTGCTATTCGGGGCTTTCTGAGAGCCGCGGATTTCAGATTTACTCAAGTTTGTACTGCGTCGACACCCGCTTTTGACATTGCGATGCAAATTTCAGTTTTGATTTGTATTTTTCGCCTTCAAATCGTTAAATTTGACAAACATTCAGAACGACTTGTCATAACGAAACTACGTAAACGCTACTAGCGACAAAGCGGAATTTCACCGAAACTTTGACAAATCGAAGCGGTTGTAGCGCCACTTCAATAATAAGCGGGAAATTTGAATTGGAATTATACACTGCTCAACAGTGCAAAAGCACGATCATGGTAGATTTGAGTAAAATGTAGTTAGTTCATTTTGTACTGTCTTTTTATAACAAAAATTACTGAAAATTAAGCATATGCAATAAAGAATCATGACTGAATTGTAGTAACTTTATTATATGTATAAATATTCTCACTATACGAATAGGAATTTTCTGTCACAATAGCTTAGATTCGTTATCAAACATCCACAATTAATTCAAACTACGTTCAGGTCGATTATTAGAAACAAATTTTACTCCAATAAATAATGTTGATTTTTTTTCCTACTAATTCCTTCGGTAGAGAGTATAGTTGCGAAAGTGAATAATTGCAATGTTTTTCACTTCATTTATTGATTTTTTAGAGTCACAATATAATGACAGTATACTATCATTAAATAAATATTCATAGGATTACCCGTTAGTCATTAGTAGGATCCAAAATATTGTCGATTTTAAGAGGTTGACATGTTTGTCAATAATAAAATAACTTATCAAAATTGATAAGTTTCATAAATTTTAATTTCTACAGATACGACGACTCAAGCTGTCGCGTCTTCACTTTATATATCTGAGTTCAGAAGTAGATACCACTTAGAAATTTTCAATTTTTTACCTAAACAACATCATATAGTAATAAGAAAAAAGGCAAAAAATTTGATGAACAGCATCAATGTATGAAGTATAAAATTCCTGACGATTCATGTGTGAAGTCATTCAGTTTGAATACTTTGATGGGGTATTCATGAAAAAATAAGTCAAATGGGTTCAGTTTTATCAATTTTTATTATACAAAAGTTATAAAATCATCCATCCCCTCAACCATCACATTGTTAATTGATATAGACATTATGTACAACAGACATCTAGACAAGATTACATTAAAAAGAAAATCAATGGTCACTTTTACTCCTGTAAAAAATTATTTCTTTGGTGTTGACTATTGTATAATCTCATCTGATTATAAGTCAAGATTTACTCAAAGTATCAAAATATCTACAATAGAATTTTATTTCATCATTGTATTTTCATAATGGCTATACAGTACTTTTATAGTAGGCTCTAGGCAGCATAAATGAACATTTTTATTAGAAAAAAAGAAGCAGCAGCAGACTATGTTTTTTCTTGTCTTTTTCTTACAATCACTTTCAAAATAATATTCTAGCGATTTTTGCCTCAAACTGCCACCTTGATTTCCTAAAATGACACTCATAATTTTTGTCTGGGAAGTTGTTGAAAATAAAGTGTAGAAAGCGACGCCCGAAAAACGACATAATTAAAAAGTATATCACAAAACTCGGGAGAAATAAAATGTTAAACTGTAAAAGTTGCACGAGTTCTTTACGCAGAATTTGTATATAGTATTCTAGTATTCTTGGCTATTATATGGTTTGACTTCATTTAGGAATTTTGCCCAAACAACTGAGAAACAAATGATATTAATCATACTGCAAAATTTTCTATTTGGTGTTGAGATTTCTTGTAAATAGTTTTTTCTATTATTTTCTATCAATGTGTGAAATGGAAAACTAACAGGGCTCAATAGTGCCGATGCAGGAAACTGGGAATCAATCAACTGACAGATCTGAATGTCATTCATGAAAGCAGTTTAAAGTACGGTATTATTCATAGGTGAATCTCTCACTTGAAAGTTTTTTGCAAAAGCACCATAACCTAAACCATTGTACAGAACAAATTATGGCAAAATGGATTTATTTACAAATTTATAGCAGTCTACGATATCTTTTGACATTAAAACTTGAAGAAAAGGGCACAAGTAAGTATTTAACTTGTGCCAAATTCTAAATTAAAAAAATGGCATGGATAGTAAATCTCCATCTAAAGTCACTTTGTAGTACTGCACAGCCAACTCCCAGATCAAACAATATACATCATATACACAGCTCAAAATATACAACATATCAATGGCATCCGCAAGTTTTAACGACCATTTTTTTATACTTCTTCAAAGTGACGTTTTGGTCTTGATCATCTAAGAAATACAAAACTGGAATCGCGCCAAGTTTAGTCGGCGCACAGCAAGGCTTCGGCGTCCGCAAAGGGTTCATCAAGTGGACCAAGGTCTGGACGATGGCGTGGTTGGTTGCGTTCATATGCGCGTTAAGAGGAAAATTACATTCTCCGACGCAGTAGTAAGCAGCGTAACCGTCAGGAGCGATGATCCAATCCTGAAAAAAATACAAAATAAAATACTACAGCATGTTTGTAAATACTAATCGAATTTTGAGGCTGGTTAGCTGTTCTCTCACAACAGCTAACAAGCCTTGAACATGTCAGTACAGTATCGGTCATGAAAGCCTAGAATCTTTTTACAGCACATTATTAGTCGAAGAAATGATACAATCATTAGAGAGAACTAGGGAAACAAAAGGAAAAATTGGTAGTGGAAACGGATGTAGTTAAGGTGTAGATGGAAATATATTGTCATACATAATAGAGAGATCTCATAAACTACACCTCACGATTTGATTTCCATAAAGTTTGTGGAGTTCAAATCTTGAGGTGTAGTTTATGAAATTACTATGGATCTTCATCGAGTAACAGCCGAATCAATCAGATATGAGAGAGCGGTTGCGTTAAGATTATATTTTAAAGAGACCATCGATTGTATAAATATACAGAAGAATCAAATACTGCCCTTCAAAACTATTAACTAAAAATGCATGAGCATGCATATAATTATGGACACATAAGTGAAAGACCTTGTGGTATATCTAAAAATATTTTGATGATTTGAAAAACAAGAGAAATGCGTCTCTACAAGTCGGTATTGTAGGATGAGGGATCCAAAAAATAAAATATAGTGTTAAAAGAATTCTGAACAATGATGCATTTGTTCAGTTCACAAAAAGACTAGCAATTCTAAGCTTTAAGCATTCTACTCAATACAAACAAAAGCTTGAATAGTATTAAGTATGCATAGATCTATCAGAAGCAAACGGAAATATTGAAACGACAATTGGAATTGTAAAATAAAAACATTCAGTTGCTTACCTTACAAGAGAGTCACATTTTTCTAATAGATACCACAAGAAATTTGAAATCTTGCATGTGAATTACTATAGAAGTCATATTTAAAAAATTCACGATGTTATTTCTTAACTTTGTTTTCAAACAGTTTTTGACCCCCGACAATACCTTTACTTTCAATCACAAGATCTTCACATTCCACAACACTCACAGTCCATGATATTACCTTACATCACATCAATTAGTTAAATTTAGAATCTTGGCTATATCATTTGAAATACTAATCTCAGTGAAGATAAATCAAGAAGTCAAACTTTCAGATGGAAATAAATGTTTCTGCTTAGTTACCTATCACTGTTCAATTCCTGAACATTCACCTAGTTGGATATTTCTCAAGCGAATATGAATTACTGTAATTTGTAAACATTTCTTAGTCGACATGCCTACAACAGGTCTGGAGCTTCAACAGAGATCATGAGGATACAAATTGGGAAGACTTAATAATCCCCTGAACATGTTGAAATGTTGAAATACAAATCTATTACAAATATGACAAAATCGTCTAAACTCGGATTGTTCAAGCAACTATATTGTTTATTTCAGAATCCCAAAAAGCACTGCCTCATTTATAATCAGTGGAAATTTCATCACAAATATAATGGAGTGTCACAATCAAAAGTAGTGTAAAAGTTACAAGCTAGTAATATTTCATTTTTGTTCATATTGTATCTTGTGGAATGAAAGTTCGGACTAACATTATCTATAAATATGCATGATTTGAAAAGAGTAACAAGAGACCTGCACAAATTAGTCCTGGAAAAATTGAAATGAATGTCATTTAAAGGTGGAAGAAAAGTGTAAGAAGCCCAAGAAGCTGCAGGGTTTTCTGAAGAGCTGAAGAATGGGCAAGTAAGACTGTTCCCAAGCAGAAAAAACAACAGAACCATGAAGAATGAAAACCAACATCTGATTTGTGAACAACAGCTCACTGTGAGTTGAGAAGATGAAAAATGAGCAAAATAAAATTTAAACTTGCCTAAGACCTAGTGTCTAAAAATGGAAAAGGAAAGTTTCACGATAAACTGACATTTCAACCGTTTCTATTCGGAAAGTCAAGAAAATGCAAAATACTATGCATCTGTTCCTGATGGTAAGTATGCACATCATTTCATAAATAATCCCTGTAATAAAAATCGTTCTAGAAATAAAAATAGACTATGAGCATCAACAATATTTCTATCGGTTTTCGATTACAATAAAATGCTCTGATATAATGGTTGGTGATAATGAACCCTTTCTGAAGAAATACCTACAAACAAAATAAAACCACACTTCAAAACCACAATGTAAGTTGTGTCCAAGATGGGAAGGGTCAGCACAGAAAAATCAAAAATCTTGAGAGATACAAAGTCTGTGAAATCAGGCGAAAGTTCCCTCTTAAATTACGTTTTAAAATTTACTAATTGAATATTTATGGGCATGTGTCAGTGAAGTTGTTGTCAAAAAAGTTTACTCATTACGAGTCTTTTTTCGTTTCGAAGGCGTTTCAAAATTCAGTAAATATCGATTAGTTCCGGAGGTATTGGAAAAGAACCCGAATTCGCCAATTCCGTTTCAATTTTTTTCTGAATTCATTCAAGCAGGAATTACAAAAAACAGTTTTTCAAAGCCCCTATCCAAACTGTAAAAGAGTTGTGTACAGATTTCTAATTCAACGTTTCGTTTCACAGACACCATCATCAATTTCACTTTTTCATACGGATCGAAGAAAAATCGATCACTGATTTTGAAACTTTATTCAAATACGCTTTAAAATCGTAAATTTTTCCAAGTTTTACCAACTTTGCATCTACTTCATCTCGTAAAGACGCCAACATGATTGGTGAAACAGGCGTCGAGAAAAGTATTGCAGTTCTGTTGTTTGGGAACAGTGGTTGTTTTGAACTTCGTATATCTTAAGATTTCAGATTTTCTCCTTACGGTGGACCCATTGTTACATATTAAGGCTGATAAATAATGTTTGCAGTAAAATTAAAAGTGTGTTGCTTGAACAATAAATAAAAATAAGAAACAAATTATAAAAATTAAAATGAAACCTACCTGCCATTTCAAATCTTTGAAACTGATGTACAAAGTCTCGATTCTGCAACTCCTTTGGGCCGGTTTATTTACATCTACAAAAAAAATGAAACACAATAATTAATGAACAAAATGTCAAAATACGCATTACAATTCCATTTGTAATTGAATATGGAAAACAGGACAAAAGGAAAGTTGAGAAAAGTCTTCATTTCAAAAACATAAATTAATCTCATATTATGAAATATATCTAAAGAAATGAACTTAAGATGTTCCAGCCCGTCTCGAATATACCTACACAGTAGGTTGAATGGACTGACGCCTATCAGAAAACAACTACTCCACTGGATAGTACCATGAATGGCGTTGGATAATATCCGACACGCGTCAGTGCAGGAATCTTCCCAGAAAAGTTCCTGCATATGCAATTGGCAATACAACTGAAAGAATCGACCTTCAATTTTGGAACGGGCACACTTGCAGACCGGTTTCGGGCTCCTTAGCCACTCGTCAGTGCAAGATGGTAGCCGTCATCGACATAAAGTCAATGATATTCCATAATTGAAAATCGCCAGAATGTCATCTTGATTTCCTTCAGGTTTGGAGACCAGCTCCCCTACCCTTTTGACTGATTTTCGGTTTCGTGAGGGACCAATGGGTTCATGACTGATTGATGACGGCATGAAGTCCTTAGACATCAGTGCCGCCCTTCACGGGATACCCCTACCTGGCTGGGGTGGGATGGATGAGAAAGTTATTCATCCTTTAACGGGGGACATGGGGGCCTCATTCGACAGAGTGTCAGGGCCTTCTATATCGGGAGGGGTCGTCTACAGCATAATATGTGGCTTCCCTAACTAACGAATTGAAAATCGAAATTCTTTCAGAGTATTTTATTCCTCGTCTTAAGTTGGAGCGAACAACAAAAATGTCACTCCATCTAGCGGACGAGGTACTAACCAACTGCATATCCAAAATTGGCCCGATTCCTCTGAATAAAGAAGAAAAACGTTCTTATTAGTCAGGCAGTAATCTAAAGAAATGAACTTTAAATGTTCAAGCCCGTCTCGGATATACCTACCTATACTGACTAATAAGAAAAGTATGAAATATTTCGAAATGTTTCACTGTTTATCTCAAATATTTTCTATTTGTTGTTGAAATGTATTATTCAGATTTGATGAAGCAATTCAACTCACCTCTAGAGTAATCTCTCATCATGCCATCCAACGTGTCTTTCTTCGTTCTGGTATCTCTAGCAATTCTAGGTTTCACATGGTTAACAGCTTTGAGAAAAGCCACCATGAATGGTTGCGTTTCGTCGTCTCCTTTCACGGTGACCAGGCCCAGATCTTCAGGTCGGATCTCATGACCTTGAAATTAAAATCACCCATTAAACTTATCCATGAGATTTTGCAACGCGAACGTAGCATATTACATACATATACATACAAGAGGTGTATGATGCAAATCATACACTTCTTTAGTGAGAACTTCTATGTTCATTTTAATTTTGCAGAACTGATATTGTTATTAAATAATGTATATTTAACCAAATGAACTTTATCATTAATACCGCACCTCGTCACAACTTTTTCCAAATGTTTAATATCCAACCTAGTCTTTGAGTCCTCGAGTCTTTGAGTCCTAAAATGTATTTTTGAAAACTATTAAATAAATGCTTTTAACAACTAGCCGAACTCTTTGAAGATAATTTGTTACCAACATGAAAGGATCGTTGGTTGAAAGTTCTGTTCACAGAATTCAAAATTATTTAGGGCTCAGTACCAAATACCATTGTAATCCGAAAAATGCTGACCCATACCAGTTAAACAGCCAGTTGAACAGAATATATTTCTTTATGAAAATTTTGGCCGCGACTTCGTCCGTGTGAACTACAGAATATAACTGATTATGCCGCATAGATCCCGATCCTGTGGGTGTATCTGAATAAAAAGTAGCCTGTTACTTCTGATAGTGAAAAAATTATTAAAATCATCGCTACTTTACAGCTCACTCGCCCTGGCTTTGTATGGGTTGATATATACAAAAATTATCAACAATTCCCTACATTCAATTTTTTATAGGGACCACTCTCACCAGCGGCTCCTCAGCTGGCCAGGTGAGATACGATTAAGTTAACAAAAGAATACTTCAAGAGAACATAAGTTCCTAATTTGGTATGTGTTTCTCGAAAGATTCGGTACATTTCGAAGTAAACTTAATTGTAAGATAGATTGAGTGTGATAGCATAGTATCATCACTAAAAATTGAAAATCGTAAATATTATTTATTGTTAAAAAGGCATGTTTCTGAACAATACCGTTTCAAGTTATGATATCAGATGGATGGAGCCCCTGAACATAGTACTGATACCGTTGCTGGGTTTTTGAATGGGATGTTCGAAGATCAGTGGCTTTGCAACATTGGGCCATTTAAATTTCCTCCTCGCTCTCCAGACCTGACGCCACTAGACTTCTTCATCTGGGGATATATCAAAGAAAATGTTTATGCGGATTCTGTGAGTGATAAAGAAAACATGAAAGGAAAGGTTCTGAGAGCTTTCAATAATTTTATTCCTGACTGCATACAGAAAGCTGCAAATTGTGGTATGCAAAAAAAAATCTTGTTTAGAAATGACGAAAATCAATACAATCTATGACACCCTAGGTGCAAATTCCTCATTCCCTTTCTTGATACTTATTTATGATATACAAAGAACCTACCTGCATATTTTAAGATTCTAGGTTCAGTAGCTTTGGCTGTACATTAATATAAAAGCGGACAACAGCTAGTAATTTATATTTTTACTTTAAAAGTACAGTAACTAAAATAGCTTTGAGAATCAAATAATGTTACCTATTAAGAAATTTGCAAAACTAACACAACCGTCAACGAAGTCTGCCCTTATGCGTCTGCCCGAGTTCGGGTCGCGATTTCGGCGATGCGCTTCATTGCTTAGACCGCCTCTCTACCCCGCAGTAAACGTTGCGTCAGGTTAATCTTAACGTGATAACTTTTAAACGATTCGTCCAAATTAATCGATGTAAAAGACAAAGTTTATCTATATTGAATACTTGAAACGACAATTGTATCAATTTTTATAAGAATTTGACAGAAATTCTAAAATGCGCATTGTAAAAAAAGGATACAATTTAATTGTATTTATGGCTCAGTATTTTGCATATAGTGGCTACTACATTAGAGGTAGATATATGCTACAGCGGAATTTATTACTATTAAAGATAAACAATCTTAAGGTACATTATCTGCATGTAACTCCAACGGTATAGGCAGCGCACGCCAAGATAGCTCTCAGGGGAAAATAATTTTTCCGACTTACTTACCGTTATATTATGAACAAAATTACATAAAACTTTTGTAAATTGTAGCCTATATATTATTCTAATATATTGTATAAGCTTTATTTATGTAAAGTTTCATCCAAATCCGTTCAGTCGTTTATGCGTGAAAGAGCCACAAACATACATAGTTACATACGTCCATCCTGACAAACGTTCACATTTATATCAGTATAGATTCTACTGAGAAGTCAGCCGCCTCAATCAGACTATAATTAGTCGAATTTCTTACCTGGCTTGTCTGCAGGATGTACTGAAAGGTAAAAACCCTTATTGGAATCCGGGAAAGCCACCCAAGTAGCTAGACAGGCAGTTACGTTGAGACTTATCCATCCGGTGAAACCCGAAGTGGTATTTTGTGCAGAGATATATTCTAGTTCTCTTTCTCTGAAACGGAATTGAATGGATTCACGCCTTTATGTAAGCAACTCTACAGTAGAGTAACAAATTAATATTAAACAAAAGTCATTTTTGTGGAAGTGATAAAAGTTTTTGTGAACGGCATTCTGCTTAGTGACTCCGATAACGAAGGTGGTAAATACGCTTACCTAGAGAACAGAAGAGCCGGTTTCAAATCCCGATCAGGTTACTTTTTTCTTTTATATGCCTGAATAACGCAAATATAATATTTCGTGATTATTACATACCCTAAGACTTTTTATTATGTTATTATTAGCTTAAGACTTCGATATTGGAATTTTGTTAAATTTCAACTCCAACTCGGAATTTTGTTAATCTCGGACATTAAACTATAAAAATTAGTTTGAGAATTTAGAATAATGAATTTATTTCATCATATTTCACGCATGAACATCATTTAAAGGAATATTTCACATTGTATACTCACCCATCGTCAGTTTTAATCAGTTGGTAAATGGTGACTGTATACTTATAGTCCGGATTCTTAGTATATTTTCCAGAAGTTTTATGAATCTTCAGTTCGGCTCCCACAATATCTTCAGCAACAGGAACATCCGAAACGTTGAACCAAAGTCGTTTACCCCTTTCGTGTCTAACGCCAGGTACATGGTTACCTGTGAACAATGTTTAATGCCTTTCTGATTACATATATTTGACAGTGTTTTGAGCTATTGAAATGAAATTTCCCAGTATTACAAGGGCTGTTCAAAAAGTAATTATCTATCATAAGGTGGTGATACAACTATTCATTCCCGAGTAGAGAGGACTGAATCCTCCGGGAGAAGGAAATATTGAGAGCAGATAGTTGCTGGTTCACAGATGGATCAAAAACACCTTCCGGTTCTGGTGCAGATGTTTTCAGTCGAAGACCCAGGACAGAGGTATCAACCTGCCTAGGAACCTATGCGACTGTACTTCAAGCGGAAATTTACCTTATTGAATTGTTTGCGGGAAGATTGGAAGAATCCAACCTCATACACAAGTCAATAAAAATATTCTCGGACAATCAAGCGGTGTTGGAAGCTCTTGGCTCCTACCGAACAACGTCTAAATTGGTAGCAAATTGCTAAAAACGACTCTCCTCGATAGGAAGACTTAACAGATTCTCTCTAGTCTGGATTCCTGGCTATACTGGCCTGGAAGGCAATGAGGCTGCGTACTCCCTTGCAAAGGAGGGTGCTGCAAGCAGCTTCATCGGACCAGAACCTGCCATTAGCAGCGCTTTAGGCTTTGCCAAACAAAGATAGAACACCAGGAAGATTTATGGACTTCTGGCAGAATCTTCCAGGATTGTCTTACTCCAAGGCTTTTACTCACCCTTCAAAGCTCGATACCAAACAGTTGTTGGACTACAGTAGGGGTGAACTACGATGTCTAACAGGCCTTCTTACAGGTCACTGTCATTTGAATCATCATATGCAGAGACTCGGACTGTCGCCTCTGTTTGGAAAATGATGAAACAGCAGATCACATACTTTGTGCCTATCCCGCTGGGAACTTAATTAGGTTTTTAGAGTTCGGCAGAGCCGTACTATTACTATCTGACCTGAAAGACCACTCATCATACAAACTATTCGGCTTCGTCAAGAAGCTGGATTTATTTGGTCGAGTGTGAATAGGTGTGAGCCACAATAAACCCTTGCTGGTTGCGGTGGACCTAACCTAACCTAACCTCACTACTATTCATCAATGCTGGGTCCATTTGTTTTAGTCATCTACAAGGCGTATTTTCAAGTCGATTGGAGCAGTGAAGGATAACTTGCGTTATATTAGATATTTGCCTACCATGTTCAGCATCAAAGAGTTAGAGCAACGTTGTAACGTAAAATTATTACAGAAACTGATCTTATCTAATGGTCATCAAAAACTTCGCCAAAAGTCTCAGCATTCGGGGGCTCAAATAGGTATTATAGTATTAGGCACAAAAGACCTTATAGGTTGCAGTACTGAGATTATGCAAGCCATTGTTTTTCGCCAATTCAACAACATAAAGTTTTATAAGAGGTTGAAATGGCCCAAAAAATGTAAAAGAATGATTCTAGAATATGAAAAAATATATGCCAAAGGTTGGACAGATTGAATATACATTAAAATGGATACACATGCCTAGTCCGCACAGCAATTAAGTAACAATATAAAACAGTAACACAAACATATAAAAGCAAAATGAAGTAAAAGAGAAAAAACTTTTCAACTTCCACCTTGTAAAAAACAGATGTTTCGATCTTGAATATATATGGCAATAGTGTATAAATAACTAGTATAATGCAAATTGAGTTATTAGTAATCTGGTCACAAACAGTTGAATAGGAATTATTATATATATGGTTATCCCAATCAATTTATTAATTTGTGCTGTGAACATGGGTTTTGCGCGTGAAATGCTAATTTCTGGAGAGCTCTTAGAATAAATATTGTGTTGCCTGGCAAGTTCGTTATCTGGAAGAATGAAATGAAAACAAACACGGCTGGAAATAGTTCGATGATGTTGAGGCTCATTATAGTGGGTAACAAAATATTTGATTTGCAAAAAGTAGCTTGGTTTGTTTTGAATAGGACTGGTTAAGAAACCATGTATTCAATTGACTCGTTTGAATCTCATGTAATTCAAATCAGAAGTAAATGAACAGAAATTTGTATTTTGTTTTTTTTTTTAGAGAAATACGGTTTTACTCGATAGGGACTGAAGAAAATCATTGTTAGACAATTTGCGAAGGCGCAGGTCCGTATTCCGGTATAGATACGCATATTGTAATTTGTTGATATAGGTACCTAATTTTGCATTTTGATTGGCGTTTACAAGTGGAAATATTGCAAACTAACCATTTTATTTAAATTTCCATTCTTAGAACAGACAGGACAAATAAGTTGGTGATGTCTACAGTAGTAGTAATAAGCTCACATGGTAAAGTAACTTTCAAGTTAGGCATTTTCACAGAGTTGATTGTAGAGTTTGCTCATTGCAACAACTGGTGATTTGAGTAACATGTTTGTTCTAGAATTTGATAGATAAAGAGTCAGTTCATTTCTGGAATTAATTCGTGGAACATGAAAGTTGAAGTGAGATAGTCAATCAGATTATTCACTAGTTTATAAATGAAAATTATAGAGAGTGAAAGTGAGCAGACTCCTGCAAAGAAGGCAAAATAACACTACGACACACTATCAAGTCATCAGTGAGTTAATTATACAGGGTGGGCATATCCCATACGACACGGTCCCTGTAAACCAAACCATTAATTTTTTCGAGAGTTTTTCCATTTAATTGTATGTAGAAGGAAATTATTTTGGAGTCTATAGGGAGGCTCAAAAAAGTGTGACATATCAGAGTTTTGTTTTTTCGAATAAAACGCCCTGTATTTCGTTACACTAACTATAATCGTTCTCGAGTTATTGATTTTTTTATAAAAATGCTAGGTTTGGAAACTAGATAACATCGAAATGTATAGAAATCATTCCTTCGAATACTGACCAAGCATAAATGAGGTTTCGGGCTATTGATTTCGATTAAATTCGTTTCTCAATATTATAAGAATGCTCAAAAATCATTGTCACTTTTTTATAATTTCGGACAAAGGTTTCCTCTACCTAACCTAAATAATTTTTCAGATACTGGCTTTGTGTTGAAAATGAAATTGTATCACATTCAAGAGCGGATAGATATGATTTTAGCGATTGACGCCTTTTGGCGTCAAGAGTGTATGCATAAAAATATTTATCCAAACAGAAATCATCCAAACAAGTTGGTTTTCAAACAATTGCTACATGAATTTCGTAGGACTGCAAGTGTAGCATATGTAAAGGCAAATAACCAAAACCTAGCATTGGAAATGAGGAAAATGAATTTCTTATTATGAGATCAATCGCATAGAAAACCCTCATACGAGTCAACGTTAGATCAAGAAGGATACAGGGATAAGCAGACGGAACAACATTGTTTAGACCATAAGAATACAGGGTGTTCTATTTGAAATAACAAAGTTTTTTTTTTCGAAATTATAGAAAATTGACAATGATTTTGAACATTCCGTATAATATTGAGAAACGGGGTTTATCGAAATCAATAGCCCAATACAGCTTGTCAAATCTAGGAAGAGACATAAGAATTGCTGCTCTCTCTCTCTCTCTCTCTGTCTTTCTTTCGCTAGTACCGTACTAGTGAAAGAGAGAGAGCAGACATTCTCAAGTCTCTTCCTAAATTTGACAAGCTGTACCTCTTCAATGCTTGGTCAGAATTCAAAGGGATGATTTCTATACATTTTGATTTTATTTAGTTTCCAATTGTACCTACCTATCATTTTCATAAAAAATCTATAACCGAGAACGGATATAGTTAGGTACATAATACCTCATATGAAGTCATATATTATTTTTCCCCGACCTATTTAAAACTGTAACGAAATACCGGGTCTTCCATTTAAAAAACACAATCTTTGATATGCCGCACTTTTTTTAGCCACCCTGTAAACTGCAGCCTTAATCAATATACATGCAATGAAATAGAGAAATTCTCGAAAAAAAATGAATGGTTCACAGTGACTGTGTCGTATGGGGTGCCCCACCCTGTTTTTTTATATTTTAAAATTGAAGAGTGCATTCATCTGTGCATCAAGCCCGCATATATTTGGAATGTCATATTAGTCCCAGTCGAAATCTGTTTTTTCAATGCATATCACTTGTACAACATTTTGAGATTATTACTGGCAAAGGGAAATTATAATATAAACACAAAATCCAAATGTTATGATTTTTGTATACGTACATCAACTTTTCGTTCTTTTTGTACATCGAGGGAAATAATCGGAATCATATTCATGAGATGATATTGCAAAGAGCAAATGAATGTGACCAAAACAATTTCATTTGTTTTGAAAACAAATTTCAGAAATTTTGTCACAGTATGCAGATTATATGTATCCAGAGTTGAAAGGAATAAGTAAACGAAAAGTTCTAAATAGTTCAGTCACCTGGGAAAAATTCGACCTAATTTCAGCTCGCACCTCGTATTAAAAACTCCGTGATGTCAATACTTACTGCTACTTTCAAAAGTCATTATCACATCACTTTCGTCGATCTTGTTTTGTTCCTCCCCGCTAATGTAAACATCCGTACTACGTTTCCTCCTGGTTTTCCCCTCGTGCTCCTCCTCCAACAAGGATTCGTAGATGTCGAGAAGAAATTTCAACGCCGACTTGTTCAGAGGCTTTCTATTCACTTTCCTTGGTCGACGGGGTAGCCCTAGGAGGTTCAAAATCTCCAACTCCATCTCCTTCTTCTCATCCACCGTCATGAGCCTTTCCATCGCAGTTTGGTCAAACCCGTTATCGAGGTAAATGCCAGATTTCGGCGTCGAGGAAGCGGTCCACGAATTCGCCAGAACCAGACACACCAGCACTATCGCACACCGCATTTCAGTGAATTCACTTGTTCAATTAGAGTTGATCAACGCCTACGCGGTATTTAAAATGTAAACACTGGAGAATCGCCACTTTTACGAAACTCGAGCCACTAAGAGACTGCGTGCAGACTCTGTCCAAGTTATAAAAGCTGTGTGGGCAGGTATTTGAACAGGTTGTTAGATTGGAACGAGTCCCCACCTATTAAGATGCCTCTCTCTATAGGGGGTCTTGAAAGATAATGAGATTTTAAGAATCACAGGTATATAAAATCTGTTCACCTTTTCGTGGCGATTATGCATTTGTGATTGACCGAAATGTCACCAGAAGTTGAATTATGGAATAATTAATACGGAGTTTAAACATATTGAATAAAAGTGATTTTTCAGTGGAGGTAATCAGAGTATCCCCTTTCTACACCTACGTCATTTCAATTATAAATGTACTTGTGACCTCTGACCCAAATTAGCAAGGGTGTCGAAGCATAACAATGTCATCTCCAACCACATGGAAAACTTATTTATTAAGGGTTTTTCGACAAAAAGTTACTTGATAAAAGTTTGTGCATCCCCTAAAACCAAACATACACTAACAAAATACAGTAAAACACACGTAATATACGAGGAGCCTTCAAATATTTGATTTTGAGACTGGAGTATTAAAGTAGGTACTCTCATTTTGAAAAATCTCGGAAAGTTGTTCAGCATTAAAAAATTCATCTAGATTTGAAGTCATAGCCATCTAAGTGAAGTTTTATTTTTATACTCATTTTTTATAACCAACTTGGTTGGTGAAACGCACGGCGAGCAGAGTATTGCAGTCCTGGTGTTTGGGAGAAGTGTTGTTTAGGATTTATTCTACCCCAGAGATTTCTGTTTTACCTTTCAAAAATATCTCCAACCAAAGACTACTCAACACAAAAATACGACTTCAAACTTCAAAGAGATTCACCACGTAAAACAAAACCAACGCAATTGCAACCTTTTTTTATCACACGTGTTGCATGGGTTCATAAAGACGCCTGAATTTATTTTGACGAGCGTTAGTTTCAATTTTGCAATAACTCGTTTGATATTCAATAATACTCCGTTTCCTTATAGTGAAAATTATAATTACTCATTATAAATGTATAAGAGAATTTTAACTTCTTTTATTCAAAATACAGTGTTTTTACATGCAACGAAACCCAATGCTTATTATGAAATGTTTCATAGTTCCTCAACTAGAGTCATCAGCATCTACACTTGCTGCATGTACTTGGTCTAACTTCAGCCTCTTGGCAGGTCTTCCCTCTCGTTCCTTATCTTCTAATTCTTTACGGAAATCACGGGCCCTAGTCTCACCAATAGTTCGTTGACCATGCTGTCTGAAAAATTACACCATTAGAACAGTAATCGACCGTGTGGGTATTTCTCACAAGAATAATTTTTTTCTGATGCTTCTCGTTCGTTTACCAGCTGCTCCTTGCTGAATTAAATCGAATAAGCACCAGTGTAGCGCCTGAACAGGAAGCATCGGCCAATAAAGAAGAGAGAGAGAGAGAAGCACCAGATGTATTTTCGTGACGTCATCTGCGTATGCAGAGGTAAGGATATTTATGATGATTTTGAAATACCGTTTTTTTAATGCAACGCCTTGTATCCCAGAAACGAAGCAACTCCGGACATAATAGGTCGATAAAAAACTGATTTTCCTCCACAAAAAAATATCTTTCGTTGAATAAACTATTTTTTTCTCAAAGAACCCAACGAATCAGTTTCGTACCGTAGTTAGGAACACATTTCATTTGACTTGAAAAAAATTAAATTTCTGTTTTGATAGCCTGGACCTCAGAGTAATGATATAAATAGAGATGCCTTTCTGTCCTTGTTTCTGGAGCCAAATTACTTTGTTTATATTTACGACAGTCCTCCAACTAACAAAAATAGATAATACCGGTATTTCGTCGTTTTTGGAAGTTATTTTGGTGATTTGAGTGCTTATTGACCGATATAATCAATCTGTAGTGCAAAAAGTGATTTTGAAGATGGTGAAAACCTGCGTTATATCAACATGCAAGGATTGCATGTTGATGTAATATTTCACAGGCAAACAACAAATGGAGCATGGGCATAACCCAGAATTTTCGATCGAATTAATAGTTGATAGTCATTAGAATTTTTTTGACATATTTTACGCACGCCCTTGGATCCAGTCCAGAGGATTATGTAAACAATTCCCTCAGTCCCCTTGTCCGCATTTTACTATGAGAGGGCATCTCTACTTATTTTTTACTCTGAGGCCTGGACTTGGCAAATTCGCTGATAGCATATAAAAAAGAAGAAGAAGAAAAAGTGTGGTTAAAAGTAAGTTAACCACATTTTTTTATTTGTCATCATTTGAATACATACGTTTGTACTTCTAGATCATGGGGAAAAATCATCGCCACAAAAAAGACTTGAAAGCTGATAAGGCCAAAGTTAAGTTCAAACAAACAAAAACTAAGTTTCTGCCAAAAGGTCAAAATGTAACAAACACAACTTTCAAAATTAAACCTATTGTATCGGCTCAGCACTTGAAAGAAAAACCGGAGGGCATACCATTAAGCCAAAGAAAATTGGACGTGAAGGTAGTATAAGCTTCTCCATTGTATTTAGTAAATAGTTATTTCAATTTATTTAAGGATTTATTGAGAAGAATAAAGCATCACACCGAAAATGTTCGCATCAGTGCTTGCGAAGAGTTGTCATCCATATTTAAGTATCATACGGAAGAGCTCATGCAGAACTCATTCGAGATTATACCGAGTATCAGTTATCTAATGCTGGATAGGGAAGAGAAAGTGAGGAAAGCAGCACTTAAAGTAGTGAAAACGATTTTGGAATTGGTAAGTACTCTAAATGAGTTTTTTAATTATTTTTGCTAATTACTGTCAATTGAAATGGTCATTATAATTTAATCAATGTATTTTTGATTTTTTTTCTATCAAAATCAATCATTTTGTTCAGCAGCTCAAGGTTGGACTAGGCTGAAAGGGCCCAAGAGGTTCTCCTCAAGCCTAGGATGAAGGTTAATGGGATACTGACTATCAGATAATTATTTCTAATGAAAAATCTGTAACTAACTCTGATTCTTGTTAGATAGTTTACAAAATTTTGTTTTATTTCTATTTTGTTTCATCAATAAAAGTGTGTATTATTATCTATCAACATTTTCAATTATTTCTCAGGTACCCCATGAGAAATTGGAATGCGACCTAAACTATTTTTCAATTTACATGCGATGTGCCATGACAAATATCAGCCGTAATATTCAAGAAGATTCATTACTGTTCCTGGACTGTTTTCTAGATCATGATTGTGGTCTGATTTCAAGATATGCAGATAAGTTACTGCCAAGTTTCTTCATACTAATTTCAAAATTAAGGAGAGAAGCTGGTTTGAATCGTACTGTGACAGTCAATTTGGGAAACAAAGTGACCAGCCTTTCATGGAAAACAAAATTATTGAGTAAATTACATGCTGTATTAGAAACTATGTACAAGAATATAGTTAAATGTCGAAATTCAGATCTGAAGTAAGTCCTTATTTATAAATACTAATTTTCATAATTTTTCATCATGATTGTAATTTCCATTCAATTGTATCAAGTTTTGTCAGAAACATAAAAATAAATTACATAAACCAAATTGTGATTTCCAAGATAATAAGGAAAGAGGATTCTAATTTATATTGTTGAGTAGAATTGGGATGGACTCGGGCAGATATTTGCTGAAATATCAGAAAATACTTTCATTCACCTTTTTTTGAAACACCTACATTTCGAGAAGCTGAAAGAGAGTGAAAGCATTTGCCCACTTATATGTAAACCTCCCATTGTCTATGACGGTTAACTTCAGGAAGTTACGAACTGGTTCAATGTCAATATCCAATATGTGAATAAAAGCAAGACCCAAACTTTTATGTTATTGGTGTCTTATAATCATATTGACAAACTAGCAAAAAATCTATCATGCAAGGTCTATGCAACCAGGCAGATAACAAATCAAGTAAGTAATGGAGCTGCCCATAATGCTTATCATGAAATGTTTCATAGTTCCTCAACTTATGGATTGATAAACTGGGACACATCCATTCATATCTTGAGAATATTTACAATTCAAAAACAAACAATCTGAGCTTGAGCTGGAATAGCTCAAATAGAGATCTGTAAGATATCCTACTACCTACTGCTTTTCGGTAATTTTAATTGTAATTTATATTATATATTATTGACACTAAGGTGTAATAATTGAACTAATAAAAAATCTAATCTAATCTATATTCATTAAAAACTACTATAACTACTCCAGTCTCAATGTAATTTGTCCATTTCAGAGCTCCAATCATAGATGCTAGAAAATGCCATTTCTACCCAATCTATAAGGAGTCATTGAGAAGAGCACTTTTTGATTCAGCTTCGCCTTATGAGGATGGATCTAACAACATTGAGGAGTCATATTTGGCAATTGAAAATAATCTTGATGCGCTTGTGTCATTTCTGTATGAGTCATGGATTGAAGTTATTTCAGACAAAAAAGGTGATTATTAATATGGATTGGATGGTAAATTTTCAAAACCTCATTAAGTACTCAAAAAATTGTATTTTCTTCATAAATAGGAACAAAGTCTTGAAACTGAAATTAAAAAAACTATTGAATATTGGAACAAATGTCTAGAATTACACATAAGTTAAAAAAGGTCCAAGTCAAAATCCTGAGGATATGTATAGACTATTCAATCATGAAATAGTTGCGTCATTGAGATGAATAAAAACATGACAAACTTGTCACCTCATAAAAAATTAGTAATTTCAGAATAAAATAAACAATTGGAAAATTCATCTGGGACATCTAGAAGAATAACATTCTGATTAATAAAACCACAAGTTCAACAAAACCTGGATACTTTCTATTCACTCTGCACAATATTGTTTGTAAAGTTACGTCCTAGTATGTTTAGGAACTATTTGTAATTTTCATTTCTTAGGAATTTCCTCTTTTTTGAAGAAGTAAATGAACAGAGACAAATTCCAGCTTTGTAGTTGAGAATAACATGCAGACCACTGCCAAAAAACCCAGGAAAATAGGTCAGACACAGAATTGTTAGTACGATAGAATCTCACTAATACGGCACTCTTCAATAGACAATAGACCAATAGACTTCAATAGACCGATACGTTCAATATTCATGTATTTACCTGTCGTTTTAAAGTGAGAATAGTGTAGTAAAAAATTTCAAGTAAACAATATGATTGTTTGTATAACACAATTAACTATAGTAGGTTTGATCTAACATTGCTCTAAGTGAGGCTGGAAAAAACAAGTCAATTTTGAACATTTTTATGAATTTTTAAGCATCTCTTTGACAAATACTTCCCAATCTCAAAAATAAAAAACAAAAACTTGTTTGACTAGAGGAATAAAAGTGTGATCAAAATATGCGATCCTTGCATTATATCGGAACAATGAAACTTTTATCAAATATTTTAATGAATACAGATAGATAGAAATGTGACAAATGCTGCGAAACAAACAAATTATGAAAGTCTTTTCAATTCTGATGATAATATAATGAAAGAAGGGTTGAAAATACTTGATGAATTGACAGGAAAACAATCAAAAGTAAAATCTACTAACACAGCAGTAAATCCTAAAAAATTAAACAACCACTATTGTTCAATCACTGCTGAATTTTTGTTCGTTAGTCTCGCTAAAACTCGAGAACGGCTGGACCGATTTGACTAATTTTGGTTTTGAATTCTTTGTGGAAGTCCAGTGAGAATAAGAGAAACTCAGGTATTGATGAAATTCAGATTGTGTTTTAAATGTTCTTGTCTCACTGATGAATGAGCTATTCACAAAAGATTTTTTTTTAAATGGGCAGATATCACTTTCTATCTTATCCAAAATTGAAAAAACCAAAAAGCAGTTGATGCACTTGCTCTATAATGAAAACATTATAACTCCACAGCAGTATGGTTTTCAAAATAATCAAAGTCCCAACAATGCAAAAGTTCCTTTTTTAAAAGGTTTATTGTGATAAAAGTTCTCGTACCTACACAGCATATTTTTGAAGAAAATTTCAATTTGTACTTATTTCCTCTGTGATAATGTATTTGACATTTTAGTCACTACTTTCATACTATTTTAACCTTGCCCAAAAACGTATGTCAACAGGAACGTTTCCTTAGGACAATATTTAGAAATTATTTTACTTTATTCAACTTCATCAACAGATAATCCCGTTTTGAACGAAGAAGGAGCTGCGGTTCTATCATATATCATGAAAACACTTTATTTGATATGGAAATGTGCAGAATTAGCTGGTTCAACTAACTCATTTGCGGTAAGCCTGACCACACAATATAGCACAGAATTTGGCATAGAAGTAGTATCTTTTTTCAGGAAAATATCTTTTCTTCAAATGAAGGCAAGAAATTTTTAAACCGTCTGTTGATGTACTTCCCTTATTGCCAAAATGAAGATGTTTCAAAATCGAAGAAGAGATGGAACAAATCTGGCAGGCTGTCCTTGGACCTAAATCTTGATCCTAATTGTGTTAAGGAAAATATGATGATATGTCTCATCAGTTACCTTGTTTTTAACGAAACTCACATGAACAGAAATATTACAATTGAAATGAAAGCTATACAATCGTATCTAAACAGTAAGTAGACAGATATTTTCAATAATCGTGGTGTTCATGGATAGTTTTTTTTTAGAGTGTTTGCTCACTCAGGGATATATCAACGAGAAAAATATACAATACTTGATTGAAATTCTAAAAATGTGTTTAGTAGAGAAGCATGTTTTATGGGGTAAAGCTGGTGTAAACCCTAGGTCTCTCGTGGAGAGCACTATAGTTTTTTGCAATAGTATTGTTCTGGGAGAAAAATATAAAATTGAGCTCTTCAAAATTCTCGCACATCTTGTTAATATCCCTTTTTTAGGAAGGTAAGCTTTCAGATATTATTTAGTTGAATGAGATTTGAAATAAGTTTGTTTTAGATTAGGCAAAAAACCCAAAATTCCTTTGCCAGAAATGAAATCTCCCATTGGGTAAGCATTAACAACAAATAAACCTAGGTTTTTATTGAAGTGAAAGATCTGATAACTGTTCTGAATTTTTTATTTTATTTCAAATTGTTATACTTTTGATTTCAGATGGCCCCAATACAACGCTTGGTTGTCTTCCTTGCCAAAACTTTTGTGTGAACCAAAAATAACAGATGATACAGTTGATTTACTTCTTGAGTTATCTAAGAAGAATAATGAAGTTTTTCACAAAGCTCTTTTGAAGAATTTGAGTGAAATTTTTAGTAAGTTCGTTTTTTTTTAAATTTATATAATCTAAGTTAAGGTTAAGTGTTAGAATAGCTTCGGGCTAAACTTCCCTCCAGGCAAAAGCACTTTCTTTTTGTAATTTGCTCAATTAAGTCATAATATTATTGGTATATATTTATTTAAAGGAAATTTGGATTCCGTAAACTTGGTTGTAACTAAGCCTAGCCTGAAGAATACCCAACATACAATGAGACGGCATATTATATATCTCTTCTTTTATGTTCCCATATTTTCAAGAGAACACGAGCAAGAAATAAAGGACTATATTTCTAGGAATCCTGAAAGCTATAATTCTTTTTTCTTGGTGAGTTATTCTTTGCTTTCTAACAATAACAAAATTAATGTGAAACTTTTATTTTCAGGGATTGTTGGAGAAACATTGTGTAGAATAAATATTTTGACTGATTAATGTAAACAGTTTTTTAAATTTTCACTTATTGTTTTTAGTTTTATTACTGAATTATATTACATTGTTTTATAGTTGCATTTTTTGAATCTTGTCCTTTACATCTGGATAGACCCTTACAGGATGGGCCATTGAAAAGGCATAATTGCATCACTACATATCCCCATAAAATACATAAACGAATTGAGTTGGGTAACCTAGATGCCAATAAATTAATTGCACCCCGTACGTCCCATCCAGCGACCTTTAAACAAACATTTTATCTTTAATGTGTGCAGGATCATTCTCTTGGGTATCAAACTGGGTAGATAGAACTCTGTCATAAATTCATCTGCAGCTCATATGTTTAATTTACAGGGAAAAGAGCAAAAAGCCCAGGTATAATTGTGATTCACTACTCCGTTCCAAAACAAAGCATATTCCTCTGAAAAACATTAAATTTTGGAAAATTGCTTATGGTTATCAAAATCGTCTTCATTTAGTTCTTACACCAAATCCTAAATGTCTGCAACTTGTAATCTTTTCATCCTTAATCGATCTAGTTTTGTAAAATTACAACTCGCAATAAGTTTTTCCAGAAACACATTTCTCAGGATAGAATTGATTGAATAGCTCAAAACACTTATTTTCACATTCATTACTCTTGAAATGAAGAGCTGAGTACCTTATAACAAACTAATTGTTGCCCGCGACTTCGCCCGCGTAAAATTTGGTTTGTCACGTTAAGTTTCGTAACAGACCATTATAAACAAATAATTACAATATTTTTTCATTAACCCAAAACTTCAGGTTTCCAACTTCAATACTGACGAAATTCAATACAATTTCAAACTCCTATTTTTCCCCTTGAGGGTGGAAATTCCTGATTCCCTTTCTTGATGCTATACAAATAACCTACCTGCATACTTCCAGATTCGGTAGCTTCGGCTGTACGTTAATATAAGAGTGTCAAAAAAGGTATTAGCTTTTCTTTATAAGCACAATATATTAACCAACTGTCAATTTGGCATTCAAAAGGTACAAATGATGCAATCTTTTCCTTTCTTGAACATGTCTACACATATGTCAACAATGGTGAGGTCGTAGCTGTAGTATTCTGCGACTTCTTCAAAGCTTTTTATTGTGTGAATCATGAAATTCTTTTGCAAAAGTTGAATCTTCATGGATAACAAATTGAAATTTGATCAACATATTTCAGCTTTGAGTGAAAAATTAGCATCAGGATTATTTGCACTTCGGATAGTTTCAAATGAACTGAGTTCATCCACAACAAAAATGGTATATCATTCCTTGTTGGGGTCTAGAAAGAGTGAGTGAATTTCCCACATTTATAAGTATAGATGCACCTACATATAAACAAATGAAATGAAATTTTAGCATACTGCCTATCCAAAATTAGGAGAGCCAGCATAAGAAAATCGGTAACCGTGAGAGATACGAAGTCGATTAAATTAGGAAAAAGTTGCCCATTTTAGAACTTATTCATATGACATATTAAAATTCCAATCAGTTCCAGAGACATTCGCCAATTTTGTTTTAATATTATTCTGAAGTTATTTAAGGAAATACTGAAAAACAAAAATAAATGATGGATCTCAAATATTTTCAATTTGACTTTTTGTCTCTAAGGAATCATACAAATTTTTAAGTATTTGTATGGACCTAAAAAAAATAAACCGATTGTGTTAGCCTTCTTGGCTTGACTTGTATCTTATATGCTTGCCCATTTTCCCACACTAGCACTTCTTACCTCGGACACAGTGTGTAATACATCCAATTAAAATATCAATATCACCAAGATTTGAATCTAGCTGTCCTGTGGTATGAACTAGTTTTTCTACAATTAGCACAAATTATAATAGAACTAGTTCATTCTCTTATAGCGACAGTACTGAAACAAATTATGTATAAAATATTTTGTTAACAAATACCCAAAAGAAATCAAAACAAAAATATTTGAAAACAACTATTTAATGAAATATTTCATTTTGCAAATGTAAGAAAAATCTGTGCCATATTGACGATATGACAAAATTTACTTCACAAAATAATAAATTTACATAATATAATGGTATAGCTAAAAAAATGTAACAAGATAATTTCATTTCACATATTTCTCCATGAACTTTTTATGGAACTCGGAGCGTAATGAGTCATTGATGAACATACTATTATTTTTTTCTGGTTCAGACTTAGCACAGTTCTTGAACACAACATCATCGTCCCACCTCCTCTTTACTTTTTGATCCACTTTGGTTGAACCGGAGGAATAGTGTGTTAACAACGGATTTCCACTTAGAATATTCTCCATTCTGATTCTCTCTTCCTCTTGGCGCCTTTCTATTTCCTTATTGGTTTGTTCAATTGCTCTTTCTTTTTTTATTTTCTTCAATTCTGCCAGTAGAGCTTCAGTATCATCGTCGTCATCACTAGAATCAGAGTCTTCGTCTAAAGGGTCATCAGCATCTAGACTTGCTGCAGGTACTTGGTCTAACTTCAGCCTTTTGGCATGGTCAGCTCTTACGCCAGGCCTTTTCTCTCGTTCCCTTTCTTCTAATTCTTTACGGAAATCACGAGCCCTAGTCTCATCAATAGTTCCTTGACCATGCTCTCTAAAAAAATAAGACCATTAGAACCTTCACAATATATCATAAATCACAAACAAACTGACAATAATAGCCTAACTCCAATCAGTTGATATTAATAGGATGCAAATTATTTTTTGTACTTTTGTGTGAACAAAACAGCTTTCAAGTAATTTGAAAGAAATGAACATAAATTCTAAAAGTTTGAATTCCGTGAAGTTCTGAAAAGTTATGTTACCTATATGAACTACAGTGATTTTTTCTCAATGCAGACAATTTGAATAAAAAATATATACATGCTATGAAAATTAACCTACAATGCTTAAAATACATGAACATATACGAAAAGAAAAAGTATGGAAAAACAAACTACCTGTATTTCAATTTAGTGTGTCCTGGCAAATCTCTGCTGGAATATTGTCTGGAAATGGCACTCAAATCTTTTTCATTTTTTCCCTGGCCACCTCGAGCTGGATCGAATGTAGGACGAGCAGCAGTTGTCATTTTTCAAACGATTATCACAACTCTGATTTTGATTTCAAAACTAAATCCACTTTGTGACTAAACTTCGGAAATAATGAACATAGAACACCTTATACTTTATGAAAATGAATATTGAATACTGGAAATTGAGTTTTATTTTGAGTTATAACAAATATGACATATGACTAATGAAGTTTCATTCTTCCTTAGGGATTACAAAATAGTGCCAACATTAGGCAATGGCAAACCTTTGGTAAACAAAATTCCGTGATATCATTGAGGGATATTAATTTGGCCATACTGATAATACTTTTAACTAGGTAATGTACCATGCATTTACACTGATGAATAATTTGTGACGTTTAATGCTTTCTAAGTGTTCGTTAAGCGTTTACTATTAAAGTAAGGAACAAGCATGTACTTTTCATTCTCTGAAATAATTGATGTGGTGTGCATATATTTCACATAGAAAAAAATATCCCTCAACTGTATTCCTAAAAAGTATTCAAACTTGAAACAGAAAATACGCATGTGTTTGTTTATTCCATCAAATATTCATTGTGATATTGTGATCCTCAGATATCTCAAACAAAACTATTTCAATTCCTTGACCTCGAAGGGATAGTGCTAAAAATTTTTACTGCAATTCTCATTGTGCTGGTTTCACAATGTAACATGTGAACAGACACTCGTTTTACCAATGGAACATAAAATATGCGCTCATCTGACACTGGTTTTACTAATGGAATGGACTTCTGGTACTTTCACCATTTTTTAATAAAAATATACCCCTTTCGATTTAAACAAGATTCCTATGTCTGGGATTTGAGCAAATGAGTATCATTACATAGTGTCATCGATGACATGCTTATATTGAACTCACTCGTGATATAAAGTCGTAATTTCATAAATTCATTTAGTGCTTTTTTTTATAATGCTATCCAGTTTTGGTACTGAACGGAAGATAAGGCAAGTGTCTTAAGCCGAAACATCGGATGTCCACCAGTGAAGATGACAGTGTTTCATGTAAGTGAAATTTTACCTCTCATTTACTATATTGTGTAGCACTCCTGTGAATGATATTTGATTCAATTCCATAACGAGTATTTGGAGTACGAACTGAATAGAGAAACGTGTTTTTGTATAATTCAGTGTTCATATAAAAGTATTTGTTTCGAAAGTATTTTTATTTCGTGTAATTAATTGGTTATATGAAAGTAGTTATTTCGAGAAGGCTTTTCCTCCAGTTTGTATATGAAAGTAAATTCTTTGCTTTATCTACACATCTTTTTATAGAGTTAATTTTATGTAATTGATTGCTTCTTCACTCTTTTTTTTTTCGGAAGATTCCCTCTTCTATTGGTATAAAGATGGAGAAGTAGGAAGTAGAAACGACTCCTATTCTTCTTCTTTATTCTGAAATTGTTCCAGAAGTTGTATAGACCATATTAGTTAGGTTAGGATTTCACTTTTGGCGCGAGGTCCAACTTCAAAAAATCCTGCTCGGTACCAATAAACGGTGCGTTCCACTAAGCGGTCGTTATATGAACAGATCTCTTGAATTTCAAAATAATTAAAATTCAAAATATCATGGAGAAATATTACGGAATTATTTTTGTATATCAATTTACAGTCTTATTGGAGTTAGATAATTAGTATTTTATCTGATAGGTAGAAATTGGAATCTCTAACGTAAAACGAATCTAAAGAGAAAACAGCGAGGATGGCAAATTAATTATTTTTGGATCTTAAAAAAATTTTTAGCCACAGGAATTTATGTGGCTGGAAACAGTGTGTAAGGATAAGAAGTGAAAAATCCGCTGTTTTCTTCATTACACATAAGTTTACTTAGTCTCCATGAATCTTCAGGTCAAATTGTTTCTCTGATGACTTATACTGCAAAAACCTGGGAAAGACCGAAAATAAAAATGGAGATTAATATGCTAAATATTGAATACAAGTAATTTCAGATACAACTGGTAGCTCAGACCATTTTTTCCATAGGCTTGTTCTGTACCACTAAGTAAAAAATATATGATGTTCAGAAAAATGTTATCTGAGACTTAGCTGAATGCAATGACTATCCTTCAAATTCAGTAGAAAAGTTATTTAGGAAACATACATTCAGGAAGAATCTTCTCAAAAAGACACTGTTTCAAAGTTCATTGTTCTTCTTTATGAACCAAGATACACTCACAGATTATATTGTATTTTGAAAAAGTTGAACATCAATTGCTTTCTAAACTGCTCACCTTAACAAATGTAAAATAATCCTTGAGAAAAATGTTGGAAATGAAGATATATGAAATAAGCTGTGAGGACCCAGGCAGAGATTATGTCGGTCAGACTAAATGTGCTATTAAAACTTGTTTCAAAGAACATGCAACACACATTAGGCTTCTGTGACCAGAGCAGTCTAGTGTCTCTCTGAATTTCTTGGACCACTGCCATAGAATAAATGAATATTTTGGAATAAGGTTAGTGTGGCATGGAAACTATGAACTGTGACAAAAGTTCCATTCCAAACAGTCCATTGTTTACTTTTATATGAATCACTCTAAAGTAAGTGAGAACTTTCACGAGAAAATTTCCCTCCAATTTCTACCCAAAAAATCATGATGCGTGCCTAAAGTGAAAATGTATCTGTACTCCTGGAGATGTCAATTTGGTTGGTGAAACGCTTGTCGAGAAGAATGTTGCAGTTCTGCTTTTTGGGAGCAGTGCTTGTTTTGAATAGATAATTGTGTTGCAAGGTACTCAACCACTGTATTATGTTTCAAAAATAATTCCAAGGAATGTGAAGAACAAATAATTTATTTTACAAATTGATATCAATAATCAAACAATTGTAGTTCATTAACTCACATCTGGAAGACAAAAAAATTGTTCTGTTAAAAAATGTTGTTTGACACAGTTTGTCCCTTGGATCTAACACAAGGCACCATGAAATTGAATACAAAACTGATTCAAATCTAATAAGTCATAAAAAGTGGTAACAAATCATAAAAAATATAATTGATAAAACCTAATTAATTACATTCATTAACTTATAGTTTTAAAATGTGAGCTTAGATTATTCCAACTTCATACATAGGTTTATCGACAATTAACCTATCAAATCCTAATCTGGTTAGATCAATTGTTTGAAATCTACCATCTAAAATAAGTTCTGCAACGGCTCTTCCAACTGCGGGGGCTTGCTGGATACCTAAAAAGTTGAAAATGAGGGGTTAACAGAAATATAACAGTTCCAAAAATAAACTGTTTATACACTACTATGATTGTGTCATTAAGATTAGTTTAGTTGTCCTCATCATATCAAAAATGAAATCTGGCTTCAGTTAGATGGCGCATCATCACATTTTTGGGGGAAGTTACAAGAGGAGTTGGATGTAACGTTTCCTGATAAGTGGATTGAACGAAAAGGACCTATCTACGATGAAAATAATTAAACAATCATTGGTAATAAGGACCTATTCCTTTGTGGCCAGACCTAACATTTTTTAATGAGGAACAGTAAAATCAGAAGTTTGCCATACTGCCACTACTACACAGAAGGCCATATAATTCGTTAGGAATTTCAACTATTTATCCCTCCTCATCTGAGCCACGCGAGAAAAAACTTTTTTCAAAAATTCAGAAAATGTACAACCATATTATAATATTCTTCAGTGTAACTCTTAGTGATATGTTAATTGCATGTGTACATGCATTTGTTTGTGTATTAGGATTTCCTATTGAATTATTCATTCAATTAAATAGTGAGGTTGAAGAAAATTTGAAAATGTGCTATAAGTGTAATTACTGTCGTTTCTTTTGATGTGAATTTGAAACGTTTTGTTCACTAATCTTTTAAAAACATTTTGAAAAATGCAAATAAAGTATGGTTGGGAATGATATATTGAATGTTGGTAATATAAATGTTCCTCAGATCATTACATGCTATTTTGATGTTCTCTGAGCTACATCACTGAACAACTTTCAAATCTTTTAAAAAACAGCTTGATTACAATTTTTTCATTCAGAACAAGCATCACTTCGGAATTTTACAAAAACAACAATAACTGGGCAATGGAGCATTGTGGCTGGAAAAAAAATCAGTCCCGAGTAGGACAGTGAGGAACATTTCATTGATAGAAAAATAAAGAGGTTGTTCCATTCAAAAAAATGATTTATTTTATTTCACGAAAACATGCAACACCCTCTACATATAAAAGTCTTTTCGAAATGTGGCCTTCCCGATGACATATAACTTTCATTTCAAACTCCATTTATCGACATAAAAACTTGGCAAGCTAACTTGTGATTTTTATCAAGTATTTGTTTTTATTCGAGGACCACCTGCCCGGCACTGTTGATGCCCAACAGGCTGAAACAGCTGTCTACTAGTGGCTCTCAATTCATTTTGATGGGAATTATTTTCCAGCAGCTTGACTGCATCAACCTTCCTTGATTTTATATCATTTCTGGAAACATGTGGATTCGTTTTCCGATGGCATTCCAGGAGAGCTCCCCAAATTTTTGCCAAGGCAGTTGTTGGTTTTAAAGATTGGTCAAACCACAAATTCCGACATAAACTTGGCAAACTAATTTGGGAGTCACACCAATAGGGAAGTTGAATAGAGTTTAGCAGTCAAAGACAAAAATATTGTGAATTTTTTTTCTGTTCGAGCTTTCAAGGCGTTAATTGCATCTTCCTCAGGAACTCTACAATTATTACTCAATCAGATGGAATGTGGATTAAAACATGTTATTACTTACAGAGATGAGGTTAAAATTAAGTTCACATAAATATAAAAAATAGGGTCCACATGTTTGTAAGTCAGGAATAAAAAGGAAAATTAAATTCAAGACGTCAGACATAAATAAATAAAAAAAAATGTTTACCATGTCCGCTAAATCCTGAAGCTATATACATATTTAGGAAGTAGGGGTGTGGTCCAATAATTCCGTTCATATCAAACGTGTTGTATTCATAAAATCCACTCCATGCCCCTGTCACCTGTAAGTTATCTGTTTTAATTGAAATTGAAACTGTTGATAACATTTTCCTAATGCAGCCTATTACTTATAAAAATTATCATATCCGATACTGAGTAATAACTCATTCGATAAGTCAAAAAAATATTTTTTTCCTGGTTTGAATTTAATCAAACTTCTGTATAAATTTTTTGAGGATAGCCAAATTCAAAACATCGCTCAAATTTGGCTTTTAGTGTACACAGTCATTGTACAAGAGCGAATTAAATATGAACAGAGCTTATAGTTTAGTATTTTCATTTACACAGTACAACATAATTTGGATACCCCTGATTTTCATATATAATCTGCTCTTATAATAATACATTTTTCCCACCAAAACTGAAATTTTTCAAATGCAACATCAAAAAATGAATCTGGGCACGAACATTTCTACCCCTTCGTCATCGTTAAAGAGATGATCTCCCAGTTCTTCTTTGAGTGGTATAATCATGGTATGTTTGAAAGTGGTTGACAATGTTTCATGGTGAATATGACGATCAGTGAAACTAAGAGACCATTGAAAATCCGCATTGCCGAGCACAAGAAAAACACACAGCGAGGAGAAAGCAGCAAATCGGGAATAGCAGAGCATGTTTGGACTCGTCAACATAACATCAAGTGGGCTGAAGCTGAAATCATCCACAAGGAGGAACACTGGTTTAAGAGGAAGTTCAAAGAATCTGCATATATGTTGTCCAACGACACATACAGCTAAGCTAGCGTAGAGATAGGCAACATAAGGAAACCTGTAATCAAGCAGATAACGGTCAACTCCCACTAAGCCGATGAAGCGGAGAGAGAAAAGAGGGAATAGGACAAAGTGCTCGAATGACCTATAGTCATCACTCGGAGGAACAGTCCAGTCATCACCCCAAGACGATTGTGGGTACTAACAATTACAACGGCGTGAAGTAACTTGGTTTGAAATCTTTTTTTATTGATTTTTTAAGAGCATGTTTGGACTCGTCAACATAACATCAAGTGGGCTGAAGCTGAAATCATCCACAAGGAGGAACACTGGTTTAAGAGGAAGTTCAAAGAATCTGCATATATGTTGTCCAACGACACATACAGCTAAGCTAGCGTAGAGATAGGCAACATAAGGAAACCTGTAATCAAGCAGATAACGGTCAATTCCCACTAAGCCGATGAAGCGGATAGAGAAAAGAGGGAATAGGACAAAGTGCTCGAATGACCTATAGTCATCTCTTGGAGGAACAGTCCAGTCATCACCCCAAGACGATTGTGGGTACTAACAATTACAACGGCGTGAAGTAACTTGGTTTGAAATCTTTTTTTATTGATTTTTTAAGGTTTTGCTTATTTTAGTTTTCATTCATTTTATTTTTCAGGTTTTTACTCTGTGGTCATTTTCATTTTGTATCTTGATTATTCTATTTGTTTTATTACATTTTCATTTCACGTTTTATTGTTTAATATAATTGATATTTTAGTTATTCATTCTAATTTTATTTGTTCTTTCATAGATTTCGAATCATACTAGAATCATATTAGACAATGTAAGTCCAAACTAATAAAAAAAATACAATCATGGTAGTCACACGGCAACACATCGGCGTATTTTTCAGTGAATTCTGGGTTAATGTAGTTGTGTGTGGCCGAACATTGTCACGGAGCAGAATTGCACTTCAAATTGCATATCTTATTTGTCTTTGCAATCTCAGAAAACGTTGCATCAACTTTTCCAGCAGAAAAACAGGTCTTGGCTTTCTGTGTTGCTGCTTCTCCAGGTTTTGCTACTCCGAGCTTGCCTGCTTAGATTCCGAAGTGTAATGATGTATTGATACCTCATCGCAGGTTATAAGGTGCCTTAAGAGATCGTCCCCCTCTATTAGATTTCATGTCAAAAGTCTTTCACACACAGCAAGACTATTTGTTTTCTAATCTTCCATCAAGAAGCGAGTTATTCACCTTGCAGACACTTTTTGGTAACCCAAATCATCTGACATGAATGATTGGGCAGTCCCATACAATATTCTGACGTGTGCAGCATTATTACATATTGTGAGGAAACTGTGATATTTTAAGTAGATGTTGTATATTTATTGTAGTACTCATACTTTGAAATTTTATTCCTGAGTTTAGTTGACTAACACATTGTGGTGTTGTATTTGATTATAGGAGTATTGTATTAGCAGTTTCATTGCTAAATAAAGGATTTATAATATTCAAAAGAATTCAATATTTGTTTGAAAATGTCCTTGTATGGCGAGAAACTGCAGTAACGTTAGTTAAAAGTGGTATAAAAATATAGAAAGTTTCAATTCTCATTTTTTATGACTTCATCATTATCATAAATCTATCTAATATGCAATATCATATATGGAAACTCACTACTAAGGTATTTGTTCCCTCATAAGTTCCTTGGTCTACTCCTTGAACCATGATACTTGACTTCTCTTCAAATAAAAAATCTACAGCTTCACCTGTAACGTACTGAGCTCCTAATTGTTTAGCTCCATTTTTCAACAAGGTTAGCAGAGACCACGGATCAAACCAGCCTTCTTTTTCCAATCCCAAACAGCCAAGAGCAACATCTGAAACGTCCATATAAGGAAATCTGTGAAAAGATATTCTTCCATTATAAGATTGCAAGGTTTTTTTCTGAAATATTATTTAGTAATAGCATTATTTTACTGGGAAAAAATAGTAATGTTTTGTGTGGTGAGCTATACAAAATTTATTTTGTTACGTGAAACATGCTATTTTTTCTTCAAAAGTGAAAATGTTAACCTTTTGAAAAAATTATAAAATGTTTTATCTTTTTGACAAGCACAAAAACTCGCCTAATGTAGAGTCTGCCTTTTCTGCAGCAAATGTCAACTTGACATATAATTCAATTATGTGGTTAAAACTGCTAATCATGTTATCAATCATCTGCTGTGTCCAAAATCACATTATTAATTCACAGAGGTAATATGTTCTTAGTGGAAAGTGTTCTTGAGATAGTTCAATCAAAATCAATGTGTTGAGTGGAAAATCAATGAATTCCATTTCAGAGGATTCTGAGAAAGACTGAATCTTAGGTTTCAAGTCTACAGAATTATTCTATTTATATGTTGAACAAGAGCAAACTTGAAGTTGATAAGAACGATGCTGTTATAATGGGAGGAATCTTAAAATGCCGAAAGACTAGAGAGAGGAGGTGGAACTTCATCGTTCTTCCTAGGGCACATTTTCAATGTTTTTTAGCTGTGTTTTATTCAACAAATAACATTCAGAACAGACGTGCACAATGTAAATATTAGGTACACGGGAATATCAACACCTCTTTCTTTCTGGTCCGACTTATTTAAAATTTCATTTAGTTATTGAATTTGTCTTGTTTACAATGATCTATCTGAACCTATTAGTATGTGTAGAAACCTACCTTTCCTTCAATTTTTCTTTAGTAAGTAAAACATTCACAGCTCCCAGTTCCCTTTGCAACTTATTATTATCTTCAAGTAGTGGGGCCCCTTCCTCATTTGCTAATAGTAAGTAGCCATGAGGATGAAAATTCACATCAGCATCAGGACCAAACCTCTTTTTCAAGGTTCTCAAAAATTCGGCCCCATATAGAGACATCTGGATATTCTCAGCTAGGGAAAATTGTTGCCTCAAACCTCCTACTGACAAAGCAGTAGAACATTTTTTGTACTACAAGTTGACTATATTAGAGCTTATTTTAGATGTAAAATGATTTTATAATCACCGTTGGATCTTTTTCCAGAACTACTACTTTTACTCCATCATAATTAGATTTTTCTTTCAACCAGTAGGCTATGGAACTGCCAATGGCACCTCCTCCTACAATAACTATATCTGCATGTCTAGGAAATGATCTGTCCTGAGACTTGATGCGATTTTTTGGGCGATTTTTTAACTGAATGTCGTCCCTCAATATTCTAAAAGTTCTGAAAATTGGGTTTTCGAATTCTTCATTTAACTGTCTGGATTTATGAAAATGCCTCCTATTCACCTTGTACGTAGTTCTGACGAAATTTCCCAACATTTCACTGCTTTTCACTTTTCTTGGATACTATGTTTTCATAGAAAAGTGCGCCTGGCAAAATTCATTATCATGTTCGTATGTACAAATAATTGGGGTCAAAAAGAATCATCTTTTACTGATAAGAAAAAGGGCAATCTTCTTTGAAGTCATGAAAAATTTTAGTACACAACAATTATATAAGATAAAAAGAGGTTATTGAGGTTAAGAGATCATTAAGGTTAACGAGCAGAAGCAGAAGGGAAGTTTAAACGTTCAAATATTCAGAAGGAACAAGGAAAACTCGAGGACGGTGCCTTACATCTGAAGAAAGGAAGCCAATGGGGAACAAGCATATATAACTCAGTTGAAAAACCCAAAATGAGTATCAGTGCTTGGAATTATAAACGAAATTTCAATTTCCTTTTAACACAAAATACAAATTGGAATATTTAAACTAGCCAAAAAAACGCCCCCCTAGCGGTTACTGGTGGATACATTACTACATCATTACTACTCTCCACCCTTAGTTCCAAATTTTCACAGAGAGGGCCTTTCACTTGTAGAAATTTAAGTAACCGGTTCTTTCCAGGGGTCGGTTTTATTATTACTTTTGATCAGGATGTATAAATTTCAAATATTTTTTTTAATTATTCATAATTCATCATAACTGAAGTCAATTGTATTATTATTGATAACTAAAGTTGAACTTGACTTCAAGGTCAAATTGAGTAAGAAGTGTAGGCAATGTTCAAATTTGAAAAATAAAATAGTGATTTGAAGTATTCAAAAAACACTTTGTGCGTGTTTCTTTATATAATAGCTTCTTCAGGCGTGTCTATACTGCTTAGTGAACATCTCACAATAAAGTTTTTCTTGAATAGGTTATGGGTTTCCATTAAGCATCAGCCAATTCCATCACATATAGTTTGAGATTTCTGAGGCCCATATCAATTATTTCTTCGATAGAATGTAAAATACATACATATTTCTTCCGAAGGAGTTGAAGGGTTCTAAGGTTCTATCACTTTGTTAATGTCAAAATTTCGACTGTCAAGGTTGGATTTTCCAAGAAAAAATAATGAAATTGTGATAGTCCTTTTGCACTTCCGTAAAATTCAAATAGCATTTTTTCATCATGGTAATCGGTATTTGATTGGATCAATAAACTCCAAATATAGAAAGGTGATACAGTGAACGGATTTTCAAATTAATGACACTTAATTAAGCCAAACATGTCTTTTATTCAGTACTCTCCAAACAAAAATTCTAGTAAATTCCCAAACGGGCGCAAGGGGCCAGTGTTTCCCAAACTTTTTTGATAAACACTGTATAATTATTATTACTAATTATATTTTCATCATTGTGAAAATATACACCTCTAAAAGAAAATGGTAAAGATGATATAATATAATTGACTTCAAATATACTATAATTAAAAGTGTATTTCTACTTGATACGTCGGACATTCACAGATGAGATGATCAACACTCAAGTTTTCGTGATAATTTTTGTTATAATTAGAAATAATTATAAACCAACTCAAGGAAATCGTTACGTATGACGGTGGAAGAAGTGGCAAACTCCCAATTGAATTGCATATGCACAAGTAATTGATTGATACGCCAAAATACTAATAATACAGTGCAATAAAAAATCAGTTGAAAAACTCTTCTATGGAGTAAAAACCTCTTTCAATAATGAACTCTTTTAAGATTGTTTTCAAAAATGTGCCTATTGGTTAAATTCTTAATATTAGCTGGACGGCATTTGAAACATTTGCAATTTGTACCCAACAAAATCTTAATTTTTTTTTGATAAAACAGCAATTTTTTTCAAAGTAGCGATTCACATTGGATTTGAATCGCTGAAGGTCAAATCCATTTGGTAAAATGTTCTTAGGAAGTTTAGTCCATATAAACGCTGTTCTTCAAATAAAAGAGTTATTAAACAGTGAAGTTCGAGGTGTACTGAGTTGAACCTCGAAACGATGAGCAGACACAGTCCGTCGCATATTTCTGATGTGTACCGCTCTTGGTGGAATCAAATGTGTTAGTTCACTTGAACACATTCCGTGAAAGTATCTTCAAAAAAGAGACAAATCTCCTAACTTTCTTCGATGTTCCAGACTATCAAGGTCGCAAGTGATGTTCGTGTCTCGAATCAGGCGGATGGCTCTTTTCTGGATGGAATTCAGTAACTTCAGGGTTTGCTTAGGGGCGGAGCTCCATACATGAGAACAATACTCCAAAGAAGGTCTGATCTGAGCATTATAAAGTATCAAAAGTTGCTGAGGTGTGTACAGTTTTCTGGTTCGGGACAATGTTCCAAGCTTTTGAGAAGAAGCTTTTGCAATTCCAGCGACATGATTGTGCCAAAACATATTGGTATCCATTTAAACTCCCCAACAAACTTATCGAAGCAGAAAAAGGAATTGTCTGTCCTGACACTATTATATCTGGTTCAGAGACATTCATCTTTTTGAATTGAACCTGATTACTTCGAAATCACCTCTAGATCTTCATTAAGATATGCAACCTCCTACTGCCGGTGAAGATGTGTAACCGCAGCCGATGTCCTGGAATCCAAATAGAATGACAAGTGTGTGCTATCGTCCGCAAAGCAATATATTGGGTTCTTGTTTTTTACCAATAAGTCGTTGATATACAATAAAAAGAGAGTTGGAGACAATATAGAGAAGATATTCGAGAGATATCAATTTCTGGTCCTAGTATAATATTTATGGGCTAGCCCGATTTTCCATATATAAAACCCTATTGTCATAAATAAAAATGCAGGCTTTTAAAATATAATTGCCATAAGTGTTGAAATTTTATATCAGCCGAAAGCATCTCTACAAGGATCTCTATTCCTCGTTCTGGCAATAATTCTTGTAGCATACTTTGAAATAGTGAAGTCTTTGCTTGCAAGTGAAGTTGTATCCCAGTTTAGTAAACCATACCCCTTATGGAAATAGGCATAATATAATGTTAGCAAGATATTCTCACCACATAGTTTACCAGAAAAGTATTGCTTCGAGGCAGATTCATTGTCCAAAGAATTTCTACCTAGGAAGCTGCGGTATTAGCGAAACGCGCCTAGAAATAAAATAGTGTTATAAATGTTCATCAAGTAACGGACCAGTCCATTCATAATTCGATAGAATTATTTGGGGTTCTTGGGAATACTAGCGTGAAACAGTTATCTGAGAAGACGTATAAAGATAAAAAAATGTATTTATTTTAAAGCATGAGTTGAAGACCGATGGACTTGTCGAAAAACAAGAAGTTGTTCTCCAACTTCCACTAATAACGATCTTCTTACTGGACTGGTGTGACATGCTCCAATAGAGAGAGAGACAAATAGAGAGAAATATACTTTATTGCCACGAAGAAAATAATTGTTATAGACAAAGCAGTCAGTTATAAAAGTAATGAATAGTATTTGAATAAATAAACATATAGAATATATAGGTGAATAAAAATAAAGAAATTGAAAGTGAAATCGCGCTAGATTAAAATTATCATTAAAAAAGTCCTCCAGATGATAAAAAGATTTTTCAAGAAATAGAAATTTAACAGTCTTCTCAAAATTATTGTAATCGTTTATATGACTTAACGTCCATTATAAAATCGAAATTTTTCTGTGGATAGGAAATTGTGAACAGGCAGTGTACAACTTTATAAGATTTTTCTTTGTCGTATATACTGTTTTAACAATGAAAAAATCCTTGTTTGGCTTTAAGGATATATCTATAACGGCAGGTTTTTGTGCTCTGATCTGCAGAAAATTGTTGTTTGCCACTCCCCGGAATGCAATATTAGTGAATTTAACACAAATATCAAAATGCAATAAACCATTGATATGTTTGTCTGTTTCTGTTTAAAATCTGTTTTCCGTTAACCAGCTGTCGTTCGTAGGAGTGCTGACCGCATTGACTATAACAATTATTTTGTTATGATTGTTATAGACAATAGTAGGAAAAGAGTTGGACCTAGTATTAAACGTTGGGAAACGCCATACTTAATGTACTTCTTATTGGAACAAGAGAATTTTTTTACTATTTGATGATGGTTAGTTGAATATGTTTCCACCATGGTTATTGAATGAAAATTTGAGCCATAATCAATCCTTGAACGAATCAGAACCATGTAAATGAGCATAAGGGTAGTACTATCATAGATATATACTATATATATTATAATTTCTATGGGTACTATCAGCCCTTCAAAATTGATTGACTAGAATTTTTAGCAGATTCGGACCACTTTGACGAATATTCTTCTTAGAATAAATTTTAAATGAACCTGTCAATGTTTTCAAGGCATTTTAGAAGGTATAGGGGAAGAAAGGCTTTCCTTCCGGAGAAATAAATGCATCAATTATACAGAAATTAATTTCTTCAGGTACCGATAAAAAACAAAATAGTTCGATAAAATACGATAAGTGCCAGACCATAAGATGTATCTGGCAACGGTGTTTCTCAGTATTTTGCAGGATAGCCAATCTTGTAATTATATTTTATAATATTCTGAATTTTGACAGTTCGCAGGATAGTGGCATTTTGATATTGGTATTGCAGGAATTACTCTTTTGTCTTATAATTATTCAGCTAGCAGATATTTGAACTATTAATTAGACTCATTTGAGTATAAACTGAAACTGTACTTGGAATTCCTTTTTCAAGTATTAAAAAACGGTAGTCTTTTTTTTGCATCCTCATTATCGATTTCAATATTTTTTTGTCTGACGTTGACCTCTCTCTCTCTTTTCCTGTATCGTCAGAATAGAAGACATTTTTAATTTTTTACGACAAAAATCCAACCTCACTTATCATTAGACAGCAGGACGCGTGTTTCGAGTTTCAAGAATCCACCATTAATAAAGTAAAAACGACTCTTTTCATCAAGTTTCCGTTTCAACATGAGTTTATATTGTTGGGTAAGTTCACAGTTTCTTATCAAAATAATCAGGGTCGATAACCTTTTTTTTTATATCAACTAGGGTGCTAACAGTCATGGTCAGTTAGGATTAGGGCACAAATCTGAAGCGGAACCGAAACCAAAGGAAGTTTCTTTGAAGGGTTCCGATCTCAACGTCAAAGATATCGTGTCTATAGCAGGAGGAGCTGGACATACTTTGATTCTGAACAACAAAGGCTATGTTTATTGCTGTGGGTGGAATTCCAAGGGACAGCTGGGTCTTTCCGATGATACCTTGAAGTTGACCCAGATAGAAATTTTGAAGGAGTTCCATATAGTTCAAATTTCGTGTGGTTGGGATTTCAGTGCCGCTGTGTCGGAATGCGGAAAGCAGTTTGTGTGGGGAAACAACCAATACACCCAACTCGGCCTATCAAAAAGCATAACATGTACAGGAATACCATCAAGACTGCAGGTTTCTCAAAAATTAGCTTCTGGTTTCCATCACGTAAGTTGTGGTTTACGACACTCTGCAATGATCACAAGGGATGGAGGACTTCTGGTTGCTGGCACCGGGGCCAAAGGTCAATTAGGGATAGGTCATAATTTTGATGACAACAACTATTTAAGTATATCCAAAGTTCCTGATCTTGAAAATGTGATTAGTGCTGACAGTGGACAGAACCATACGGTAGTGCTTAGGGACAATGGCATCGTACTTAGTTGGGGTGAAAATAAGTATGGTCAACTTGGTGTGGATCCCACTGTAGCTAATAGTTTTGTACCTTTGGAAGTGTTCAATAATGAGGGCCTGAAGTCCGTTCACGCTGGTTGGACCCATACTGCTGGGCTCACGAAAAACGGAGAAGTTTTTACTTGGGGTCGAAATAATTTCGGCCAACTAGGAGCCGAGAGGGAGGTGCCATACAAACCAACAAGAATTCCTACTCTGAAGAGTGTTGTTCAACTTAGTCTCGGTTCCGAACATAACTTGGCTGTAACGAGCGATGGAAAATTATATTCTTGGGGTTGGAACGAGCACGGTAGTTGTGGAACAGGTGATAAAAAAGACGTTAAGGTACCTACTCAAATACTAGTTAATAAAAGAGTCAAGTACGCTTTTGCTTGTACTGGTAGTTCGTTTGCTGTTGTTGAATAACATTAAGACGCATCAATTCTCATTGTGGATCTTTCATGTTCATGAGTATTTTTATAAAGAATCATTAATTATTATTGTATTGTGTATTTTTATAATAAAAATGTGTTTCAGTGTATTGATTATTTTTCTTCTGTTGGCAACAGTTCTTTTATGTTTGTTTGTATCCACTACTTCATTGTCATAAGCTGTGTCAATAATTCTTCAATCTAACAATGTTGAATCAATTTCGTTCAAGGAGTAATTGGTAAATAATATTTTATATCTTCTTATCTCTGTTGAAATTATTTGTTTACTATAAACTCTCCACTTCAATTTTGTATATATTAAGACATTTTTTTTAATTATGTTTATCTTATCTGTGTTCAAACAAGAATTATGTACTGAATTTTAAAATTGAAAAGATTGATGTTTTCACCCTAAAAAAGAAGAGAAGACGAACAATATATTTGCATATGCCTATTGTACTGGTGATTTCTGAAAATATTCTTTATTAAATATATATTTTACAGAGCAGAATTTTATTCCAATCCATTCTCGTTAAATTTTCCAGTGAAACGGAGGCCAAATTTATTCAAGGCCGTATTCATTCAGTTGAAAAAAATGTGGCAGAGTTCTGTAGTACTTTTGCTCAATATTCTCGTAAAGCAGCCCGATTAAGGGACAAAGGTGATGAAATAGCGAGGCTTGTGCTGAATTATGCTGAGACTGAAAATATTAACAAGTCTTTAGCAGTAGGCTTGGAAAGTTTTGCAGATGATATCTCAATCATTGGTGATTATGCAGATATGCGGGTTCGAATGATTGATGAAAAGGTAGTTGGGGAATTTGCAAAATACGAAGACATTTGTAAGCATGCCAAGGATGAAGTTAGAGATATTTACTCTGCAAGAGATAAGGAAGTCGCTAGAAGGAGACAACTCGATAGGCTAAGGGAAAGAAACCCAAGAAATAGGCAACAAATTGTAAGTTTCCTGTCTCTTGTATTTCTTCTCATTGGATTCATTGTACGTTATAGCTTCTAGTTTTAACTTTAATCTTTGAACATCAGTTGTATTGCTATATCACATTTTTCCTACTGAAGCCTACCAAATTCTTTTATTTCGGTATATTGCTAGGTATACCGTTCCAATAAAATATCAATTTTCAAATGGCTAGTTGGAAAAATTATATTCATTATTTTATTAGTATTCAATGCAATTCGAATAGGTTACAAAAAATGTATTAAAAACTAAATGAACACAAAAAAAATACATTATATTAGTTGTTGTGAAATTAATATTGATGGAACTGCTGGCGTTCAAAATGTCGACAAAAAAAATTTGATTTTTTTTACATATACTCTCACACAACAAAAGTGAAAAGTAAGTCGTATCTAGATTGAGAGATACGATTATGAATCTTCAGTAATTCAAATAGATTCTTGACAAATATTCTCACTTCACACTAGTTCTCTGAATTAGCCTGAGTTATTTTCTAAGTTCACAAGTTTTAATCAGTTAAAATCTGTGCAAATCCACAAATTTTTGAAAGCTTGCCAAAAAAAAATTACTTGAGTGTATGATAATTTGATGAAATACCAAGACAGAAGGCCAAGGATTTTAAGCTTATCTCTTTTATTTTGTTCATTGAAAAAGATTTGTTTTTTACTCAAAGTGAATGTATAGACAAAATACATATTTTTTTTTGAAGGAATTTTTAAAAAATATGAGCATTTTCAAATCTTTATAGCTATATTTGTTTGACTCATGGATGATAGCACATTCAGCAATAATAAACCGATGAACTTAAGTTTTTTTTTATTCAATAGTAACACTTCACGTTTATTTGATATTTGAATATCTTTTTATAATTACATGGAGACACAACTTGCATTACTTTTGGCAAGCACAAAATCTCCAGTAGCAGGACTAAGATATCTAGGAGTTTATATTGATGATATATTGAATTGCACTAGTCAGATAGACTACGTTTCATTGAACTTTCTTGACAACCTATGCTAATAGAGTTTTAAAAAAATGTTGACTTTTATGTTTTAACGATATGCAAACTTTTTTCTGCTCTGCAATTTAGAATAATCATTTGGAAGAGTAGGAATGAATTAAATGAAATATTCTTGTGACAAAAAAGATTCTTGAATTATTTCCCATATGAGAAGCAGGGACTCCAGTAGGGCTGTTTTTAAGTTACATAATATTTTGACCATAACAGCAATCTATCTCTGAATCAATAAAATTTTTGATCAACTGTCCAGATCATTTAAAAACACTTCATACGAACCAATTCTATGACATAATAATTGGAAACAATTTTACAGTGCTAAGAATTTTTTTTAATAGTCTGCCTGAGAATAAAGGGCATATTGAAGGTATGAGCAGATAAGTCATCTCTTCGGAAATTTGAAAACTTACAAGTACGTTAATATTTTATGTGAGATATTGTCAGCAGTGTTTTACCATTTGATGATTCATGCATTTGATATGTGACAATTTTCGTTTTTTATTGCCTCATTTCTCAGATGTGTTTCTCTGTATTGATCATGCATTTGAAAATAAATTATCCATTTGATTTTCTTGAACACTCTTCAGATTCAAGCGGAAACAGACTTGGTCAAGGCTACAGCTGAGGTTTCAAAGTCAATCCACAACTTGGAAGACAAAACGAATGCTTTTGAGAAACAAAAGCTCCACGATATCAAATCGATATTGTTGGATTTCCTTACTGTTGAGATAGGATACCATGCAAAATGCCTTGAAATATTAACAAAAGCATATAATGATGTGGAATCCATCAATGAAGAATCAGACTTGGAGGTTTGTAAAAAAATGTATATGAAGCACATTATTGGATTTTTTAAAATGTTTTTGTGTAGCGGTTAGATCTTCTTTATCAAATTCAAAATAAGTATGTATCCAAGAGCCATTATGATTAACAATAATCTTTAGACCATTCTTGAAATGGTAGAAATTTCCAAAATATTTAGTTCATAACGGTGTTATCGACTATTTATTCAAGATTTTTTACAGAATCTTGCAATTTCTTTTTAATTCAAGTCTACAGTGAAATTTATGTTGAATATGAACATACCTAATTTTTCGAAATAATAACTTGGGTAAAATTTTTGTTGCTCAGGACTTTCAGAAAATAAGAGGAAAAATGGGATCGGTAAATGCAATTCAAAATTCTTTATCAGATTTAAGCTAACTTTTGATTTTTCCTGATAGGAATTCAAGAAATCTTTACGTATCCCCGACACAATCCACCACAAAACCGTTAGAAAAAGCTCTATATTCAGATCTTCTGGTTCATTAGGATCCCTAGGAACTATATTTTCTTCGACACAAAACAAAAAAACACCAGGTATCCCAAATACCAAAGAAAAATTGTCTAAGAGTGAAGATACTTTGGACTCTTTGAAACACAGTATTACTGAAAGCGAAGAAGATGACAGCAATACAGAAGAATATGGTTCTTCCAGTGATAACAGAAATTCACCAACTCTTGTAAGAAAATTCAGGAAATAAAATTTGAAAATTGATTTTGTGTTTATATTTCAACACATTTAAGTAATCAAGATGAAGCTGTACTGTCCAAAAAATAAATTGTTATTGACAATGACAAAACCATAAAATGGTCCATTTGTATGAAATGATCATACCTCTGGATTCACAGTTTTGAAATGATTTACTTAAAAATTTCGTTTAAATGCATTTGTCCATTAATAAGTTATGAAGAAATTAAATTTGAAAAATATATTCAAAAAACATTTCACTGTGAGATTTTCACTCAACAGTTTTACAAAAAGCAACACGTTTTGCTATTGTATAGCATCTTTTTGACAAAGCTTGGTTAAAATAATTAAAGAAACTAAGAAAATTATATGTATTACCTATCGCTACTTAGTCGGATAAAACTATACACTATAAAATTATATACATATCTAGTGTGTTGAAAAAAATTTCAAGTAGATACTTGATATAACAACAAAATAGAACAGAAAAATATAACACAAAAAGTTTGTATTTACATAGTACAATAAGAATGTATGTTAAAAATTACATATTGATGACATAAAATGTATTGAGAGTCAGACACAAGTCAAATCAAAAAGTATCTTGATAGTACTCTGATAAATTATAATAGGCTGTCTCACAAAAAGAAACCTTCAACCCTGAAGTTCCTATTATGGCATGCGCCTTTTAGATGGAATGGAAGGTGATTGAATATTTTCAACCTATTATAAATGAAAGAATCTTTAATAAGGAAATATTTTGGAATGGGCAAATTGAAGTTGTTTTTTTGGCGATTGGCGTTTGAGTTAATTGAAAACTGATTATGATGTTTTACTATGAGACATATAGTTTCAAGAACCTCGTGTCTTTGCTTTACACGGAAAACATACAGCTCTTTTCTAATTTAACTGAAATTGATTGCAATGTCGTCACTGTAAATGCACTCATATTGAAGGTGAGATTATATGATAGAGTAATATGTAACACAAGATGTCAGCCTCACAGTGTAAGACCCAGAGGACAACTTTGATTTGATACACCTGATATGGTCTTCAAATTTCAAATCAGTGTCAATAATTAGTTTCAGAAATTTAGTTGATGGTTTATTCACAACAAAGATGTTTTAAACTTGTATAGATACGTTTTTGTAGAACTGTCTAATAAAAAAAATCTCACAATAAAGTATTTCTTAAATACGTTATGGGATTTTCGTCAAGTGCCTGATTCCGTCACATATTTTGGAAAATGTAATTTAAAAAATTTTACCAATTGAATTTTAAAACTTTCATAAACATTATGACTACTCCACAGGATGGCAGGTTTTAGTTCATCACTCTTCAAACTTTCATCAAAATCTGTTCATCGTTAAAACCGTTATAAGTAAAGACATGCAATGAAATATATTTCAATCTTTCTTCACTTTTGAATGAATTCTGGACAATGACAAACCAAAAGCTGCTTAATCCGATGGAGTAGTTAAAATGTTTATGAAAGTTCTAAAAGGGAATTGGTGGGATAATTAAACGAAATGTTTTTCAAATTTAATTCCCTTGTAACTTTTTAATGGCGCAAGCACTTCGAAACCTCAGCAATCCAGTAGTGTGGTTATATTTCCTTAAAAAATCACAATTTTTGTTGATTTTGGATATTGAAAAATGGTATGCTTCTGGAATGTCTACCTAATGAAAAAAATAATCCAATCAGTTGAAAAATATATAAGGGTGTTTTTTAAATTAGTCACAGTGTGTACGGAAAGATTAGGACAATTCATCTGTAATAGATTCAACAGAATATATAGAACAAGTATTCCACTAGAAATAGTAATAATTGTAATCTCATTGCAATTATTACACTTTACCCTAAAATCCTGTCTCCATCAATTTACTTTTGCGATGCCCTTCATAAAATAAAAGATGAGGCAAGTGTATGGTGAAGGAACCAGCCATTAGTTTTGGTTATCTCCTGATAATGCCAACTTGTTTAACGAAATGTACGTCAAGACTACTTTGGTACTGGTATGGAAAAAGTGCTTTCAATATGTTCATTTTTCAATAGTACCTCTCTGATCCTCAAATTGTTAATTAGTACAGTTAACCCCCAGTACACAATACTCATTACTTATGCTGGTAAGTCTAAAAGTTGACAGCAATATAATACTAATCTAGAATTGAGTAGAAAGCAAGAAAGAGTACAAATAAAATCACATTAATTATTTATTTCGATGACCAGATCAACAAGACTGTTAACAGAATGGGCCAAACCCATGAAATCAAAGTTAACTCTACTGCGACACTGTGATGTAGTGAGTTAATATTATTTATCAGTTCCCTCAACTCCTGCCTGTGTCATTAAATCTCCGATGTTCTTTTCCAGATCATCAATTCTATTACCCATTTCATCAATTCTAGTCAATATCTGATCAGACATATTCTGGAACTTATCTTGTATTGTTTGGAGCAAACTTTGAACCTGTAAAGATATTTTGAAAAATTGAAAATATTTGAAAAAAAAATTCAAAACTTACATATTGGGTTAGCTCTTGAACATTTTTTGGATCACTTGTATTCAAACTTGAATAGCTTTCACCGTCGTTATTCATTTCAACTTTGTCGTCGATCATACTAATTGTATTCAAACTTATTCACTATTCACAGAGCAGGCAATTGATTTGTTTGATCGAAGATTGCCGCTAGTTGTACCAGGTACTTTTCTAAGACAAAGAACTGAAACAAAAATAAAAATAGATTTCAATACTTTCCAATAAGTGTCATTTAGGAACAATAAGAAACAAGACATTATCATTACATGAACTATAATTACCTTTGACTGAGATGAAGAAAATTGGTTCTAAACTTAATAAATGCGGATAAAATTATTTACAACTTGTAATCACATCGGCTGTAGGTGTAGGTACGTTTCACTGTTTCTCTTTTTCACCAATCATATATCACATGTGCCACTCTACTCCACTATATTTAATCTGTGCTAAAACTCTTTCTTTATATTCACTGTCTTTCTCTTTCTCTTTGTATGGCCGTTGCTTCCCACTCGGGCACATTTGGTAGTTTCCTCCTGTCAACAGTTGACAGGAGTTTTTTTGCGGGGGCGCAGCCGTCTTTCACAAGTTTAATAATTATTGAAGTACAGTTGAAGCTGCAGAGAAAGGCAGAGGACGAATCTCGTTCGGCGGTCGATGTCGGAAGCTTGGCCACAGCTTTTCTCTGCAGTCGACTTGGGTGGCATCGTTTACTTTTGATATTCGTAGATTGTGTTTTCAGGTATCCCATAGCTGGGAACTTCGTAAGGGGATATGTTATCGCTTTTATAACCTTGAAATTTTATTCGTTTCCCAAATCCCAAACCAATCCAGGGATATACATCTCGAGTTGTGGAAATCTTTCGAAATGACGTCAATTTCTATGGAAAATAACAGACTCCCAAATCCAAATACTTACTAAAAAGATCACATATACATGAGAAATGCTTGAAGTGGTACTGAAGCAAGACACAAATTTGACTGTCTTTGAAATACTTATTAAGAAATCAAGGAAAAGTTTATTGGTTGAAAGAAGTGTAGCGCGACAATCACGTCCGATTGAGCGGGCATTAGCTGGTCTTTTGATGTCATTGAAACACAAACTATAGTAGGTGGTTTGTGCATTGAAATAAATGCAATTATCTTGCCATGAGCTGTGCCCTGAGTTTCAAATAAATTTAATACGTTATGAGGTCATTGTGTCATCGATGTATGGCACGTTCTGTGCTTCTGTGCGTTCGGACGTCTATTCGAATCTTATGCAGCTCTAGCTGCCAGCTGATTGAAGAACACAAGAGCTGAATACTGACAATAGTGAAATCAGTTTTGTCAAATTTTTATTTATATTTTTATTATTCCATATTTTCAAAATACAATATGGATATTGTCGAGCAAAAGAAAAATTGAAAACATGAACGAATCCACAGAAACTTATTGGTCTTATTTACCTTATCCAGCTCTCTATAAGGTCTTCCAATTTCTTTCATATAAAGAACTTGTCTGTGTTGGCCAGGTTTGTAAAACCTGGAATGCAGCTAGCTTGGACGATCTATTATGGAAAGAGTTATTTTTCCAACAGTTTTCAATTGATAGATCAATACCAGTCTTAACAGGTGAACAAATGATAATATTGGTTGATGATGATTTAGTTTGAAAATTTATTTTTTGGGAGTTTGACTCTTACCTATTTTTAAATATACACTGGGTCCAAGGTGAGGAAGGCGAGTATGGGAAAATGAGTGATTGTTTTTTCCGGTCCATATTTGGAGACAAAGCAGATTGAAAATCTAAAAATCTGTACAGTTTGAGAAGTTGCTATAAGAAAGCTTTGTTTTTAATACTTATCTGCTTGAATAATGTCATAAAAAATTGAGACAAAATTGGTGAATTTTGTAATTTTTCAAATTTTGTAATTTTAAAACTTCATTTTAATAAGCTAATGGTTTCCTACTGGTTCTTGTTATCTTGGACTGACAGTTTAATAAATGAAAAAGTTTTGAAGAAAATGAAAATATTAATATATCACTCTGTATCTCAGTGTGCATATACTGAAAAAGATATAATTCATGTAAAACATGTAATAAATTTACTCTCCAGGGTTATTTAAAATCTCAAACTGGACCCAGGATATATGGTGAAAATGCTCGTTTTTCTTCATTTTGTAGTTTAAATATGATTCATTCTATTTCACAAAAAAATGTAAAACTGGAACCTCTGGCATACAATAAAACCAAAGAAATACAATACTCTTTTTGACGCACATCTTTGTCTGCTGAAGATGCCAATTTGGGAAAAGTGCTTGTTTTGCAACTGCTCTGAATTGCTATAAAATAAAATATTATATGATATATAAATAAATTATTATAATATATCAAGTTGTCCAAATTGATTTTATCACTAACAGTTTGAAGATATTAACTTGACAGAAATTATTCATGAATTTTGAAATTTAAATATTTTTCTGAAAGTGTAGTATTCAAATATTAATGAATGAGTAGAACAACAATGGGGCTGATTTATTTTTATATTCACTGTAGTTCCGAATTGAATTTCAGTACTTCCGTGAAGCTAGATTTTATTTCAGGGACAACATGGTATGAAGAATTCAAGCGTTTGTCATATCATATACCAATTGTCCAAACAGAGATTTTGAAGCAACATACTGACCAGGTACTGCATGTCAGTTTTTCACATAATGGAAAATACTTTGCCACTTGCTCTAAAGATGGATACGTTATTGTGAGTATTTATTAAACACAAATGAACTAAACTAAAAAAAATGCATCTGGTTTCTCATTAATTTCTTATTTCACTACAAGTTTATCTTCGTAATGATTTTTCAGCTTATTTGTGAGAAATGTTTATGGGAACACATTAATATATATTGAATAATCTGTATATTTTACAGTTGATTCAGAAAAACTATAAATTGAGTTAAAATTTTCTAAAACAGAATTATGATAACTTTAGCTTGAACTAGGAGTAAATGCAAATAATTCATATCATGAAATGTGTCTGTTTTATAGTTATGGACATCCAAATATCCTGCACAAGTCAAACACCTGAAAAATATGGTTAGTTTCAAATGGAAATATACTCAGTATTCCCAGTTCAACGAATCTGATACCTTGCTCCTAGTATCTGGTGTCCACTTGGAAAATATAACTAGCACTTCAGGGGAAATTGCTGTGTTCAATTTAGGTAGGTGATTTGATTCGGGAACAGGAAAAATTGAAGCATGTTCAGTTGCTTATATAGAATTTTATCTCAAGGTATAATTGAACTGCATTTTTTATATTATCTACTTGATGGGTTATTTTGTTGATAAAGACCTAGAAAATTAGCTTAGATTATTAATAACTCTATTTCAGGGAAATTTGAGCACCTTGGAAACCCTTCTATTGCTAAATAACTAGTATTCCCTTTGATTATGTGTTAAAGTTTGAGGCTATTATGTTTGCAATGCCACTTGAACGTTGAATATACATTAAGTCTTCAATAACCCGTTAATCCTATCTTTAATTTCAAAACTATCAAAATTCTTGATTTTTTTTTGTTTTGAATAAATTTCTTTTCATTTCAAGCAGTTATGGTCCAAGTTGTTATTAATTATTCCTTTACTCACTTTTTTGTAATTGGTTGTTTTTATTTATAATGATTTATTTATTTATTCATCCAAACAGGCTGATTGGCCTAACTATATGGATAGGTATAACTTAAATATATAAATTATGATTAATAATTATAATATATATTTTCAGTTCTGGATTAATACATGATTAATAGTTGCAATTTAATCAAAATAAAAAACTACCCAGGTAACTGTCAATATACAAGAATCGCTGGGAGAAATTATACAGAAATATTAAGTAAATAATTCAATATCAATTGACAAAAACTATGTTGAGATATTGTCGAGTCCAATGTGTTAAGACACCAATTTGAATAGCCAATTGAAGCATGTTTATAAGAGAAGATCTAGATCCATATAAATATATAAAGGGTAGTGAAATTCAAGTAACCATGTGTGCGTCGCAGCGGTACATTAAACAGTATCAACGATAAAATTCCAGGACAATTTTTTTATTGTTTCAAATTTCATAAAAAAAATATAATAGTCAAAACACGCTTTTGCTGCAGAAATAATATTTTGAATTCTATTCTGTGTTGATGTTCGCATTGTTCTAAAATCCGACCATTTATGATATATTTTAAAATCTCTCAGCAATTTATTTTGCACTTTTTCTAGATCACTTAATATAGTTGAATTCTCGTTTGACCAAACTTCGGATGCATACTCAAGTTTGGTTAGGAGTAAGGTATAATAAAGTAATTTAATAGTTTTTATACTGGTGAAATGCCTGCTCTCTCTTATTATAAATCCTAACATCCGATTAGTAGATTCAGTAATATTGTGAATACAGTTGGCAAAGGAAAAAGTAGAATTATAAGTTACCCCCAAATCTTTTAACTTCCTCCACACGCTCTAATACTTCATTATCCATTGTGTAATCAAAAGTAATAATAGTTGGAACATGACCTTTACTTATGTTGAATAAAAGTTTATGATCATGACTTCATTTTACTATATTCAAATCTTTCTGCAAGAGGTAAGATTATACAGTTATTAACCGTAGATATATAAAAGACAAAATAAAAAAGTAACTGTCCACTGTAATCTAAATAAATGTCAATTCCCTTTTAGTTATTTTTGTGGAATATTCTTTCATTATATCTTCTTAGTGCTGGTGAACACATGTTGAAAGATAAAACCTCGTTAATCCTTGCTCCTTACTTACTATTTAGGGTTATTCTTATAGGTATAATGTGGTTGCCACTGAGAAAACAAAATGAGTGGATAAAACACCCTTTTCATTCATTTCAAACATTTTTGTATTAAAACTTTGTAATCCCGAGCAAAATTTCCTCGATTTTGAAAATAGTTGCCCTCAAAAGTAACCATATGTTAACATTTGAGATTTCATGTTACACAAGTATTATTGTTGAAAGTTTCTGGAAATCTAGTCTAGAAACAAACAACATTATATAAAACTGCTTTCAAAGTGTTTATAGATTTTGAATAGGTAAAACTGGAAATTCAGTAAAACGAATTCATTGAAAACACTTTTTCCAAAGCTATTTTTTCTATAATGGTTAATTCATATGTATATATAATGCATTAACATAGTTGTGTTTCAAGATTTAGTGTTAGTCATCCTCTGATGATGCTAACATGGTTAGCGAAACGCCTCTTGAGAGACAGTTCGTCACTTTCGGTGTGGAGAAAGTGTTTTCAATAGACTTGTAGATTTTGTTAGCTTTGAAAAAAATGGACAAAGAATTTGAAATACTCTTTATTTTTCATCCACATTTCGAATCTAGTTACAAAAAAGTTTCTAATGCTTTTATTCACTACATTTTGAAAAGATTGAAATATATAATTCAATCAGTATGCCTCTTCTTGAGTACAAAGATGGAATCGTCTAGCCAATAGTATGACTGCTGCAAATCTCCTTCACATAAGTAAGGTACCCTACTCCAAGAAACTATTTCAAAATTAGCAGGTTCTAATACGTTCTTCACTATGCTCTCCACTTGCTTTTCGAAACTGGAACCCTTTATCTGTAGTGATTCTTTAGGTTTGTGATCAGGAGATGATTCTACGTAGACAGAAAATGGTAACACAATGGCCATGAGTACCCTTCCATCTGTAGCCAGAGAACCACCAATTTGATCCAACATTTTTAGAGGTTCATCACACCGATCTAGCAGGTTCAGACATGAAATAACATCAAATTTTTTGTCGATATACCAATTGTCTACGTCCAATACTTCATACCCTTGTTTTTGTAGCAAACTTTTCATTGTCGGAGACACATCAGTGGCGTAAGTTTTTTTGAAAAGCGGTGCCATGTGGGCAGTCACTCCTCCGTCACCTGCTCCCAAATCTAGAAGGGACCCCGAGCTCCATGTTTCTTCTACTCTTAATATTTTTCTAAAATGGGATTGGGACAATACGAACATTGAACCACGTTGAAGCCAGCCATTAATCGATGTTTGAGTCATAAACCAACCCAAAAACAGTTTTGCGAGGGAATGCCACATTTGTGTTAAAATCCAGTCCGATTTCTTTTCTGACTCTTCCAGAAAATCCAGGGTGTCTTGGTCTGGGTCAAGTTGAACGAATTTCGAAGCGAGGGAAGAGGGTACTTCACTCAGATCGCATTGATACCACTTCCGTTTGTCGAAGTTGCTGAGAAAGTCGTCATGTTGTTGTTTTCGATACAGGGCTCGCGCGAGTGAGCCCCTTACCCTGAAAGACTGCGATTCAAAACTAGGGGCTTGATTAAAATCACAACTTGAAACACCACATTGATCACTTATACTTTGTGCATCTTCCATTTCAATCAATAGAATTCACCGATTGCTTTTGCAGAGAAGATGCCCATTTAAAAATCATTCACAATTTTACCTGAATTTTTGAAGATGTTTATAAAGTTAGGTTATACATATAACGTTATAATTGAATACAAAACCGTTTTCGGATACATAAAAAAGAAACAGTTATGTTAATTATGAACCATTTCTCTGGTTTTAGCTAGCCAAATTATTAAAACTAGTTTTTCTGCAGATGAAAAGAGGGTTATGCGAGTTTATTTTAGGTTATGTTATTTAGATTTTCAATAACATTTCCTTTGTAATGAATTGAATATAGATACAAATCATTTAATTTAAATTATATCATCGTGAATTAATAGTTGCAATTTAATCAAAATAAAAAACTACCCAGTAATATCAGAGATATTAGGTTTTTCTGTTGTTTTTATTTTTGTTGTGTATTCTCAAACTTGAAACTTTTTACTCTTTGTGAAAATATGTTTCCGAATTATTTTAACAAGTGTAGGTACTTCACTACCAACTTGAAAGAAATGGAAGGAAATATCCTTTTTTATATTATTTGGAAAAGGTAACAAAATATCTGAACTGTCTATATAACTTTCCCTGTTATTTTTCAGTCAACATAGAACAATTCAATTCACCAATTTATAGTGAAAGAATTAAACAAACATTTATAGTATACGCACAGATTAAATAATCTGTGATATAAGTGATATTTGGACTTATACAAGGTCTATAAAAAAAAGGTGAATTTTCATTTTTCTCTTAACATATTTATGCATCAATGTTTATTTGTTTCCCCTCTCTCAGCGATTCTCTTTTAATCTCCTCAATCGTCGCAAAACTCCGTCGTGTCATGGGTCTCTTCAATCCTGGGAACAGTAAAACGTTACAGGTGGTCAAATCTGGTGAATACGATGGCTGAGGCATGATTATGGTCTTCTTTTTGGCCAAACATTGTAACTAAGCAATGACGAGTATGCATGATTATATGGCAAGAACTCCTGATGCACTATGCCACGGTAATTGGAGAAAATGATGAGCAAAACCTTGACATTTGATCGAACTTGGCGTGCTTTTTTTGGTCTCATATACCTATGATTCGTCACCAGTTATGACCAGCATGGCATGAGGCAACATATATGCCGACATCCTCAGCAACTTCTCTAATAGTGATTTGACGATTCTCCAAAACAATTTTTTTCACTTTCTCAACATTTTCATCGGTTGTTGATGTTCTGGGGCGTCCAGGGCGAGCGTCGTCATTTACATCTTCTCGACCTTCTGTGAAAAGCGTGTACCATTTGTAAACATTTTTCTGTCTCGGTTCAACGTATACCACTTTCAACATTTCAAGTGTTTTTGAGCTCTTGAGCATTCGGTTTCATTTTTTATACAAAATTTGATGCCAATTCTTTGATTCAATTTTTTGATAGCAGAAAATCGCCGAACACGAGTCTACCAGCATAAAAAAAAACTCTAATCGAATGAACGTAGACTGCAATATTTGAACATTCACCTTATTATTTGAACAGTTGACGTGTTTGAAACACGGAGTTTCACCATATTACCAAAATTTAGATGAGTTTTAATAACATATTTTAATAGGTAAGTTAATGGTTTCTTGTTTTTTCATTGTAGTAAATTTCTGACCTAAAAATACGTTTTGATATTGAGGTGCTCAACCATATAGTTTTTTTCAACAACAAAAGAATTGAGTATCTAAATAAAATAGTTGAAGTGATTTCTCATTTATAATTTTTATTTTTCATTACCTTATCGATAATGGTATAAAGTAGATAGCGAGAAAAACAGATCTCTGCAATAACTGTACTTTATTATTGCATTTTTGATATTTTTATTTATTTTTAGATCGTTTTGAACTGCAGTGCCGCATAGTAAACAAACCGTATGATATCTTCGGTACTTGGTATAGCGATCAATACCTGTTCTCCGGCAACCTAAGTTGGTTGGCTCATCTGGTCAGTAGTTCACATTTGTGGTTGAATAAGGCATCCCAAGAAGTGGATTCCGAGTTGGTACCTATTACCCACTGTCTGTTGCGATTCTACAACATGAATGCCAGTTCCATAAGAGCGATCATGATAGCCAATTGTCTTCCGGATTCAGAAAATGTTGACATTTTTACTGGTGAAGACGAAACAGATGCTCATCTTCAGCAAAGTAGCTTTTCTTCGTGTCATGGAAATCCTGTTAGCCATAACGATCTCATGTTCACAAAGTGTGAAGTAAGCAGAGGTATGTAGAGATACATTTTTGTTTAGCCTAACTCCAATGAATGTTGCTTCATATCCTTTGGTCACAACAGCATTACTGTCTCATGTGGTCAATATTGATGGTATTATTTCTTAATAAGTCGATGAAGCGAAAGATGAATGAGGTCTTAACTTTAGACGTGTGATAAGTATCAAAAAATAGTTCTTGCATAATATTGAATATAATATATAATCAACTAAACTGACAGATCATTATATTTTTAATGCTGTCTTTAATTCGGTCATTTATTGATCTATAGCGACAGTTAATTAATAAAAAAAATAATTTTACACTTTTTTAAGTGCATTAGTTATATAGTATTCACGACAGGTTTTGACATTTCTGGAATAGCTGTTTCATGATTTTCTCATGTTGTTTAGGCTGTTGGAGGACGATTTAAAAACCAAATTGCAGTAGTTTTCATTTTCTATAGGTGATTTCCTCTGTGTAATAAATTAAAATAGATCCTATTTCTATGTGTGTGCCACCATGTATATTCACATTGTACCTACCACTTTTTATATATATGTTTTTGATGAATGGTATGTTTACTTCCTCAAAATAGAGAGTTGTTAAAATGGAATCGTAGAATCATTACCTCTGTAAACAATTCTCTACGTGCATTTATCATTACTACTTTTGCAACTCTGTCCAAACATTAATTCGCTTGAATGAATGTTTGTTTTCGTAAAATAATTTGATAACTACTTTAAAGATGGAGCAAGCATCTCTCTTTTCTTGGAAATTTGTGGAGGACTTGATTTGATTTCAGAATTGGCTACCGAGAATTCTGAAACAATTTGGTATAACGCTGATTATCGCAAAGTAGAATCAGAGCTGGGAATACTAGATGATCTCAGTGACGATGAAATGGAACTACCTGAAAATATTACTGAGAACTCAGACGAAGGATGTTCAGGATCATCTTCAGAACCAGATAGAGACAGGTGAATCTCACGGATTCAGTTAAAATTTTAATATCGGTATGAATATAGTTTTATTTGAAACTAGAATATTGATAAAACTACCCAGCTGGTATTAAAATCAAATATTTGTCAAAAAAATACCTACTTATCTTTCAGATTCATAAATACCGACAAATATCTCATCTTCACAACAGGCTATAAGACGTACACCCCTCACCAGATAGGATTCAAACGGATAAAACCATTCAAGTTTCCTCAAAGGATGGATCCTGGACCTAGTTTGAAGGAGCGAGTAATCATAAGCAAACAAAGGGATGAACAAATGAGGTCTGGTAGTCCGCCAACTTTCCCAGATTGGTCTGACTTTGAGAAAGTGGCAGACAAGTTTGATAAAATAGATCACCTGATAGATCTACATGGCCATATTGTTGGAATGGGGCTGAGCCCTGATCACAGGTTAGCTATTTCAGAATGAGAACATTGTTCTGCTATTTTTATCAGTTATTTATTTAATAATTTACAGGTTTAGATCAGTACAGTTCTTTCAGATCATGCGACACAAAATTGGCAGCTTCAGACAATTAGATTGTAATAAAGTATGCACCCTTGTGTGTCTTGGTTCGAGAAATACATTTGTATCACAAAATTCTATCATCAGTTTAAATCATATTGGAGCTTGAATCGATTCAAACCAATCGTTCATTGGTTTCAAAACCATTTAAGTGAGAATCAGTTTGTACATATTAGGATGAATGAAGTCCACAAATATTCAACATATATGTACATATCCAAACATTGCATATCAGTTATTACAAACATCTTTAGCTTTTGAAAACAAACTGATTAAATATTCAACTGGAATTAATTTTGTGTGGCTACTACATATTGATCGAGATTTTTCAGTCAAAAAATATATGGAAAAAATATTGTCAGTACTTGCTGTACTTTACAGAATTTGATTACAAGCAGAATCTTACATGTAGAATCCCATTGCATGTCAAAGGAATGTGAATTAATACTGAGATGAGAGCCGGGATGTTTACCAGTAAATCAAGTTCAGCTACCGAGCAGAGCACGTGAATATGGGCAAATATGATCTTGCCGAAACATCGTGATATTGTCAAAGACAAGGCGCATAACATGCCCAAGTTCAGGTGTGAAACACTTTACCTCTTGCCTCTCATGTGAACCTACTACTTTGTAGAAAGGTGTGGCATATACCCTACGGAAAAATAACAACGACAGCTTTTGATAACAAACTACAGCTTCTATCTATACAGATTCCTCTGAGGTCACTTAAGGATTTTGGTTCTCACCTGACAAACCCAATTTCATAAACATTTTTTGATGTATAAGCTTGATTTGTAAATTTTTTTTGCAGATTTTTGTATGTAAATAGTCGGTCTTGGCCCGAGAATTACGTAATAAGCAATCCTTTGGATCCGCCGCCTATAGCACAAGAAATCGACATTCACGTTATAGATTTGGTAACTTTAAAGCAAGTGGGAACTATGCTCAAAGCTCATAAGGCTTTCACACCAAATAATGAATGTTTTTTCATTTTTTTGGACGTCTGTAATGAATATGTTGCTAGGTAATTATTTTTATAATTTGGCTTGAGAATAAGTTATTTTTTGCAGTATTTGAGAACTTTTTCTTTTCTAGCGGTGCTGAAGATAAACACGGATATTTATGGGACAGGCATTATGGAACTTGCCTTATTAAATTTCCCCACGACGATGTAGTCAACTCTGTGGCGTTCAACCCAAAGGACTCTGAAATGTTGGTCACTACGTCCGACGATAATACTATCAAAATTTGGCGTTCAAGAGCCAAAGTACAAAGTTTGGGTTTAGAAGAAGTTCGCCTGCCTAGAGGCATCGAACTACGAAACAAAAATAAAGGTACACGAGTCAGATAACATTGCAGTAGATTTTAATTTATGATGATTTATTTAATATATTTTAGTGCTTAGGTGTATTTTTATTGAGATAATTTGTGAATAAAGAATCATATGAATTAGAAAATTTGTTTAATTCATTCAAGAGCTGTTCAAGTAGTCATAAAACCCTGTATAGAAAAATGTATTTATTCATTGATGGTAATGTTTTGCGGATATTTTTGCCACTTTTAGCTATTCTCGTCTTCCGCTAGCTGAGTAAAAAAGGTAATGGAAATACAAGTGTAGTTTATTTTGTATTCAAAAAACACACTTTTATGCGAGATTTTCACTTGAAAGTTAACAAAACTGTGACACATGTTTCGTTATACAATATCTTCATGTAATTGATAATTCGACCTATTTGAATCTATTAATAATGAAATAATTAAATAAATTATATGAATCGATGACATTGGTGGACAAGAAGACAATACAAAATATTGGACTTGAAGTTGAAAACATTCTACCAAAATAACATTTAAATTTTTGATGTCTATAGAAGAATAGGTAGAACCAAATAATTCAATTTCATTGTTATATTCATTGCCATATCTAGCCATTCTATTAAAGAGTGCATTTAGAGAATATTTATTGTGACATAAGTTTACACGGAAAAAACTTTTTGGCTTTCTACTGTTTCACCACAACAAAAAATGAGGGAAACATTCAAAGAAAGGGTGAAAGAAAATTACAATGAAACTCTATAGAGATATATAGATCATGCACATACGTTTCTTTCATATAGAAACGAAGAAAAAACCCTCAAGAAACAACTTCTTTCAGATGACATTGAATTACATGTAAATAACTTTTTCCCAATCAGTTTGTACTAATTCGTTATGGAATTAAAATAGAAATCACAACATATTACATGAAAGAGTATTGATATACTCGTGGAACATTATCATCCTAATAATAGTGTATTACGAAGTTTCGGGACAAGACACTTTTCTCATCACCACTGTTTTGGATAACATTACACAATGAAGTACTCATTTCTTTCATAGCAATACAAATCTGCTCTTGTCTCGATGGCAGTACTTATAGGTACACATTCATATCCCAGCCAAAGGAATTTTATTTGATAGCGGAATATTTTCAGAAATAAAAAAAATCAGTTCATCATTAAATAAAAAAGGTGTGAAACTTCCAAAGAAAATAAGAAGGAAATAACTACAACAAAATCTCACACCATCTAAAGAAACGATGGTGTGTTCCAATTTGTGATATGACTCCCATTATTTTATAATCAATTAATAACCAAAAATCATTTGTTTTCCTTGCCGCCAACGAAAAATATTTTGACATTTCTCCAACAAATGTACGCAACACGTCCATAATTTGAATTTTTTTTCTCCACCTATCAAGTTTCAACTATTATGATTAGAATTGTCATTTTTAAAGAAAAAGAAGACTTTCTAGTTTAATGGTCTCAGAATTTTAATTCATTCATTAACTTATTTTATTATTTTTGTTAATAGCTGTCATGAGTGATTAAAAATACTGGTAATTTCGGTTTTTGAAAAAAAAATCTTTGTATTACCTTACTTTAATATGATATAATTTACATATTAAGAATCTTACATATAAATACAGGTTAGGGAATAACACTCTCAGATATTTCAAAACATTTTCAACTGATAAAACAATTTTTCCCTCTAAGCGATTAATAAATTGTAAACATCACAGAAAAATTTCTTGCCATCATTTATTTTCAACATTCTTGGTCTTATATTGACAAGAGCAATAAAATCACACCCTAGTATAAATTATGATGAGGACTCGGATAATAAAAAAACTCCAGTCTAATTATCTAGTGACTTGGCTGGGTTTCGATTGTGCTCGATTCTCCCGAATCCACACAGTCTGAAGTATTCGGTGGAGCATTATTTTTCTTTCTCTCTACGTGGCCGTGACAATGGTCACATTCATCGTCGGAGTCCTCAGAGGAACTTTCTCCAAAGGAACGAGGCTTATTGAATATGCAGCAACCTAAAAAAAATACAAGATTGTGTCTTTGAAAATTAATCGTTCAAGAGATATTTTAGTTTGTCATAGAAAAATAAAGCAAATGCACCTGTCCAACATGAAACTACACGTTACATTTTTGTTTCGAACAGTTTCAAGAAGTTTGGTGGAGCAATTAATTCGCCGATATGGTTTCAATTGAAGACATGATTTCAGATGAATTGATAATGAATGAAGAAAATATCTATTCTAAATGCTTCATAAAAGAGCAAGAATCCCAAAATTTTACATTGTTTTTTCACACAAAAATGAAAACCTAATTTTGAAACATGTTCAAATACGTTTCTGTTAACTTCCAGACATTTTTAAACTCTTCATCAAATTTCTATTTAGAGCAGGACTGATTTTCTCAGCATCTAGGGCATTGAATGCTTGAAGAAGAATGCATATTTTTTGAAATGTTTTTTTGTGTGAAATTGTATGAAATATTCATAATAATTTTTTAAATTTATTATTCATTCATCTGAAATCATGTCTTTAATAAAAACTATGTCGCACATAACCAGTTTTCCTTAATGTACTATTATTGGTATTAAGAATTATAATACTAGAAATTTCCTATAGTTGGAAGTGCCAACACATATATTAGTTGTAACTGAATCATGTCCCAGGCTTATGGCCATTAAATTGTATTTCCAAGTACATCAATGGTTTTTACAACTATATGAAGCCATGTCACAGTGTACTATTTGCTTACGATACATCCTTGATATACTCTTGTATGAATTATTCAGCTTTTGTTGATAAGTCTATGGAAATACAAGAAAAAGCGGAGCACTGGTTCAGTGTCAACAAACTCATGAATAAGGAAAAATCACAAAACATGATTGTTTCTATGGGTCTGCCATTACCTGAATTCCAGTGTGTCAAATTATTGGGTTTTACTCTGGACAGTAGGCTAAATTGGTCAAGCCACATTTCAAGTTTGAAAAGTAAGCTATCGAGTGCCTTATCATAGTTGAATTACTCAATAGCTAAATTCTTAGTTTATTTGAATAAACAAATGAATATCTGCAATGTGAAAATATACAAGGTATTATATTTGAAAGTTTGTATCAACTTCTGATATGAGAAGGTTACAAAAATGGCATTATTTTCAATCAACAGAGCATACCAAAAGTCTACCTTTATCAATTTTCAGACTAAAAGTCCAATTATTTCTCAAAATACGACTGACAGTCATCGCTCTGTACCTTGTATCTTTTTTATAGCCTTTCTCTTGTCTTAAGATTTGAGTTTCCTACTAGTTATAGAAGAATTCATCAGCACATACTTCACTAATCAAATCACCAGGTACTTGTTTTACATTTTCTCATAATCAAAACATTCATTTCAAATTTACAAATATCTTGGTGAATATATCACATTATACTGCACATACTTACATTTTGATTTCTTCTTGTTCATATTTTCATTATCAACAGTTTCTGTGCTCCATTGCACCTTTCTGTCAGTCCTTGGTTTTCTCAGTTTCAATGTTACCCTAGGAACTTGCTGTAAGAAAAAAAAAATTTACCCTTAAGCAAATGAATTAATAAATGATCTATGAAGAGAAGAAATATACCGTTTTTACCGAAATTTACTCAGAAATAAAGTGAAAAACTATCGTCAAAAGCAAGAACTGGCGTATTCTTGGATTAATAAATCTATTTTTTTGGTGGCTCAGGCGAAAAACATCTGGTCCAAGAATCGATTGGATCATGATTTGGGCAACTGCCACTGCATCAATTCACTGCATTTTTGGCATATTATGATCCAACTAATATTTGTTGTTGTTGTTATTCTGTCATTCAACCATGACGTTTTTATATGGGTGATTAAAATGAAAAAAATCTAACTTGTAAATGTTTAAATGACTAGTCAGATAAGTAAATAATTATTGGTAGTTCTGTGGTTTGTCAATGTTTCCATTTGATTTCATCCAAATATAAAACAGTTTTTTGTGAATGTTTTCATAATTTTTTACTACAAGCAATATTGATAGGTGAACGTCAAATATTTAATCTCACAACACTAATGGAAGAACAAACAAATATATCAAAGATAATAGTGATACCTGGTGGAATAAATCAGCATTGAAGTCAATATTGACAGTGATATTTAAAAAAAGCATCATTGTTCAAACATATCTTATTAACAAAACAACACTATCTTGTTTTTGAAGAAAAAAAATAATATTGAAAGATATAGGTGATGCGCGTGAAAAATTATGGAGAATAAAAATTTTGCTTTTTGAATCTCATAATAGGTTTTAATCACTACTGACCACAGTGAAGACAAATTATTTTCGTGAGTAACAAAATGTGTTTTGTTGAAAAACCAAATCAATTTCCTTCTAGTGCATGAAGGTGTATACTAGTATAGACTTTTCTTCATAGGTGCGGCAAGAATCTTGAAAACAGGTTCTGAGCATGTCAAATCAGGTTTCCTCAATTATATTTGAGGCGAAAATCACTTTTACCCTTAGAATCCCTAAATTGCTTGAAAGTAACCCATCACCTCCATACACTAATAGCTTCAATTGAAAATACATAACATTTCATCAATAAGTATATGTTAAAAAACTGAGATATTGATTAATACAAGATTGCTCCATGATTGAATAGTTTATGTATAAAAAACACATCAGTTCATACTTATAACTCTGATATCCTCTTATATGCAATATCAAAATAGATTTTCCACTTGTATTGTACATCTCTTGCATGGAAGAGAGTGAAAATGCAAAACTTCCTCACCATACTAAACTTTTTTATATTATGAAATATATCTTTTTCAAAATATTGCACAAATAAAATAGAAAACATTCTGGGAATAAGATTATTATAAAAGACAATAGTAGAGAGTTGAAAAAGTTTATTTATTAGGATTATAATAGCGGCAAGCTAAAATATATAGATTAAATCGGGCTAAAATATAGTGAAGCATTGAATAACATTCATTTTCTGATAGAAATAAACCAAAGACCTTGAAAGTGCAAATGTAAATATTCCTTATCTCAATTACCAAAAGTGAGGCATTCAAATATTATCACTGCATATTTCTCTACAAATAGAAATGGTATAAAAAAGTAGATAATTCTATTTCTCATTTTTCATAATGATCTCCTACCACATCGTGACGGCTACATCCATCAATTTACTTTCAATACTTTGAAAATATAATAAATATGAAAAAATATATTCTGAATAACTGTTTCAGATGAAATTGAGGAACATTACACTGGAGAAGATTTAAAATGTTTGTCTATGATTGAAGCTGTTAATTTCAAGCTAAGAGATATATAAAGTAAAAGAGAATTCTACAGAAGTAGATCATCATTTGATACTCTAAAATTCTACGATTTGATTAAAATAAAATGATTAAACTTCCTCTGGTGAATAAGTACAAATAATTTGAATTACTAAAACTCCCTACCCCACTTAATACCTTGAACAAGGTAAAACAAGGGTACAAACAAGGTAAATTTAATTTGCAAGTGAAACACCCTATCAGTGTATAACTCTTTCTTTTCTCAGATTACTGACTTCATCATCACTAAAACCCAAAATATCAGTTAGCACTTCATCTGTATGTTGTCCCAAAGTAGGAGGGGAACTTCTCACACAATTCCCTCCATCACTGTAGAGCACTGGAGGTCCAACCACTTTAATAACTCCTGCTACCGGATGTGCCACACTTTCCACAAGTCCGATTGCTTTCACATGGGGATCATCAAAAGCTTCCTTCAAGGAATTAATTGGACCACAAGGAAATGAAACGTCCTCGAATATTTTTCCCCATTCCTTATTGGTTTTAGTAACCAAAACAGATCTAAGAAAAGAAATGAGCTCTTCTCTATGCTTCACTCTCAACATATTCGTCAGATATTTCTTGTTATCAGATAGTTCAGGATGACCTATTTTCCTACAAAACTCCTTGAAGTGTAGATCTGCCCCAGCGCCAATGGTGAAGTAGCCGTCTTTAGTTGGAAATGCCTCATATGGTACTATACTTTCATGAGCCGTACCTAATCTCGAAGCCTCTTTCTCGGCATTCAAATAGTTTGATCCGATGTTGATTAGACTGGCAATTTGGGTTGAGAGAAGGTTGCAATCGATTTTCTGACCTTTACCAGTTCTTGACCTTTTTATCAAAGCAGCCATTATAGCACCATGGGCATAGAGACCTATGTTTCAAAAAAAAATATATGCATTTGAGTTATCGTTGTAATATGTATTCATTTCAATTGAGATAATCTATTAGACATATCTGCCGAACCAATAAAGGAGTTTTCAAAATTCTGGGTACTATCATAGTCTTCAAAATATTTTGATCTTAGCATTGTTGCCACTTCTATATGTAAGATACATCAACATGGTAATTTCAAATGGAACGCCCTATATATTATATCATTTTTGAATTCTGCTTCAAAATCCAAATTAATATTTTTATGAAGCATGTCCTAGTTTTTTTTTCAAAAACAAGATTGATATGAAAACATAATATTGCATAACTTGAGTGATTTACTGAACTCAAATTTTGGCTCCTTTCACAAAAGGTTCGGTGTTTAAAATTTCAAAGTAAACTTGAACATTATATCATATAGGATGTTCTAAAAATGTGTCTTTGTTCATATTTTCAACAAATGCAACATCCCGTACATTATCCAATTTTCGAATTCAACTAACCAATGTGTTTTATCGACTATGACCTATACCTATCTCTGACTGTTTCTGAAATATTAATTGTTTTATATTTATTGTGTCTATGTAAGAATGAGATTTGGTGAAAAATTAAATATTAAATGCATCAAATAACAAATAACACCTTTATCTCTTTTGAACAAGATGTGATGGAAACAGTAAGAACGAACTCTTTTCAAAATGATATTGATGAAATTCATCCTACACTCAGAAAACAGGTGACAATATCACAAAAGTTACTTCTCAATTATATCACATTTGTCACTGAAATAATAAAAACTAGGCAGCTCAGGTGCTTGAAATGCTTACCGTTGACCTACCAACATTGATGCAGCAACCAAATTCAAGGACACAAATTTCGTATCCAACAATTTTTGATCACATATTAGCGAGTTCTCTGTTCATTTCATGTGTACAATATCCAAGGGCCCCATCCAACTGATAACCTTAGTTTTGAGTTAGGTTCAAATGCAAATCATCTAGTCACAGTTGTTCTCCGAATATTCAAATATTTTTCTAAATTCAACTTTTCTTCATAAATGCAAACTGAAAATTGATCATCCATGGGTCCAAATAATTATTTCTAAAAGTTTAGATATTCTGGTATTCTTGTTAGTACCATTTTGCAAAATCCTACCCATTTGTGTGGATATCTCTATGCAAAGCTTACAGCCTAATGAATTTATGATTTTGCATATTATATTTTTGTTAATATTCTTCATATCTAACAATGGTGAAATATAGGTATAGGAGATGCCTCACAAACTTGATTTAGATATTGAAATAAAATTCCCTATTGATGTGGTTTACATATAGAAATGGCAACAATGCAGAGTTAAAAATATGTTCAGAGGCTAGATCACAGCCTTATACGATAGTAGACTTTTTTTGGTTCTCCAAGTACACCTAATTAATGAGGTGACATTTTTATCACAATTATAATGATATCTACATTAATTTCTCAAATATCAAAAGCAATATTTCCATAACACATGCATTTGCATACAAAATATAAATCACATACATTCTGAATATCAATTGTTTCATATTGACTTTTTTTTAAATGACAATAAAATCATAAAAAGGGGATTATTTATGATCTTCACTGAATGATGTATTAAAATTATGATTTATGACTTTCAAAAAACACTTTCAGAGAGTTCCAGATAAGATATAACAGATTATTTAGAATGAGAAAAACAGGTGAACAATATCACGGCAAATAATAAGGAAGATCCATGAAAATAAAAAACAAATTCAGATAATGCTACATTCTCATAAGTTGTTTCAAGAAACAGGGAGTTTTGTGAATGGTGATCTTTAGAGTATATAATCATTGTAGACTGCTTTTCAAATTATTTTGAATTGGGACCTCCTGAGCAAGATGTTTAACTTTCAAAATACTAAAACCTGTTCAGAACTAGAAAATCAAATAATAAATTAGCTTGGCATTTTGCAGAATTCTTTTTTTCCCAGAGAAAATCTCACAATAGAATGTTACTTGAATATATTACGAAGTTTCATCAAGTATCAGCCAATTCCATCACATAATTTTTTTCAAGTACAGATTCCAATTCAAGAATCAGATGTACTACACACATTATTCAAATTTGATACTGAATTGAAATTTGAAAATATGTCAGATTGATCAAACAAAGATTATCATCAATTAGATTTTACCTAGTGTATAAAAAATATATCCAGGGTGTCCCAAAAGTCATGAATCAAATGACTGACAAAAAGGTTATTCAATTTTGTTCATAATTTAGAGACCGCAATAAGCAAACATGTTGGTGATTAATGATGTAACTGGTCAATTAGAGTTATAAAAGCTCACTTATTGAACGGTAGGAAAAATATTAATCATTATCTTCAAAAAAATTCTATGAGGTATTACTGAGATTTTTTAAATTATGACTAATGCTTGGTTTTTTTAGATATATTGATTTATTATTTCTCACAATTTTAAGGTTCTTTTAGTGCTGACTAGCAATTTGAGATTGAAAATTATGTATATGTATGGTACAAGCCATTAAACTTTTCAACTTATAGGATTTCCAAAGAGATATTTCATTTTGTTATAATAAATAAACTATTGTTCTTTTTCTTTGATTCCCAACATTAATCAATGTAATTCCATTGGATAACAGACCAACTGTATATGCTCTAGCTCAAGCATCCCGATATTTAGATTTGGAAAATTATATTCTCTTTGTGACCACCACTGATAATTTTTGTTAATGGAAAAATCAACCCACCCGTGGCTAAATCTGTAACGGCTACTCCAACTTTCACTGGTTCTCCATTCTTTGGTCCAGTAATGTGCAATAACCCACCAACAGAGGCTGCAATTACGTCATAACCCGGTTTATTTCTGTAGGGTCCTCGGGGACCGTATCCGGTTATTGAGCAATATATCAAACTTGGGGCAATCTTCTTCAGTTCCTCATAACCTAAACCAAGTTCATCTAATTTTCCAGGTACGTAGTTCTCAACAAAAACATCAGATTTCTCTGCTAATTTGTAGATTATATCTTTCCCTTTCGGAGACTTCAAATCCACACAAACGCTTTTTTTGTTGCGATTCACTGATACAAAATAACAAGCTTCAGGTGTGTCTCGGATGAAAGGAGGACCCCACTTTCTAGCTTCATCTCCTGTGCCAGGTCGTTCAATTTTGATAACTTCAGCTCCCAGATCACTCAAAATCATAGTACAATAGGGCCCTGCCACAATCCTTGTGAGGTCCAATATTCTTATACCACTCAGGGGAGAATTATCATAAATACAATTAGTTTGTATTGATTTAATGCAGTTTATACAAATTTTGCTGCTCTTCATCAGATTCACTAATTTTTGCCCACTAATCATTGTAGAAGTTGAAGGTGATTCTCACAGCGCACTTCCATAAGATCTCACCAAATAACAAAAACTACCTTTACGTAATGTGGTTTGTTTACATACCTGTTCCTCAGTCTCTAGTACAGTCACGGTAGAAGTTGCTCCGTCTTGTTGCTCTTGAAATGTGACCGGTTCCGCCATGATATTGAACATTCAATTCGCATGTAAGTAGTTACCAAATACATTCATTCATTAGAAATCAGTTTATATATTGTGGTTACACAAATTATATTGCTTTATTAAACATATACACTGACCCATTTAACAAGAACAAAGTATGTCAGTTTTAAGTGAAAATTTTGACTTTTGACATATGCAACTTAAAATTTTGACAATCGCAAAGATTTCTGCATTCTATTATTGACTTTTGTAAGCAATAGTAACAAGAGTGCTACACAGAGGTCAGCTCCAAACTAGTCAGAGTCAGGAGCGTTTTCAGCGTTAAAAAAAACGTAGAAAAAAATGAAAATAGGGTGGCCTTATGACCAACTCAAAAATCCTAATGGAAAATTTGCTTTGAACAAACAAGTTCGAATTGTTGTAGGTCACAATAGGTTCAAAAAAATGTATACTCTTAAATATAATGATAATACAAAACATTGTTCGACTTTGGAGTAATTCAGGAATGATATGATTGGTATTTTACAGGGATTGCTATTACAAAATTCTGTAACATGCTCGAGAATAACTACTTTTAGCTTCAAGTCACTATTTTCCGGTTTTGAAGGCCGTGGAGTTTTGAAACTTATTCCTGACGTCCTGAGTCTGCCGTTGCGTTTTTGCCACTCCAAAGAAAACAATGGGCGAATTATGTTGAACCGTTTTGCCATCGATGTGCCGGTGATTCAAGTGATGGTCCAGCAATGAATCGACCATTAGGATTTGCTGGGGCATCTCCTGATGACGCTAATTTGGTTAGCGAAACACGTGTCGCTATTCAGTAGTTTTGTTCGGGTGTGGGAGCAGTGTTTTCTTTAGATTGATTTTACGCCAGATATTCAAATTCTACCTATCAAATTATGCAACTAATTAAGTATTTTATTTTTTTATAACGTTTTTTATGCATCTTAATCAGCGTCACTTCTGGCGCGTACACACTAAATACTTGAATTTTGTAGATACATTTTTGATACCTTTGAGATCATAGAGATCAATATTTTTTTATATGGGTGAAGGAATTTTTCAAATTGGTTAAGTAGTTTTTGAGTTTATCAATTTCGAACAAACAAATCTTTGATAATATTATAAGTTCAAACTCCCATTATCTGAAAATAACCGATCTGAAACTTATGAAAAAACAAATGAAATGAAAATAATGAAAAATAAAATTATTGAAGATATCAAAAATGACCAGACCGAAACATTCGTTAGTTAAAACTGAAAAAAATTAGCATAAATAACTAAGTAAGCAATTAGTAAAAAATTTCAAAAAAAATGTAAGAACCCTTATCTGTAAAGAAAACAAATTATTGTGACCTGAAATTAAAATAAATAGGTTAACAAGGTGTTATGGAAACTCCAAAAACTTATATAACTTATCAGCATGTTAGTGATTAGTGACGTGAACTGGTAAATTGGGTGGAGTTATAACTAAAAGCTCACGTATTGAATGGTTGAGTTACTTAAAACTAAAAATATGAGCATAAATGAATACGAGTCGTGAGTAAACAATGAGAATATAAATTCAAAAAAATGTAAGACCGCTAATTTGTGAAGAAAACAAATTATTGTGATCTGAAATTAAAATAAATGGACTACTAAAAATGAAATGAAACAATCAAGATACCTACAAAAAAAAGTTTTCAAACCAAGTTACTTCACGACGTTTCGATTGACATTATCCACAATCGCCTTCAGATGATGATTGGCGTATTCTTGATATTCGGGTCACTGGGTCACTGCTTCTCACACTCTCTCCCTGCTCTCGGATTCGGGTTGAGACCACTTTCCTGGGTTTCATACGTTGCTTATCTCTACACCAGCTTGAAGGAGTGCGTCGTTGTTCAACATGTACGCAACTTCTTTAAACTTTTTTTTAAACCAGTGTTCCTCCATGTGGTTGATCAGCTTCGGACCACTTGATGTTATACTGCTGATATCAAAAATGTTCCGCTATTTCCGATTTGCTGGTTTCTTCTCAGCAATGCAGATTTTTAACGGCCTCTTGGTTTCAACTTGCCACAATCACATGGTTATTCAGTAAATGCAATTTTTGGAGTCGCTGTGTGCGTTTGGTGGCTTGGTTTTTGTAAAACTGCTACGGAAGCTGTTGCCGGATTTGAAGCAGGTTTAAATGTTGTATTTTGATCAAACTCTTCTTATCCTCTTCTACAATCGTCTGACGTAAGGAAGGGATAGCCCTGGTTATAACGGCTTCTCTATGGGGCTACTGTTGTCTTCTAGTCAAAGTATGTTCCACCACTCTAACCACTCTGTTGGATTTATGATGTACTGTTTGGAACCTTTGGTGTAGTAATGAATATTACTGGAGTCCTCTCTGGGGTTGATTGGTACAGTTGAGGTGCTGCAAGGATGTTTTCAGGTCTGTGTTTCCATGCTTCTATACCATGAAAGTGTTGTCATCGTATGTCAACCAGACTCGAAGATTTTTGTGGCCTAGTTCAAAGACTAGCATTTCAAACCGTGCAATGAATGTGTTGACGATAACCGGGCTTGCGTGAAGAATTTGTCTCTCAGTTCCGGACACAACATTCCAGTAATTCCATGATGACTCTTATTCATTCTATCTGCCAGGTTTTCGTCTTCGGAAAGTTCTCTTTACGGAAGTGCTTCTTCGAAAGGAACGTTGGTGTCCAATCCTACATCTTGAGTAGATCATTCAGGCGAGGGGGCTAACTGTGGTGCGGTGTCAATGATGACCCCTCCTTTTCCGAAAAGAAGTGTTGACATTTCTTCAAAGTCTGGTACACCTTCCTTTCTATGGATGTACAACATATTCAATTTTCTTTTCGTAGAGATCGATATCCATCACAACAGTAGCATTTCCCCTGTCTGTAGGTAAAATCTTGATATTTTCATTCCTTCGTGTGCCAAAACAAGCACTGCAACATTCCTCTCGACGCATGTTTCACCAACCAAGTTGGCGTTGTAAGAACATGAAGTAAAAAAATGCTTGTTTCGGATTTATCGTTGATCAACTGATTATCATGAATTAAATTTTCAAGGTTGTCCATAAAAAATCATATTAAATCAATCAAAATCAAATAATTTTGAGATCGACAAATGATAAGTAGGCCTAGAATTTCCAGTTTTTCTACAGGATCAACATGGTTTCCGTTCAAGATACGCTCAACCAGCTGAATTGAAACAATTAAGCTGGCCATAAAACGATATAAATTTTGCGTTTTCAGGGAGAGTTATGTTTTTAATGTTATCCACTAGTTGATGAGTATTATTTATACTAAATCGCGGTTGGAAATTGGTGTGAATTTTGATTAATTGTATGAGAAATTCTGAAATTTTTACCGATGGGCCGTTATAAATGACATCACAGTTCTAATTAACGAATTGGTTTCTTGTAATTTAATGAGGGAATAGAGTTTGGGTAGTTGTGGGTTTATGATAACCGCCCTGCGTTTACCAATTCCATTCATATGAGTAACTGGCTCTATTGACTATTAGGGTTGCCTTTACTTCTTTTTTGAGTTATACTAACATATTCTTGTTTATCTATAGCAATAACAGTTCGACCTTTGTCTGCTCTCGTAGATATAACTTCATTATTATAAGCCTTTTGTTTAATTGAATTTACAAATTCCATTTCTTTATCGAAACGGATTTGGAGATGAGCTTGGCCACAGTCTTCTCGTATCCTAGGAATAAGTCGCTAATACCTGATCCATACCGGGTGTTTAACGGTTGTTTGAGTTTGGATGAAGGATCCAACACTTGTATTTTTTGATAATGACTGTTAATATTTTCAAGTCTATGGAAATAAAGAATAGGTATTGTTAGTAATATAAATAGCTGGTTCTGTAGAAAAATGAATCCCACATTAAGGAATTTGAAACCCTTTCCTGTTGCACATGACTTTGAAATTGGGTCAGTAAAAAATGAAAGCAAGAGAAAAGCATTAATATTTCTCTAAAAACAGTCGCATAATATGATTATTTCATTTCCGTAGCCGAAAATAACATTCGACCGAATAACGAAATTAAACTATTCACAAACCAGTCCTATTAATGGCAGCATTCCGATAAATATCTATCAGTCATAATTAATGAACGGTACTAGTAATTCTTGGCAATTTAACTGTCAGCGATTCTTACGAGCCTCATAAAGTTATTCGAGTGGCGAGTACGAAAATATATTCCACGCGTAAATAACATATTTGATTATCACAACATTTGAAATAGTGCATAATTACTTACAGGTTGACATAATTATACACTTCAATTTTCTTTCCGAATTTATAATGGTGGAATAAGAAATTTTCGAGGTAATAGGAAAATCAAAGGTTTGTGTCGTCAAATATAATACTATATGATCAATGTGATAAAATGAGTGAATGGAGTCAAATGAAGAGGGAGTCAATTGAGCACGATAAGTCCCACGTAGATTTTTGAGGGTTGATCACAAAGCTGTATGAAGAGAAAAACAAACACGCAATTGGCAACTTTCAAATCAACCTTTGAAAAAATAATCATTGAAAATCAAAAGGGTTATGTATTTACAACAGGTGGCAGCCTAATCGACAGATTGCAGGGCGCTGCGTTTAATTCTTGAGCGAGACATTTTATTTTGTTGAAAAATAAAAGACAAAGCGTTTAAAAATATACTCAACTTCCTTTTTTGCAGAAAAATGGCAGCTGAAAAAAATGTTGGGAACCTAAACAACATATACCATTTCGACCTAGTGGATTATATAGTATTTGCTTCTATGCTGATACTCTCTGCCTTAACAGGGCTGTACTACGGCTGCAGAAGCAAATATTGCAAGAGTGAAACTGGTCAGACACTAAGCGAATATTTGACAGGAAACAGGAATTTGAAACCATTTCCTGTAGCTTTGTCTTTGATAGCAAGGTAGGTATTTTTATGGTCTCCATTCAATTCGTACTGCTAAGTGCTTCTCTGCATGAACGTTTTGATTGATGTTCATTTTGTTTTAATTGCTAGCGTTATGGACGTGATAGATATGTAGGACCAAACATTGATCCTTGAGGTATACTATTAATTGTGGTTCAAAATTTTCAAGTTACAGGTATCCTAAGTAAAATATTTGTTTCTTTTTTAATTTTACAGTTACGTTTCTGGAGTAACAATTTTGGGCACTCCATCGGATATTTACCTTTTTGGAACTCAGTACTGGTTTATAGTCATTGCCATATGGCTGAGTGGTTTGGTGGTTGCCAATGTTTACCTACCAGTATTTTTGAGATTGCAAGTTAATTCTTCCTACGAGGTATGTAGACTTCATTCTAAAATACGGGATGACATATACCAATCAATTATTGTGACTATTGCCATCAATCAATCAATCTGGTAGACAAATCTATAGACGTAGATGACATAGATATGTGATATGAGAAATCAAGTATTGTTGAGAAGATTTTCGTTAGTCAGGGACGTGTAACCATTTTTTTAAGTTGAATAACTCAAATTTACTCAATATTTACCCAATAATTAACTGTCATTTGTTTTCGACAGATATTCTTGTATCTTTAAGCAATCTGCAAATTAAATCTAAAGAAATGAACTTTGAACGTTCAAGCCAGTCTCGGATATACCTACACAGTAGGTTGAATGGACTGACGCCTATCAGAAAACATTCACATTTTTGATTTAGGTCTTCCACGATATATCTCATATCTCTTTCGTTTCTGGCTTTAATTTTGTATTTTCAATAATTTCAGTGACAGGAATCAACATTCATTTAGTTGGAACAATTGTGGCGGTAGTATGCGTTTTCTATACTTTTTTGGTAAGTAAAATGATTTCAGATATGGTGAATTATCATATCATTGGATTATTTTCATACAGTAAAAATAAATCGACAAACATATCAGACACAGTCAACCTTACCTTAAACGCTTTAAAAGTATAGTGACATTCTGAGTCGATTTTACTGCTGAGAAACGAATACTAATTTCTCTGTTGTTTGTTGACAGAAGTAATCTTTCCAAAGATAAATAGAGAGTTTTTTAATAAAATTATCCTTGACGGCCTAATAGGCCTTTCTCAAAATGTCCCCCCGTTGGCTAAATTGACTGAAGTAATCTTTCCAAAGATAAATAGAGAGTTTTTTAATAAAATGATCCTTGACGGCCTTATAGGCCTTTCTCAAAATGTCCCCCCGTTGGCTAATTCTTGAACAAAGGTTTTCCATGGCCACGGAATGGCCTCGTATATTACCCTGTTTCACACCGTTAGACTATTTGTTCAACTCTGAAAACCAAAACCTCAAACTGTTGAAGGCTCACGAAATATAATTATTGAGACTATTGTTTGATAACAATTATAAATTTTGGGTAATGAAGATCAATTGTATTTCCGTAATATGGTTAATATAGGTCAGTTTCAATATTAAATGGAATGATTTAAAATAAAAATAGTTTTACGTTTTTCCCCGTGGGTTCACCATGCAATAATTGACTACACTGAATAATCAAACTTAATTTTATTTCACTTTAAATACACAAATACTTCAACTAAAACTTCAACGATTATTTGAATTTCTATCGCCTTACTAGATCACTTCGCGTACCTCACTGTAACGTCCACTTGACTGTCTCGATATCCTCGTGGCTAGCCTTCAAATATCGTAATCGAATGTTGTCGAAATTTCTCCGAAGTTCTGTCGAAGTCGGTAGCATTATTCTCGCTGCTTCTCGATTGGCGGGGAATCATTATGCACTCGCGCGCTTTTAGCCACGTCTGGTTTATGGCTACCAGCGACGGCCGGCGTTATTTTCTTTCAGGCATGATTTACAACAATACGTATGCTATTTTTCCAATTTCGTTCAGTCTCATTTGTCAGTGACGTGTCCATAAAAGTGCAATACGAAAACAAAGTACCTATCGACACCTTTAACTATTTGAAAAGATATGAGGTGGCTCTAGACTAGATGGTAGACGGATGTAGTTAATAAGATGCACTTTGTCACATCTTTAGCTTCCTTAATATAAGCCCTACTTCTGGCAACAAAATATATTAACTAGGAATAAAAAGGTGAGGTTTTTTCTATAAGACAACCAGTATATTTATATTCGAGATTGAAGTTCTAATTTCGAGAAGGAGCCGCAAATGCCATGATTTATTTCGAGGCAAATCATCTAAACCGGATTCAAATATACTATACCGGGTGCCACAAAATATTTGCTACATAGTACTACAAAATAGAAATATTTTCTTGAGGATATCGTTTGTTACGACAAATTTTTGGGTTCATATTGTGTAAATATATGTCTCTGATTTTTTTCTATTGGCTTTAATATTTTAGGGCGGTCTTAGAGCCGTGGTATGGACTGATTCTTGGCAAGTAATAGCTATGTTTATTTCGGTAATAGTAGTAGTTATACTAGGAACAATTGCAGTTGGTGGACCGAGCGTTATCATAGACCTGACAAACAGAGGAGAGAGATTTATTTTTTTCGAGTAAGTTAAATTAATATATGCATTACCTTTATTGTGGGACATGAAGTCTACACAGTCTTTTCAAGAAAATCATTGTTTTTTATTTCAGCACAAACCCGAGTATGTATGAGAGATACACGATATTCAGTGTGTTGATTGGAGGGTTTACTTATTGGACTTGTTTCAATTCAGTCAACCAAACGATGGTCCAAAGATATCTTTCATTGCCAAGTGAGAGACAATCCAAAATGTGAGTATTATCGGTGCATTAAAATACGGGTTGCTCAACTGAAAACGTAACGATGATAGTTTTAGGAGTTTGTATTGAAAATGTGTACTATTGATTTTATTTGAATGACTGTCACTGTTTTGACATTTGAAATCAAGAATATCCACTTTTCAATGAATTATTTATTAGTTTATGTGAAATCAGTACTTTTGTCGCAGATCCGTACTCATTTTCACAATCGGCGTATCTGGGTTCGTGTGGATATGCTGTTATGCAGGAATTCTAGTGTTCGCATCTTATTACGGTTGCGATCCTCTTTCGTTGGGTCGAATTAAGACAGACGACCAAATATTACCACTTTTCGTTATGGAGACCGTAGGTCATTTAAGAGGAGTTCCTGGACTTTTCGTTGCTGGTGTTTTTGGCGCTGCATTAAGGTACTTATGAAAAACTTACTGTTTATTGTATTGTTTATTTTCTCATTAATATAAACATACGAGGTCTGCTTAGAAATAAAAAAAGGCATTTTCTTTTTTCTCAAAAATATTTATTTATTCATCAATTTCTATTTCGTCTCCTTCAAAGTAGTCACTATCAGATATAATACAGTGATATAATACACTTGTGCCAGCGTTTTTTCCAATCCTCAGAGCAGTTTTGATCTTGGAAGCAGGAAAAAGTTGCAGGGTGTTAAATCTAGTGAATACGGTGGCTGATGCATGAAAACGGTATTCTTTTAGGCCAAAAAATACGAACAAGCAATGACGTGTGATGAAAAAGCCATGAATTGTTTTTCCACAATACCGGACCGGATAATACTCCTTATTGACCGTATGACCATGTGGTAAGAACTTCTGGTGTACTACGCCACGATAATCGAAAAAACAGTGAGCAAAACCTTGACATTTGATCAAACTTATTTCGATCTTGGCGTGCTTCTTTCGGTCTTGGTTCTCCTGGGCTCTTCCATTGGGATGATAGGACTTTGGTTTCGATGTCATAACCATATACCCATGACTCGTCCTCAGTTATGACTCTTTTAAGCAAATCTAGATCGCCTGAGCGATGCTCATATGCGACAGTTTATTTATTTGAAATTCAGCAATTTTGGAACGATCTTTGCTGACACACGCTTCATGCCCAAAATTTACGAAAAAATTGCATGGCATGAGCCAACCGATATGCCGACATCCTCAGAAACTTCTCTAATAGTGATTCGACGATTCTTAATAACAAATTTCTTCACTTTCATCGGTTGTTGATGTGCTAAGGCGTCCAGGGCGAGCGTCGTTATTCACCTCTTCTTCTTCAACCACCCTACGCCACTGTCAACATTTTAAATATTTTTGAGCACTTAATTCCATTTTTTTACACAAAATTCGATGCAAAATCGTATATCCATTTTTTTCAATAGCATCAAATCACCAAACACGCAAAACACTTCCAACTTGTATGCCTCTTATCAACAAACTATATATGCTAATCAGGTGACACTGTAAACATATGTTCGAGACGAGTGTACCAACATAAATAAAAAAAAACGATAACCGAAAGTACGTAGCCTGCAAAATTTGAACACTCACTTTATTTTTTGAACAAACCTCGTACAAGTCCGAAACTCATAAAATCCGAGCATGTTACAAAAACTGGAGCAAAATTCTTCAACCATTCTTAATAAAGATGATGAAAGTAACGTGCATATTACTTCTATATGGAAATATACCTAATTAGAAAGACGTAGTGCGGTCCGAAAGGGGGTCGAAACCCCCCCTTCCCCAAACCGTAAATGACAAATCGTCAAACCATCCAAAAATAGATAATTCAATATCCTATTAACTTCCTGATACTCTTCTATATAATGAAATGAAAATAGGCGTTCAAAAGAATTTAAAAAAACAATTTATAAAACAGCAACACGTGTTTCGCTATACAATAGCTTCCTGAAGTATGAAAATTCAGGTAAAATTATGTAAATACGGATAAAAAAGTAAAAATATTTATTCAATTGTAGAAATGATGTGAAAAATAATAGTTGAAAAAACTAAGAAAACATCGATAATAAGTCCTATGTCTTGATGTAATTAATGCCTTTTAATAAGTCTGAAATCAAAATGAATCTATTGTATTGTCACCGATTCTTGATAAGTATACAAAGTTTCAAATTGTAATAAGTTGGATATATTATTTTTCGTTGAATTTTAGATACCGAAACACATGTGTTTTCGGAACAGGGAACTATCAGCTTTCAGAAATAACCTTAAGGACAACAGAGCCAAGCCATTTAAAGGAAAAGTCGGTCAAATTAACTGCTGGATGCTAAAATATTCGATATTTTGAAACATTCAACCTCATCATTCATTTAATTATCATGACGTTTAGGGTCGAAAATATATTATTCATTCTATCATCCAGTCTTGGAAATAATTTCAGATTTTCCTATTGGTAGGAACTTTTCTGAGATAATGTTAATTACATCCCCTAACAGAGTTAAGGTGGAGAGTTTTTTGGAAAGATTTAAGGCAGTCGTGCGCAGACCGCGCGGAGTTCGCGGTCTTTTGTCCGGGTCGCTTCGACCTCCGGACATGGTTCCGGAGACCGGTGCCACGAAGGGTTTCAGATTTGTTAATTATTCGCGGTTTAATTGAATTGTGGTGAAAAAGGGTAATAGCGTATGACGTCAGTCGTGCGCGGACCCTAGGGTCGTTTGGGGGCTTAAGGCCGGGGCTGTTGGCCCCTTTGGGGAGGTTGCTGAGAAAGCTATTGAAGACACTGGATCGCGAGGGGATTTCAGTGGTGATGAATATTCGCAATTTATTTGGCTAGCTGACTTGAGGACAAATAATCGCGGTTTAATTGAATTGAGTTGAGGGAGTTTTTGGGGAAACTTCTGTATTAATTTTTGTTCATTTTACTTTATCAATTGTTAATCCGATTATTTCGCCGACTTTATTCATCAATGAAGTTGTTTTGTGAAAACTCTGCTAATATTATTTCATTCCCTCAAACCCCTAAAAGACTACGCATTTTAGCCGTGGCCGAATCCAGTCTCTGAAATATAATTGGTGGGATAACCAAACCATTGCTCTATGAAGATAAAAAGGTAAAAAATTCAACTGTTGACCAAGTCGCCCACGAATAATTCTCAATCCGTGTGATCAGTACGGATTTCAAACTATTTCTGATCTGGTGGCAGCAACTCTCGCGCTACCAAAATAAATTAAAAAATAAATACCTTCGGCTGAACGATCCTATATATACAGAGGGAATGTATTTTTTTGGTGCAAGTATAACTGAGATAATTATTATAATTCCTATCTCAAGTCCATTTGTTTTAATATAAAATATATACGCATGCGCAGACAGTGTGGTTGTTTCACTTGCTCTCACACAGATACTGTGTGGGGAAATTGTGCAATCCTGGCAATCCTGATCAGGATAATGAGATAAACTTATGAAATTATTGTATTGTACATCGATTCTTGATAGTGTACAAAGTTTCAAATCAATGTGTCCGTTTAAAGTTAGTCAAAATCGAGTCCAAAGAAGTCGGCTACAAATAAGCAAACATACAAGTGAGGCTAGTAAAAGCGTGTTAAAAACAAATTTAATGAATATAAGGTATCAATTATTCTAGAGCGATAAAGCATGAATTTTTGTAGTAAGTAACGGGGTGCTTTATAACTCAATTTGATCGTTCCACAGATATTGGGATTTTTTGTACTCATTGATTTCCATACTTTCCAGAAGGTCAAGTTTCGAACCTCTTTTCTGGAAATGAAGAATTTTGAATTCATGATTGAACTCATCCCCCTCTGTAAGGAGGTGGGTAGCATACGTTGAATTTATCTTTCCATTCTGAAAAGTGTTTCTATGTTTTTAAATGCGTGCTTAAAATGTTCTTTCAGTTTGACCTACGTAAAACATCGGACATTAAACACAAGACAATTATCGCAGTTTATCATTATTCATTCAAATTGATCTTGTACTGGTTAAGAATAAGAATGCAAGTGGCGTTAATGACTATTTTCTGATTTTCAGTTCTTTATCTGTAGTCCTCAACTCAACGGCTCAGGTGTTTTTAGAAGATTTTCTTAAGGGTTGCATGAAGATGACTCTTTCTGAGAGGATTGCCACTATAGTGGTGAAAGGGGTCGTTTTAGCTTTAGGGCTAGTAGCTGTGGGATTCATGTACGTTGTAGAACATATGGGAGGAGTTTTAGCAGTGAGTAAATTATTGCAAATCACATCTGATTACTCTAAATGATTGAAGTGTTTCGCTTAGATAACTACTGAGTCTTTGCACTGAACCGTTTCTGCTTTTACAGCACGAAATAAAAATAATAAATAATTCATTTATGTTATAACCTGTACATGTTATAATAATGATAATAAAAACCTTTGTTTCCTTTGAGGACAATTACATAATTATTTATGAAAGTAGACAGAAAAAAGTAAAAAAGTTTCAATGTACATATTATCCATATTACACACATTACACATAGGAGAGAAGTATGCTAAAATATTATTAGTTCATCTGCATGAACTGTTGTATATTCGGAAATTTATTTGTTACATTAATTTAGCGTGTGGAATATGCCAATTCATCCTTTGCCTTGATGATCGAGAATAATAATTGTTCAAAATGTGACTTATTTCGGAAAACATAGAGAGACAAGTCCATAATATGAAGAGAAGGAAGTGTTAATAAATTTTGTCAATATTTCGTACAACTTGTTGATTTAGAAACACAGGCAAAGATCTAACCATCATTGACAAGTTTTTGTCTGTTATGAATGATAAAATAGTGTGTTTCTCTGGATTCAGAAGTATTTATTTGTAAACCAGTTATTCAAATCATTCAATAACTGATTATAATAGTTTTCCAGGTGAGCATTTGTTTTTTCAGATACTATAATAGAAGTGTCATCAGCCTATAAAGTGAAATGAGCATCAGTATGTAAAATGTCGAGATCATTTATATACCAGATGAAGAGAATAGACCCGATGATTAACCCTTGGAGAACTCTTAAATTCATAGGCTCACTCTTAGATTGAATATTTGTCAAACAGTTATCCCTTTGGTGTTTAATACTGGTATACTGTTATCTACGTGGATGCAAAAACGATTCAAGCCAATTCACTAAAGCTTCATTCACTGCATGCTTTGAAATGGTGTTTTTTAGAGTTAAATGTATTACCGATTCATAGTCCACCAAGAAACAAGAAACCCCAAACTAATTTTGTTACTCCACTTCTTCCATTCAAAGATTTTCCATTAGGCCTATTCAAAAATAGGCATATACTAATTGGCTTGATTTGAAGTGGTGGTATTATTTCCAGAAAGTGTGTTGTAGAAAAAAAATTCTACAATTTGTAGAAGGCCTTTTCAAGACCGTTCTCCGGAGCATGTTGGGTGGCATACTTCAAAGTGGATTTTAAGATCTGAATAAAAGAGAGTTACATTCATAGAACTAACAGAACTAGTTTGAGTTGGTGGAGCTATTAAATGCCCGACAGATGTGATAACAAATCTTAGCTATTCTTGAACTATTCAATATTGAAATTGTTTAACTTGAGAAAAGCTTGGGTTATTACTTAAATTTTATGGATATTAATATGTAAATTAGTATTATCATTTTAAAGCCACGTTTCACGCATTAAAAAAATATTACGTGCTTGGTGGTAAGATTTTTATAATACACATTGAACACTAAGCGAGAGGAGGAGGAGGAGCCTGCTTTCCGATGACGTATGCATGGAAGGAAGGGAAGCCAGACAGACTAGCGCTGTAACGCGTTAGGTAACGAAGCGGTTTACCCTCCCATAAGAAGTTATCACTTCAAAAACAAATACCTATTTGCAATTTATTGACTAAATGTAATAATAAATTAACTGTAAACATATTTCTTTGCTCAATTTTTTATCTAGTATGTTCCATGGCTGAATAAACCCATAATTACTCTGTTCTAGAATGAGTTATCATTATAATTAAGGTAAAACATCAAACTGAAAAAAATTACTATCTTTTTCAGATGGCTTCCTCGCTGTCAGCTATCGCAGCAGGGACGTCTTGCGGAATCTTCACATTGGGCATGGTGTTTCCATGGGCCAATTCAAAGGGGGCTATCGCGGGAGCTATAGCTGGAGCAATCATGTCCGGTCTGGTTTCGTTCGGGGGACAATTTGTTGCAGCCGCGAAGTTGGTGGTTGCCCACAGATTACCAGTTTTCGTGAATCAGTCCTGTTTTGAAAAATATGGAATCAGCAACGATACTATTGCACCTCCGGTGAGTGCCAAAAATGAACTCAAAATTATTCTGTATAATAAGAATCATTAATATGTTGAAAGAATTGAACTGAATAAATCATATATGTATCACAAGTCCCACTTTCATTCGAAGAAAAAAGTTGGTAGCGCCCTCTCAGAGAAGCGTGACGCAACATCATTGTCTTTCTTTAAAAATAAAGTAGCGAAAATAAAGCGTAAATTTTTTCTGGTCTTGATATCTTTTTCCATTTGGAAGTTAAAAGGGGGGAGATTTTTTACGTCCGAATAAACCAAATAGCAAAAGCGATAGTTCCTTTCTCCCTCGTAGTAAAATTGAAGATCATGACTTTGTTTTTGGGCTCTGGGGGGTCGTTCTGCGGAAAGGATACAAAAGTGGCTACGGTTGCCAGTTGCCAGCTGTAGTCGGCTACAACCATGTAATAAATAAAAACAAATTCCGATGTTGTCATATCTACAAATCCCATGTAATCCAAATAATGGCTTATAATAGCTGGTCCAGAAATAAGCAGAATAACCTCATAGATTTCTTCTAGTCTGATATTCATTCCGTTTCAGATAATTTATCCGGACGAATCCGACGTTTTTCCTCTTTTCCGATTGTCGTTTATGTGGATCACTCCTGTTGGGGTTACGACCGTTGTGGTGGTTGGAATCGTAACTAGTTTCTTAACAGGCAAGACCGACTTGAAACCTTCGGCTGAACGATCCTATATATACAGAGGGAATGTATTTTTTTGGTGCAAGTATAACTGAGATAATTATTATATATCTTTAGTGGTATATAGGGATCGCCAATTCAGACCCGACGGTCATTTATTAAAAAATCAATGTGTGCGTTTAAAGTTAGTCAAAATCGAGTCCAAAGGAGTCGGCTACAAACACGCAAACATACAAGTGAGGCTAGTAAAAGCCTGTTATAAACAAAATTAATGAATATTAGATATCAATTATTCTAGGGCGATAAAGCATGATTTTCTGTATTAAGTGACAGGGTGCTTTGTAACTCACTTCGATTGTTCAATAGATATTGGGATTTTTTGTAATCATTGATTTCCATACTTTCCAGAAGATCAAGTCTGGAAATGATGAATTTTGAATTACTTATTGAACTCTTGCCTCTCTGTAAGGCATGAGTTTATCTTTCCATTCTGAAAACTGTTTCTATTTTTTTAAAGGCGTGCTTAAAATATTCTTTCAGTTTGACCTACGTGAAACATCGGGCATTAACCACAAGACAATTATCGCAGTTTATCATTATTCATTCAAATAGATCTTGTACTGGTTAAGAATAAAAATGCAAGTGACGTTAATGACTATTTTCTGATTTTCAGTTCTCTATCTGTAGTCCTCAACTCAACGGCTCAGGTGTTTTTAGAAGATTTTCTTAAGGGTTGCATGAAGATGACTCTTTCTGAGAGGATTGCCACTATAGTGGTGAAAGGGGTCGTTTTAGCTTTAGGGCTAGTAGCTGTGGGATTCATGTACGTTGTAGAACATATGGGAGGAGTTTTAGCAGTGAGTAAATTATTGCAAATCACATCTGATTACTCTAAATGATTGAAGTGTTTCGCTTAGATAACTACTGAGTCTTTGCACTGAACCGTTTCTGCTTTTACAGCACGAAATAAAAATAATAAATAATTCATTTATGTTATAACCTGTACATGTTATAATAATGATAATAAAAACCTTTGTTTCCTTTGAGGACAATTACATAATTGTATAGGAAAGTAGACAGAAAAAAGTAAAAAAGTTACAATGTACATATTATCCATATTACACACATTACACATAGGATAGAAGTATGCTAAAATATTATCAGTTCTAAGTGATTCACTTAATGAATATAAACAACTATGAGATAGAAAACATTTGATTGTGAACATTAGAAGCATTTTTTATATCTGCACATGAACTGNAAATTACTATCTTTTTCAGATGGCTTCCTCGCTGTCAGCTATCGCAGCAGGGACGTCTTGCGGAATCTTCACATTGGGCATGGTGTTTCCATGGGCAAATTCAAAGGGGGCTATCGCGGGAGCTATAGCTGGGGCAATCATGTCCGGTCTGGTTTCGTTCGGGGGACAATTTGTTGCAGCCGCGAAGTTGGTGGTTGCCCACAGATTACCAGTTTTCGTGAATCAGTCCTGTTTTGAAAAATATGGAATCAGCAACGATACTATTGCACCTCCGGTGAGTGCCAAAAATGAACTCAAAATTATTCTCTATAATGTGAATCATTAATATGTTGAAAGAATTGAACTGAATGTCTATAGAAAACTATGTATACTACCACTAAATGATATCTATATATAAAATGCATCACGACCTGAATACTTGAGCAAAAAATAAAGCACTACAATACTCTAAAATGTATCGAAAATTCTATCTTACGAGAATTTTGGCTTTCAGTATCTTCCAGTCGAAGTCTCAAAGATTTTAGTTGTTAACATTACCTCAGTTTTATATTAATTACTAGAGTGTCGTTGTATATTGGCTACTCCAGCATTTGAGTAATTTTGACATGTTTTACTTTTATAAATAGAAGTTGTGAAACCTGTCTAATATTAGTAAGCACCGACATCCCCTCTCATAAAGACAATCTATAGGTTCAACAGAAAACCCAAATCTTGCTCATACAATATGTTTCGATATCAACTCTCAAATGAGAAATCGCTTCATAATAAGTTATCTAGCGAGCTATTCTAAAGAACTTTGGATAATTGTCATGTAACCACTTTTGAACCAGCCGGTTGGCGGTACCATAGGCAAGCATAATCCTTCAGAATGGCCCACAAGAATACCAGATATGACGCCTCTAGATACATTTAAGGGGGTATGTGACAACTAAAGTGTACGATACACAACCGATAGAAAAAAAGTTGCTTGCAACAAAATTTTCCTAGGAATATTTCACAATGTAAGAAATTAATTCGTAAACAGACCTCATTTTTGTCAGGAAGATGAATGGTAAACACTGTACATTTATTGGAATGAGTTTTGAATACTTTTTTTTTGAAAATAGATTATTTATCGTTTGTTTGTTCACAGATTCTCGAAATGAATATATAATTTTCAAAAATAAACTAGTGTAGAGAATTGAAATCATATATGTATCACAAGTCCCACTTTCATTCGAAGAAAAAAGTTGGTAGCGCCCTCTCAGAGAAGCGTGACGCAACATCATTGTCTTTCTTTAAAAATAAAGTAGCGAAAATAAAGCGTAAATTTTTTCTGGTCTTGATATCTTTTTCCATTTGGAAGTTAAAAGGGGGGAGATTTTTTACGTCCGAATAAACCAAATAGCAAAAGCGATAGTTCCTTTCTCCCTCGTAGTAAAATTGAAGATCAAGACTTTGTTTTTGGGCTCTGTGGGGTCGTTCTGCGGAAAGGACACAAAACAGGCTGTTTTGTGGGAAAGGATACAAAAGTGGCTACGGTTGCCAGCTGTAGTCGGCTACAACCATGTAATAAATAGAAACAAATTCCGACGTTGTCATATCTACAAATCCCATGTAATCCAAATAATGGCTTATAATAACTGGTCCAGAAATAAGCAGAATAACCTCATAGATTTCTTCTAGTCTGATATTCATTCCGTTTCAGATAATTTATCCGGACGAATCCGACGTTTTTCCTCTTTTCCGATTGTCGTTTATGTGGATCACTCCTGTTGGGGTTACGACCGTTGTGGTGGTTGGAATCGTAACTAGTTTCTTAACAGGCAAGACCGACTTGAAAACATTAGACCCAGAGTTGATTTCACCTGTTTTTCAATGGTTATTACCACCCGAAGCTCAGAGATATGCGGGTTCTACCATTAAAAGAGTAAGAAATAGGGAAGTTTTGGAGAATGAGAGTATGGTACAAATAAGACCTATTGGAGTACAAGTAAGAAGGACAATTATTTGATGAAAGTCAGTCTGGAAATTTCCACCTTCCACAATCTAAAAAAAATTAAAATTGTATTGGCGAACTTTATACAGGTGTAGAAAGAACAAATTTTTTAGTTCACCCGGATAATTCATTGAGGAAATTTAATGTATTTATTTTTCACAAAGGAAAATACGCTTTTTATCATTAATATATCAGTCGTATTTGATAAGATGGGAAAATGTTACAGATACTTATCCTAACGTTTCGAAGGCTGAAATCTCTCAATTTTTAGTCAATAAACAACATGTCAATGTTGTTTATTGACTTTTGAAACATTGGTTGTAGTACACGTACTACACCTGCGTGTTGCAATATTGTCAATTTCCATTTTTTACACCTGCATAAAGTTCTCCATTACAATTTTCATTATTTTCAGATTGTGAAGAAAATTTCCTGAAAATTCAATGAAAAACTTGAAAATTATTTGTTTTAACAAGTAAAACAAAGAATTCATAGACAAATTCTATGAATTATTTAATTCATCACAGAAAACAAGATTATTTGTTTTTCTATTATAAAAACATAACCGTCACTGTATTTTTCAGATAACACCAGAGGTCGCAAGAAAGAATAGCTGACAGTTGAAATATTTTCTTATAAAGATAGTTAAATGAGTTCAAATTTGTACTTATATTCGATTTATTTATGTATTATTTACTTTGTGCTGAGCAGTATTAAAATTGCAAATTAAATCTACGTGAAATTATTTTCAATATATTCATTGAGTGTTTCTCCACTACAGTTTTTCATTTGATCATGTCGTGAACGGTTATATCTCGTGAACGGTTGATTTTTGATCGAGGGAATGTTTCATGGAAATAAGTCAAAATCACGTCGGAATGTAAATACTTTTCTAAAATGCAGGGTGTTCCATTTAATAATATATAGGTTTGGCCCATTTATTTTTAGAATTAATCATCGATTTCGAACACCTTGTTTAACATTTTGGAAATTTTACTTCAAGACGATGGAATGAAGTATATAATAATAGCTTATTTATGTATTTTAACAAACTTTTGAATTTTATGGAGGAATCACACGACAGCCGAACACCTAGAACGGTTCATTTTTGGTAGAGTGTGTATTACATAAACTCCGGTATAACCGAAAGTATTGTTTAACGCTATTATTTTCATTCGATGAAGTATATTAAAAAAACCAATATTTGCCAATGAGTCCTAGTATTTCCCAAAATACGGCTAACCGATGGTCATCGTGCTGTATGTACACGGTGATCAGATTATTATTAATGGAATAATATTGATAAAACAGTTCAGTAATAATAATGCAAATTACATCTTTTCTAATACCATACCTTGTAGTCAGAATATTGTGTTTTATTTGAAAACTTTCGAAGTATATTAAACAACAGCGTGTTTGCTCTTCGGGCATATCCCGAAACTTTTAGTGTATTGTTTAAATACTTGTTTGGTATATAAAATAATATACGTAAATTTGTTTTTCTCGTCTTAAGCAAAGGTCGAAAAAGTCTCATTTTGACATAAAAACCAAGGAAATTATTTTAAACGTGTATAAGCATAAGACACAAGAAGAAATATGAAAAATATGTTTTTGATGAAATGGCTAAAGGTTCATCCAATTCTACGGCGTAAATTATTAAAAGCTTATTATAAATTATACAAAAAAAATTTTGGGAATCTTCCAAAGAAAGGAAGGAAGCAATTAATTGCAAAAAAGTTGACTGCATATGAAGATGTGTAGATCATGCATGGAAGTAAGAAAACCTTTCTTTTCCAAAAATTAATCTTTCCTAAAAATATACCCCTTTCAATTTAAAACTAACCTGTTTTGACAGTTGCACATACTATCCACCACCATTATTTATTGGAAACATCAACATTAATATCATTTAGTAAGTAGGATGTGGATTTCAACGAAAAACTGGTTTAGAAGAATATTTTCTCTTACAAATTATATAACTTTGAAAAATGCTTCTTTTTCTACTTTCGAACTAACATATTTCAAAAAGATTGTGAATTATTTCTGTCAGTAATGCTTTCTCTGCAGGAATTTTGAGAAACTTTCAACTTAACAAATTTAATATATTTGTTTGAAAGGTATGCACCGCAGTTTGCGAATTAACAAATACTTGGCTGATGGTTTTTACAACACATGACAATCTCAAACTACAAGAAGAAGCTAATAACTTCTAATTGTTTACCTCTGTCATCTGTGATATTAACGGATTGAGTAAATAGAAAAATACAAAAATACTTCATTAAATATGTCTCTTTACGATGATTATGATGTAAAATCCGCAGGATCTGAGAAGGTACAAGGTTGGTCATCAAGTATCAAACTTCTCCAGTCCCAACTTCAGTTGAAAAAAGCCACGGTCACGCAACCAAAAAGAGACCAAATTCGTAAGACAGTGAGTCTAGCACCCGTTATTGACTTGAAATCAAAACGTGAGGATGACGATTTTTCTCCTTTCCTCAAGTCAAAGGCAGAGTCGAGGCTCCCTATTATTAGCTCGGCCATATATAGCAGTGAATATGACTGGAACGTCATAGATGAATATGATCCCTTATGGCCAAATGAATACGAAAAAGTTGTTAAGGATCTAAGAGATCATCATCACAGGGATGGTAGTCGTGACATTCGAGAATCAACCCGTGATACTAGGGAAGGCCGAGATAGACCAAGTGAAAAGGAAGAAAAAAGGAGAGAGAAGAAAAGAAAAAGTCGTTTCAGTGATCCAGAGGAAAGTATGTCACCTCCACCTGGACTTGTCACTGTACCTCAGATGAGTCAGCCACCTGTTGGTAGTGGCTTTGCAGGTGGGTGAATTATATTGAAAAAAACTTGCGATTGCCGTCTGTGGTGTTGAGAAAGTTTTCCCGATAAATGATTAATTTATTGTTTTGATCATACTTTGAAAATAGTTTCATTTCAACATGAATAACATTCCGTATGGGTTTCAAAACTTTCAGCTTTTTTTTATTGAGTCTTTGAAAGTTTGAGGCCTTAACACGCATTTGCAATTAAAAGTACTTGTGAGATTTATATATACATACATTTATACATATACACTTATACCAACCAAGTTGGTTCATCTGAAGGAGTTTCTTTGACCAAATTTCAATATATTCTTTTGAAACATAATATCAAGTTTATCATTGGATGAACACTCAGGGAATGAGTGGTGGAAGCCTGTTGAAAAATTAAAAATTTCATATGTTGGCTTATTTAAGGAATCATTAGAAACTTGTCACAATTAGATTTCTTTCATTGAAATATTTCTAATCGCCTCAGGGTAATGTAATGGAATTGTGAGGGTGAAAAAACTTGATTGTATTCACAGCATATCAAGTTCTTTCGAACTCCTAAACATCGACTAGCCTTATATCTTGATGGAAATTTTATAGTTGTGAAATCTTGATGTGTACAAGTACTCGTTCTGGTTATATCAGACAGAAAGAATTATTGGCTCCAGGCTCATGTCCGCTGTGTAATGTTTTTGGTTCATGATTGTACTGTTTATTTGTACACTTTCACTCAAAATTTTACTGGGATATGACATGCATGAAGAAAACGTAAATGCTTCATTATGTAAACTTTGGGTATCAATTTAAACAGAAGAACTAACTTAATGTATTTAACTTTTGATTATTATTTCTTTAATACATACCTTATGAATCATAGGAAGATGGACTGAAGAAGACGAGGAACCTCCCATTCAAAAACCCGCTAGACCATCTGGAGGGGTTGCAATTGCTCCTCCTCCAAGTCTACAAGAACCGTCAGAGTCTGTTCCCATCTTTCCCAACAAACCCCAGCCTACATCTTCTTATGGAGGGTCTGTAGCTGCAAAGATAATGGCTAGGTATGGATTCAAAGAAGGACAAGGTTTAGGCAGAATGGAACAAGGAATGTCTAGTGCATTGCAAGTGGAGAAAACATCAAAACGAGGTGGAAGAATCATACATGAGAAGGAAATAATGCTGCCACCTCCTACTATAGCTGAGACTTCTCCGCCAAGTGCTCAACATCCTCCCATTACGGAAATTATGAAAAACCCCAGCAAGGTGATGTCTTTGTACAGAGACTTCATGTATTCATTAGAACAATCATTCCTCTCAACATACTACCTTTTGCAGAAATTCTATAAAATATTAGCAGACCTTGTATTTGTTCTACTTTTCTTACTTTTCAGTACTTTTCGTTATTTTGTCTTCCTTTGTACTACTTTTTTCCAGAAACTGACAAAATTAAGAAAAAGAGTGAAGCTAACAGCTAAGCAAGATACATACATTCGTCCTGATTGCAGTACTTATAATGTGTACCTGCATTAATTTACAATTAATATTATAATCATGACCAAATTTACCTATACCGGGGATCAGTGGTGGATTAACACATTTGCCGCCAAATGTGTAGGTCGATACCCTACACAGACAAAAGACGGTGGACGAAAATATTTTAGAAAAGACTAAAAAATGATTTTGTTTTTAAAAAAATTCATATCTTATGAAAAATTAAGAACTGATTACAGTCATTCCAAACCTGTCCAGTATATTTATTCTAAATCAGTTAAGTAAATTTTCTGAGTTTCTAAATAATGTTTTAAAAAAAATGTTTAAAATCTGTTTTTAACATAATTGGATTCTAAAAATGACTGCACAGTTTCTGAACAATTGGTATACTCATCACAATTATTAAACTATATAAGAATACTTGTACTAATTTTTGATAAACGATTGACAAATCATGTATACAACCCACTAAACACTTTTGATTAGAAATTGCAAGACGCAATTATCCGAGGTGAGGTTTGTTTTGACAAAAATTAAATACGGGACGGGACTTCCCAGTTTGTATAGCCGCTCTATATCTTTCTCTTCTGATCCCGAACTCAGTGCTGCCACACGTAACGTGAAGTTCGGCTTCCTCGGCGACCCAACAGCCCCCCGCGCTTTCATTTTGGCCAGACACTCTTAGCGAATGATCGTCATTCGTTCCCGCACCGCACTCCAAATAAGACTACCAACACAAATACAAAGTATAAAAAAAGTATTAGCAGATTGACAAACGTCAAATTCCCCACTTTGACAGGTTCAGTTAAGTGGTGAAATCTAATGATATTTGGGTATTTATTTATTTTTTATTTCTGTAACACAAAAAAAATTTTGGCACAAATTTGCCGCCCCCTAAAATCCGCCGCCCTAGGCTCAAGCCTACTCAGCCTGCTGGTAAATCCGCCACTGCCGGGGATCAGTTCATTGGATCCTCTACTCAATGTTGATATTATTGGGGGATGAATGGAAGGTCCTACAATGTGCCAAGTGAATGGTACAAGAAGGAAGATGATGAAGAAATCACCCATTAAAGAATCGATTCTTTTTGCTAGTTGATAATTTTGGATACTCTGCAGCATACCAGAACTTGTTTTTCGAAGGCTTCAAGTAAGAGCACTCCAGTCCAAGAAAGATGGCCTGAAGTGCTCATCACCAGGGTTTTCTCAAAAATATGTTAACATCTATAACTCGTATCTTGCTAGACCGGAAAAAGAAAAAACTTGTAGCTGAGAAAAAAGGAACCTAAATGAAGAAAGAAGCAAGGCAAATTGGAAAAAGATCCACCAGAAAATGAAGAAAACCATGCATAATGGAAGAAAACTACCAGTAGCAGATAATGATATGATAAACAGTATGCAAATTGGTCAAACCATTTCAAAAGCTGAAGCCACAAAAGTAGAGGAAAATTTGAATACTGGTGGAATTAGAGGCAAACAGAAGGAAATTGAAAGAAGAAAAAGAACTATGCTATACTACTTGGTATATAACTGAAAGAAGCAGAATACTACTTAGATTTAGCCACTTTTATATATTTTGTATGATTATCGATATTGAAAAAATATTTTAGAGTTTTTTCTTTTTTCGAGAAATGTTTTATTTTTTAATAGAAAAAATGAGTTAAGGTGTTATTTATTCATTAGAATAATCAGTCATCTCAAAAGACTTCTTGAAATATTAGTTGCTAATTTCCTAATTCACTTTTACCTGTTGGTTTTAGGTTGTTTTATTGAAAAATATGGTGGGTCCTGGAGAGGTAGATGACGATCTTGAACCTGAAGTCAAAGACGAATGCAACACCAAGTATGGCCCTGTGGCAAGTGTCATAATCCATGAAATACCCCATGACGATCCGACAGAAGCAGTAAGGATATTCGTGGAGTTCTTGAGAATAGAAAGTGCTATCAAAGCAGTGGTGGACTTGAATGGTCGGTTTTTTGGTGGACGACAAGTTAAAGCTGGATTTTATGATACTGATAAATTTGATAACTTGCAGTTGATGGATTAAATTATTATTGATTTTTGTTCATTTCGAAATTTGAGAACCAATTTACTGATAAGATCGTGGAATATATCAGTATATGAAAGTGATTTCAAGATAAATATATTTTATTCATTACAAATTTGATTTCATTCAACTGAATACTAGGAAAGGCAAGATTTCATACTATTATAAGAAAGAAAAAACTACATTAAACATTCTTTACAAAAACGACCACGCAACGAAGTTTATTTCAGATACAAATTGGAAAACAGAGTCTGTCCAAAACTAAGTTTATTTCAATATGTTCCTATGCATTTAAAGTCACTTGAATTCGTGCATATGGTACATTAAATATAAATATTACTGAAGTTTTTTCCCAACACCAAATCGTTATTTTTAACACCTCGACACGTGTTTCGATCACCAAGTGATCATCTGCAAAGAGGAAGATTAAAACTTAAACAGTTTCATTCTTACTCTTTGAAGATGATCACTTGGTGATCGAAACACGTGTCAAGGTGTTGAAAATAACGATTTGGTGTTGAGAAAAAACTCCAGTATTATTTATTACTACACCAATGGTTCCAAACAGTGCATCATAAGTACATTAAATATACTCTACCACAAAATTAAACAAATATTGAAAGACAGATCCTAAGTGGGATGAATTAACAAATGCCTGCTTGCTAGAATGTAAAAATTATTTCCCCGTTGAATTCGACATTTCACAATTTAATTATAAGGGCATGTTAATGTATGAACAATTCAAAACCAGAAATCAAAATAAGGTTCAAGACTGTATCGAGGAGTGATACATACATATAATAAGAAAATAAATCTTTCAAAATGGAAACATTTTTCTCTCCAAACGCACCTACATAGTAGGTTTTGGTGAATGCATTCCGAAAAACAACTACTTTTCCAGCTCATACCAAAGCCCCAAAAGCAGGAAACATCCCATGTACCAACACTCTAACAGAAATCAAACATACTGTGTAAGTATATCAGGAAAGATTAATGTTTTGAGATTTTATTTCGAAATAATTTTTTGTCCTACTTCGAAAGCAATTCAGAGGTAAACTGGAGATGTAATGGTGGAATATAATTTGAAATTTAGGAAAATTTATATGCTGCCACATGTTAAATATGAGATTTAGACTTTGCAAAATGTGCATTCATTAGACCTTCCTGAAGAATATTTTTTATTATACAATAATTTTCTGAGGTTAGTGAGACACTATTATTATGCAAATCTCAGTTTAGGTTGCCGTCCATATAACCTAAATATTGTGTCAATTGTATATATCTGATACACATTTGGCAAAAAATTTTAAAAAACCAATTTGTGTTTTCGGAACATTCCACCTCCTTGGTTTTTTCCAATAAAGAGATTATTGTATTATCAGCAAATATAATATTCATTTTCTCCAAAATAATTTGGTAAATTTTCATGAAACATGGAAAAGTAATTTTCATTTCCAGAGTTTAAGTCAAAACCTTAATCAACCAACCATATTTTTGCTCATGTACAATGTGAATCCACTACTGGGGCAAAAATATCCGAGGTGAAAGTATAGTCTATACGAAGTCAATCTGACCAGCTGATTTACTAGTTAATACCATATAAAACCTCCCACATAAAAATAATGATCAGGATCTGGTATGAGGTCCTCGCCGCCCATGCCATACAAAGACACTGCCAACGTTCGGTAGCTATTTAGTTTTTATGCCATTCGAATTGACTTCGTGTATACTATACCTCTAAGATACAGGTTTGTTCCGCCTTTATGAATTTATAATATATTTTCAAAGCATTTCATAATATGGAAGTCTTCTGAGGCTGCTAAGCGGCTGTTACAGAACCGATTGATAAAAGAAACACCATACACAACTTTTCAAACAAATTTAATAAATAAAACAAGAATCAAATAGGTTTGGTATTTTGGTATGAAAGTATTTTACAAAATTTGATACATTTTGATGGATATGAATTATATAAAAACAATATAGAATAATATCAACGCAATAAGGGTTCAGAGGATAACAATATATTGTAAAAAATATATAAATATTGAATACTACTTCATAAATTCTCAACTTGCAGTTATTAGCACTTTCAAAGGTCTATAAAAAAAAAACTTAAAAAAAGACTCTTTTTGGGGTCAAATAAAACGATAGCATCAAAGAACATTTGGAACCTAAAATAAGTCAAACTAGTTATTATTTCTCTTTATTGAGTGCTTGTATGAATTCTTCTAACTTTTCTTGGATCTGACGTACCCTTTCTGAAACAGAAAAAATAATAAGTCATGATTCCAATGCTTCAATCAAAAACTTACTTAATTCTTCAGCTAACGTTACCCTCCTGCCAGTAAGCAAAGCGATTTTTTTATTAGAATCTTGACTGTAATCCTCTAAAACTTCTTTTATTTCTTTATCAAGTCGTCGAGCTGCATAAACGATATTTGAGACATTTGACAACTACAAATAAAAATTTTATATCATTACCTTCTCTATTTGTAATTTGTTGTCTAAGGGCATTGGAAGTGACTTTCATCATCTGCTGTATCCTATGGAACAAAACAACGTCTGAACAGTCTACATCAGCCTGCTGGTAGTACAAATAAAACGATTTTCGGCAGTCATAGGCTTTCAGCAAAGCTTGGTTCAGGAAAAAACGTCTATGTACAGCTTCCCAAACTTCACGTATAAATTCATTATCAACCTCAATGTTACTTCGCTGAAGGTTGTTTCTTATTGTGGTTAATTCATCATAGCTAAGCTTTGGTGGATGTTTCTGAAGAAAAAATAATTTAAATGATTTGAATGATGATAGTTGTACAACTCACTTCATTAGAATACAATATTTTATCTAATTCACTCTTAACACTCCTCCTCTTTGCCTGAACATCAGTCTGATACTTCCAATACAACCATCTTTCTTTAGTGGAAGGACCAAGAATATCCTTGAGTATAAGTTCGCTATCTTTCAATTTTTCCTTCAAGCTCGACTCCCAGAATCTAATAGCTTCATCCCAGTCCCTCTTGTCACCTATTGTACGGTCTTCAAGAGTGTTCAGTTGAATTACCTGTAATAAAACAATTGAAATGGTGTCAGAGATGGGATCAATAACACTGATTGATACTCATTAATAATAAGTGAAACAATGAAACCTGGTCTATATTATCAAGACTTACCCTAAGCATTTCTGATGCTTTGTCTTCCCAAGAATGCCTATGCATGGCCTCATTGACCACTGCTTGTTTGAGCAAGTCAAATATGTCATCATGATCAGGAGCAGACTCAGCTTTCTGCATGAATTTCTGGAATTCAGACTGCAGGCTTTCCCATCCAGATTCGACAGACTGTGCGGGTAATTCTGTCTCTGCCCATTGTCGCAATTTTATATCGACGGCTGTGTTGAAAGTTTCTAGTGAAATAAAAAAAATAATGTAAATTTTGTTTTGTTTTATTCAGGTCATTTTATTCTGATGAAAACTACCACTCGGTAGATAAGTTTGACAGTTAGGTATGATCTGACAATGTCACGATCTTTTACTAAAGAATTGAACAATGTGATATGTTCAATACTCGATGATAAATCTACATTTGATAAAAGAGATTTTATAATTATCCACAATGCTTTATTCGGTGATAGTCCGACAAAAGAAGAAGTAAATTTATTTTTCAAGAGATATGAAAACGGTATTGCATCTTTGGAAGAAATAGAATGTTATTTCAAAACAAAATCAGATTTTCTAGAAGATACCGAACTTCATATTTTGGAAATATTTCGAGCTATCGATAAAGACGAGAAGTGTAACATCAGTGTGCAGGATTTAATGCTTGCCCACAAGATTACAAAAATTCCCTTTTCTTCAGAACTTCTTGTGGAATGTTTCAATTTAATTACTCCGGAAGAAAACGTTTTGGATTATTTTGCTTTCAGGAAACTGTACATAGAACATAATAAAATATAAGTTGAGTGATTATATGAAACAATCTTTCAGTTTATATCGATAGAAAATATGTTGTTCACTGAAAAACGTGACTTACCTGCTGATCCACTTTGCGCTGCAGGAATATAAATATTCTCGAAGACATGAGATGAAACTTTTTCCCAAATCTTATTCAATAAGCATTCCTCCCAGTGTTTAGGGCTAACTTGAGATAAATTAATAATCTCGTCTAAAATTTCACCTCTAGCTCTCTCAAATAGCTCATCTCTGTCTTGCTCTCGTAACCTACCAAATAATTTGTTGTTTAGGAAAATATATTCAAACAAATCTGTTCCCCCAAGAACATGATTTATATAAATAACTTTTACCTGGGAAAATTGTTTTTCCATTCCGTTTCCAAGTTGAATCTTCTCGCTTTGAAAGCATCGGCTTGTTGTTCGACAGTTTCCTTTACCATTTTCCAAAAACAGTCTGCAACGGCAAGACTCAAATTGCGAGTCGTGACTTGGGTTGATTTTACTACTCCATCTCTAGAAAATAATTATTGGAAGAACAGAAAAAAGACGTGCAAGACATTGTGTTTTAAATATTAGAATTTATATCTGTAGATTCAAGGGATGTTGTCGATTTCAAATATAGAGTTGCAGTCAACTGATCCATACTATTTTATTTGTGATGGTTCATGTGGAAATGAATTGAAATGAATTCCGGGTCTTTCTTTTTTTTATTATTTATTAATGACGATGTACACTTCAAATTTACATTTTTCCAGATAACATTACCAAAAAAATTAAATAGTTAACAACTTTTTACTAAATATATCTAAGTTGCAGTTTTGATGAATTCGTTCTTGGCTACCTGATACTATTCTAAAATTACAAGTCATCTTTCACTCCAAGGAAACTAGTTGAAACCTAGCGGGTCGAAACAGGGCTGTCGAATTTTGGATCAGGAATATTTTGTTTTTGGGCTCTGGTTTCAACTAGTTGCTTCACAATCAAAACTGCAATGAAAGACAAAGAACGAATTCTGTTGGACAGTCGATGCTGAATCTTGGCTTTGCAACTGACTGTCTCAGGGACTACTGTTCATCTTTGATATTCGTGGATTAAGTCTTCTGTCAATCCCCTTTGTAAGGGGTAGCTTAACCTACCACTACTGATGTGACCTATTAGGGGCCGTTCAAGTATTATGTAAACATATTTATTACAATTAATCAACCCGCCCCTTGTCAGCAAAAGTAAGCAAAGTTCTGATCCCCCCTCCCTTGCTTACATAAACATTGTTATAGGCATTTTTCAAACATAGACAATGTGTGGGTTGCCATATGTGTAAAAAAGGAAATAGCTGCTGCCCGTGTCGTTAATCCTTAGCTCGCACAAGTTTTGACTTCTGAGGGTTGTCGTTCGCAAGGGTGCAATAGCTGGTTAACGAAAAAACAGATTTTAACGTAATCATGTCATCATGAATAAGCAGAGCAAAGACCCCCCCTACCCCCATAGTGTTTTTTTGTTTTTGGATTTTGATTTCAACTGGTTTGAAATTTTCAATAACCTCATTTCCAGCAATATTCAGAAATTCAACCATTTCTTTATTTTTTCTTACATCTTATATTGTGAAATTCTCAAATGTATAAAAGCATAAAAAAAGCTAACTATTTCATTCCTTTCATGAGATATATGATTTTTTTATGACTGATTCTCCCTACTATATATACCTCACGATATATTTTATATTCTTTCAACAGATTCATCAGGATTTGACATTTAATAAAACAATGTGATTTATCAAGATTTCATAAAACTGTTTCAAGTGATCATAGTTTTGAAAAAAAGTTATTAAGTCCATCGAATAGGTGGAAAATGGGATGAACATCATAGGAAAATTACATCACTTTCATTTGCTTCCATAGTGTATCAATGAATAAATTATCAGAAGAGGATGCTAATACAGTATAATAGTGTTTCAATTTATTGGCTTTTATTTTATTCTTAAATAACTTACTTGAATAATTTTGATCCTCGGAAAAACTGTTCTTCATATTCTTTAATGGTTTGTATGGAATCATCTTTGCGTCCTCTTCCTGTGACAACAGCAAAATATCCTAATGCTTTCATTGGAAATAATTTACCAGACAATATCTTCCTGATCTAAAGAACGATGAAAAATGCACGTATTGGACTTGAGCTACATACAGAAAGTACTCACTCTATTGGGATCAGTTAAATTTTCCTCAGCCATATCAACTTTTGTCAGAACGAAAATTGTTCTCTTCCCACCTGGGTCACAGGTAGCTACCAAATCTGTTACGTTGCTTCTCTCTGCATCTACAGAACCGTCCTGAATAGTAAGCAAGTTTTAAGACAGAAATTCAACACCAAAGTTATATTGGACCAACCTGTATACAAAGAATGATGGCATTGGGATTGTTCATGTATGCTTGAGTCATTTGTTTGATGCTTTCCCTTGTGTCAGCTGCCATATCAGTGGTCTGCGTCTACAAAATACACACAACTCAGTTTCACAAAGAAAGGAAAAAACTATACTTACCGAGATTATACCTGGTAAATCAACTAAAACCATTCTCTGAAGTCCCGGACCTACAAAGATTAAATAATAATGAAATATTTTACTTTACTTTGAAACAATAACATTCATTAACCTCAAGTTTCAATTTCCATTACAATAGAAAATAACGAAATTTATTTAGGTACGTCAAAAATATCGTGAAAATAATTTACTGATCACATGTGAGATCAATTCTTGAATACTGTTCTGTTGTCTGCTTTCCACAATATGAACAAAACGAATGTGTTCAAGAGAATTTTTTGAGATATCGTACTTTTCAAAGTAGGTCTTGCTATTGTGATCACATTGAAAAAATAATGAATATCTATAAAAAACCTTGTTGGCCAATCAACTGCCCAAGAACAGAAGCTTTGGAAATTTCAGTTTGTACTACCCACAATTCCAATTATTCTCATTCATTTACACTCAACAAAATGAAGATTTTATAAAACCCTGATATATTCAGCATAAATGCATCCAAGATCAGGAGTCTTCAATTCCAATATTTTATGTATATGTATATATACATTCCGAACTAAGACAGCTGAGAGATCTTAACTGGCTTAAGAAAAGAGTTAATGACCCTACTATATCAGAACATTATAAAAATGTAAAAAAATCTGTGGATATAAAAATTTGCAAAGAAAAAAAACAATATCACTCTGACTTAATTAACAAATCAAATAATAAAGCCAAATCTCTCTGGAAATTAGTTAATGAAAAAATGGGCAGGATCAATCAGAAAAAAGAAATCACCCTTACTGTGAATGGGACGAACTTGACAAAGAATACCGATATAGCAAACCACTTTGGGGATTTTTTCGCAAATTCTGTCAGTAACACCATACAAAGCCTCAATTTACCAAGAAATATGTGTACNGGAGAGCCAGCATGAAAAAATCGGAAACAAAAGAAACAAAGACTGTTGAATTAGGTGAAAGTTTCCCATTTTAGAGCTCATTTGAAATATGTTTAGGAAATTCCACTTGCTTCCAGAGATATTTGAAAAGAACCAAAATTGGCTAATTCAGCTTATTTTTTTTTTGGTTAATTGAGAATTCATCAAAAACCATAATCTCACTGCAATATTTCAAGTTGTAAAACATCAATTTTATTTTTTTATATGGACTTTGATATATCACCATGATCTAAAATGATAAACTTTTTCCTCATTGAACTGACTATGTATCTCTTAAGATAAGATTTCATTGTTATTCTAATTTGTAAAATGGATTAGCCAGTTAATAGTAATTGAAACACTAAATTAAAGGTTTCATGTTCATATGCATTCATGTACAGTCTAATCAACTATCTGAGTTTCTATTAAGAAGCTAAATCCCAGCAATGAAAGTATCGAAAAAGTAGAAATACCTACTATTTTTTACCTTTAACTGTCATTGAAATGACCTCGCTTGACACAGTTTTGCCACCTTTCACGCTGTTTCTCATCCGAAGTTCAACTTCCCTGCGCAAATCAGCCAAATCAGACTCTTTAGATAAATCAAATTCTCGGGTCGAGTCTCTGAACTGGGCTATGTGATAAGGGCCTTCTGAAAGGGTTACTTTCACTGGAGCTCTGAAAAAAATCAATGTCAACAATTTTCGCAACAAAGAATAATGGTAAATACTCACTTTCATGACTCTTGTTAATATTTGCAGAAAATTTAATCGATATAATTATAAAAATTTTGTTCCCTGATCACGAATCTGAAATGAAAACTTGATGCTCTGGTTTACTTTCGGAGATACAGTTGTTCAATGGTTGAAACTTCAAAGGTTTCACAGAATCAAAAATTTATTTTTCATCAAAATAACCCTTAGTTTTGAAATCATGTATTAAATGATATCATCACTCCACTAGAGTTTTTTTTATTATTTGTAAGTAATATCAATGATTATGTGTATCATTTGGTTTCAAAAACAATTATGAAGTGCTGATCTACCTTCAACTCTGAGAAAATTAAAGTGTAGAGTGAACAAAAGTCCACAACATCCAATCCTAAAAAAAGGTTGTTATATAAGTTTTACTACAAATTGATATCATGCAATAGTCAAGTTTTCAACTTTTTACTGATTTCATCTCTGAAAGACAAGTTTTGACTCCAGATTTGTGATCAGCGAACAAAAATGCTCAAGTTTAATGAAGCATTTTTCAAAAACTAATGCGAGCCGATAAAAGAATGATTAGCATAAGCAATATTTGTATATATGGCCCACCTTGTCATCATTTCACCCGCACCTCTTGGAAATATTCTCGCCTGGGCAATCATCTCCAAAACAGAGGTTTTGCCGCTGCTCTGGTCTCCTACAACGACAACCCTGGGCAGTTGGTCCTGAGTATTGTATCCACTATCAAAATCTGCTAGTTCGTCCAGCACCTCACTATACATGTCAATGAGGCTGCGTTTTATTTTCCTAGTGATTGGTTTCTTGCCCTGTTTCAGCAACAGGTTCTGTTTTCTCAGCTCTTTGTTCTCTTTTTCTAAACGTTCTAATTCTCGCTGGTACTTTATCTGAGTCTGCATCATCTCATCCTGGATGAGGTTCAGCCTATCCTGAGTTTCTTTTCTGGATTTTTCATCGTCAGACTCAGATCTGGCAAATGGTTTTGCATATACTACAGTTTTGTTTTTTATATCCTCTTTACTCTCTGAAAATTAGTTACAGTGGTTGAAACGGTAACAGAATCTCGTTTGTTAGTAGCATACCTGAGTACAGTCTGTCTAAAAACTCGTATACAGCATTAAAACCACCTAAACAAAAGAAAAGCGAATGCAATTTAAAATGATGAAAAAAGAAAGAATGTACTCAGATAGGAAGTTGGATTAAATATACCTTCAATTGCTGGCACAGCAGGTCCATGAGCCTCTGCAGCTGCAATAGCATCATCCAATCTTTGGTCAAACCAATTTCGAAATTCTTTATACTTGGCCTCAGACAAAGCTTTTATTTTAGGATCTGCAGTCAGGAGAATAATCTCAGATAATCATTTTTTATGGATTTTAGTATTTTTTAAATTCATGAACTCACCCATTTGAACATTGTTTTTGATGTTATCCTTAAATTCAACCAAATTGCCTCTCCATTGTTGCCATTTATCATTATCAGGAAGAACATCATCTAGCCACTTCAAATCTGGTAATCCATCTTTCCATTCACTATATTTCTGTTGAGACAGAAAACAGTTAATTGACCAATAATAATAATAATTATATTTTATTTTTCCCTTTCACAGTTTCACATCACGGAAATATTAAAAAAACAACATTAAACAATAAGAATTGAGGACACTACACATACAAAGACAAATAATAAAAATGTAAACCTCTGTCAAGAAGTTAGTGCAAAATAGTCTTTCAATGTGTCATATTTTTTATACCTACTATACAGAAGATTATTAAAAACTCCTACATCTAGATGTGCAGGAGAGTTAAAAGCTATTTCATTACAAATATACATTGAATTTGAATATTGTTCATTGTTAAAAACAGAGACATAAATAAATTATATCACATTCTAAGAAGTTTTGGAAATATTATATGAATTGTGTATCTTATTTTGATAGTACATTTCTTAGATCTATCAGTTAAGAGTGGATTTATGCATCAGTCTTTTGAGATAAAACATTGATAAGTTGTATCATCAATTTTCAGTGTTAACATTTGTGCATGAACCTGCATACTCATAGTATGTGTTTAACTTACGAGTTTATAGTAGTGAGAAATGGATATATGGATTCTTAAAACTTACAATTTGCATCAAGACTGATTCTACCTAAATTTTGTTGTAGTTTTTTTGGTACTTTGTTTGTATTATTTATATAATTTATTTATTATAACATTCTCGCCTTCTGTAAAGCTCCTCCACCCGCCACAGCTCCTCCTAACAGCAGATATCTTATTTTAAGTACGCCTCGAAGAGCTCTAACGATCAACATTCCATATTCCCTTCTTTGATACAGATACTGCTGTTTCAGTAAGGACCGCGATCGGTCCACAGCTCTGCCTCCCCATACACTACATATTCCTCTTTGAAAATGTTTCTGAGGGCCATATTTCAGTGGATTGTTGGAATAAGTGCATATTACAATTCGACTAAAAAAATAAGACAAAATTGGCCTAACCTTAAAGTATCCTCAAGAAACCTTACCCAAATTTTCCTTTTAATAAATGCTCCATGAGAATGTCTTTCAGTTTGATTTTCAACACATTATTTTCCGACTCGAACCCAAATTATGAAAATGAAAAAGTTAGCTTATTTCCAAATTTGACAATCAGGTGGCTACAGTGATGTAATTTCTTCAGCCAATTTTAAGAAAAAAAAGTTACTAATGGTGTGTTCCACTAAGCGTTCACAACGATCACGCTCAGTTGCTTGCGAGCGTTACTGTAGTAAACTCAAGCGGAATGGATTATGGAGCGTTTATTTAAGCTTTGAATGTCATATTTCGAAAACGATTTCAAAAATCTCGCCGAAATATTCTCAACGTCCACTTTGACCCACTTCTTCAGATGGGTTCGTTGAGAGCTTGTCGTGAGCGAAAGTATTGACGTCATGAGTGACATTTTCATCGAACCACAACAACCGCGATCGTTATGTAGAACGGCTAAAGAAACATTTTGATCGTTGTGGAACGTAGTTAGCTGTCATACGCAACTAAAAGTCGATTTACAGGGCATTTCCCTATTTCCCATCGCCCTACACTCGGCCAACAAAAATCTTATATCTTATTTATTTTAGCAGGTCAATTCCGCAAAAAATCAATATTGAACGATTAGTTACATAACACTTGTCGGTAGTTCGATTCGATGAATGAGTTGAAATTAATGTTTCCATTAAGAATGCGACGGTCGATTCCTACTATCTGGAACTAATAAGCCCTACGAATGTTTTATTTCGAAAATAATTCATTTCAAGTGAATGCATTTACCACTGTCTGCCGCAGTAGTAGACGAAATCTGTGGTAGTAAAAGTTCCATAAAACCTCGACCTACTAGCCCGGATTTTGTTCTATCTAATATTCAAGTTTAGGGTTTTCATGTAATCATGATACAAATGTGTAAATGAATAAATAGTTTTCAAAACATCATTTTTACTTTAAAAATTTTATTCATACTTGACTTTTGTAGTGAATCTTCCTAGTACTTGGGTAGAACTGAAGACATTTTTTTTTTTGATATTTGGCACAACCACTAAGGTGTTTGTTCTACTCAATATCATTGAAGTTTCCTTCGAGACTTCGAAAAGAGGTACCTAAATGAAAAATGTAGGAACCTCCTAATATTCTCAACATTTTACCAGTTTTACCTCAAAAATTATAAAAATTGACCAAACAAACCAGGATATTAGGAAATTAAGAATAATTTAATGTAAACAAATTCTAAATTTACTAATTAGAACCATGGGCAGCACTTTGTACTTCATTTCGCTGCTTCTCCAAATCTTTATAAGCCTGCATAGCTAACTCAAGTGTGGCCTTCTTTGTGGAATATTTTTTTATATACTCCTCAATCATTTCTATTTCAGTGTCGGAATCAAAATTAACATTATGAATCTTTGAGAACAGCTTCAACAATTCCTTTGCCTCATTAAGATGGATTGTCTCAATCAGTTCCAGCAAGAGGTTGTCAATATTCTTATTCCAAACTAGAAAAAACGTCATTGCTCCAAAGTGCCTTGTAGATCTGAGCAGTTCAAAACCATTATTATCATTAGCATGTTGGTAAGTTATTGAAACCACTTGCTGATAATTAGGCTCATTCGGTTCGAACTCTATGCATGCTCTGTCTAAAATGAACTCGTACTCTTTGCGGTCCAACAAGCTTTCGAGATATTTCCCAAAAAACATCTTCGCGGGTTTAAGAGATCTCTCCTTTTTTGGAAAGTATATTTGATTTATTCTGTTTCTCATCTCCCACTCTGCTTCTCTGAGTGTACCGTCTGGCTCGCGAACAACGATCAATCTATCTGAATCTTTCACGCCAAATGTAATGTCAGTGAAAACCATTTTGCTCTCGTCCAATCCTTGCAAGGCAGGATCTCTCGAGAGTACCTTATTTTTTGGTATACGGACTGCAACTACTGGAGGTATTTGAAGTAATTCTTCAGTTGTTTTTTCGGCTTCCTGGATTGCTTGTTGGAGTTGTTCATCAGTCATAAATTTGTATTCTGGTTCAGATATTTTTGTGTCCCCCACTTTCCTTCTTCTATTTACTTTGGCCAAATCAACTCTGGTCAGCGAACGAAGCAGATGCTGTACTTGCTTGTCGAAGAATAAAGGGGCAGGGTTCTGTTCTTCGGCTGCAAACAAAAATACATAACCTCAAAAAAATATTTCAATTTACGTTCTTACAATATTCGATTGCCGAATAATTTAGCAAACGGAAACAGGCAGCACATGTTCTAGTTTTTGAGTAACTGTCTGGTTTAAAACTCAAATTGTAAAGTTTTCGGGAAATATGCCTTAGAGCAGCCATTTTTCCACTTCTTTTTTATTAATCTATTTTTCAAGAAGATGACTCTGAAGTTTGAGAGCTCGGAGCCAAGCGGTATAAAAAAATGTTTGATTTAAAAACATATATTGAAAACTGTTTTCTTGAATTCAAAATATTCTGATTCTATGTAAATGCCAAAATGAATGTGAATCGAAAAGTATCATCAAGAAATAATAATTTATTATTCTTCTATTTTGTTATTTAAATTTTGCAAAACGGATACGATTTTATCATGAAAAAGTCAATTCAAAAAGAAGCTATAAACTAATCAACCATTCTACTTCAGTTATGGCAAAGTATTTTGATACTATGCTAGAAAAACTGTTATTCGAAAATTATCATCCGGGTTCGTTCAATCATCGCTATTTAAATATTGGCTCATCGATTCCAATTTTGTACAAATTTCGAAATTTAAGGTTTGTTGAGAAAAACACATTCTAAATACATTTTTCTATTCTACTACATTGATTTTGGAAAATAGGTACACATTTTCCATGAAAATGTTATCCCTGCTTTTCACAATACATTTTCAAACCGACCAAAAACTTGAAATCTCTTATTGTCAAATTGTCTATCTTGAATATTTTTCCAACCTTGATCTCTTCAGGAAGAATTAAAGTGAAACCAGCTTTAACAATCTTGTCTTTTTTTTCAAACTCATACGTCTACTAGTCAAAAAATAAGATGAATGTTCAAATTTCGCGGGCTACGTACATTCGATTAGAGATTTTTCATTTTATATGTTGGTATACTCGTCTCGAATATATGTTCACAGTTTGAGCTGCTTAACATGTTTAATTTGTTGGTGAGAGGCATAAAAGGTAGTGTTTGACGATTCTTTGCTATCGTCAGAGTCAGAAAAACGTTCATAAGTGGTTCAAGCTCTTCACAGAAGGCCGAGAAGATTTAAATGACGAAGCGTGTCCTGGACGCCTCGACACCGTATTCACCAGACTTGCACCCCTGCAACTTTTTCCTGTTCCCAAGATTGAAGATACCCATGAAAGAAAGGCGTTTTTTGATAATTGAGGAGATAAAAACCGAATCGCTCAGA